AAAGAGTGAACCGGCATGAAGATGCACTGACACCAACAAAAGAAGACTGGGAATTAGCACAAAGAGTGGTGACGATGGACAAAATCCATTGGGCCATTCGTAGTTTCCAACCCTATAAGGCAGCAGGACCTGACGGCTTATTTCCGGCACTTCTTCAGTGGGGGGGGGGGGGTAAAGTCCTAATAGTCAGACTTGTTGCCATAATGAGAGCATGTCTGGCTCTTAAATATGTTCCTAGGGGATGGAGGGAAGTGAAAGTCACGTTCATACCCAAACCAGGTAAGTACGACTATACAGACCCTAAATCCTACAGACCTATTAGCCTCACATCCTTTCTCCTAAAGACGATGGAGAGGATGTGTGAACGGGAGTTGAGAGGGTCGGCGCTAATTAACTTACAACAAAAAAAAACAACATGCCTATAGCTTAGGTAAATCAATAGAATCGGCACTTCACCAGGTAATAACAAAGATTGTAGAGGCGATCCAAAACAAAGCAATATGTCTAGGCTCCTTCATAGACATAGGACTTCATAGACATACTTTGGACAGAACAAATTTCTCCAGCATAAAAGGTAGACATAATGTTGAACCGGCACTGATTGAGTACACGAACAATAAAGATTGCTGGTGAATCTCAGACAATTCATATCATGAAAGGATGTCCGCAGGGTGATGGTAATGAACTCATCAGCAAATTAAACGCTAACCATTTCTACACAGTCTGTTATGCAGATGATCTGACAATACTGATCTCTGGTAAGATAGTAAGTAGGTAGTAAGTAAGATGCTGAATAACTATCATCTTCCAAGTCTTTTCAGCACAAAATTCCAACTTTCTTCCGAGGTAAAATACCTAGGTCTTACCTTGGACAGTAAACTTAACTGGAACAAACATATAGAAAACAAAATCAGCAAAGCTAGTTTAACTTTCTGATTGGCAAACGACGGGGTTTAACGCTAAAAATTATACTGTGGCTGTACAAAACTGTAATTCGGCCCATGATCACATACGGCTCTCTGGTATGGTGGACCAAAACCAATGAAGCCACCACTATAGAAAAGCTTCAGCGTTACCAGAGATTAGCTTGTATGGCTGCCACCGGCTGCATGAGGACTACACCAACAGCAGCTTTGGAGGCTATGCTGGAGCTAACACCGCTTCATCTACATATACAACAAGAAGCAACTTTAGCTGCCATTAGACTCAAGACCCTAAATCTTTTAAGTAAGAGTAGAGTCCACCATACTGATATAATCGATAGAATTACTCAAAAATTCCTTATCTTACAAGCCAAGTATGATAGGATCCCAAAACAATTTGTATTCGTAAAGAAGTACAGGATACAATTGAAGGAAACTGACCATATGGAAGGATTGGGTCCAAGAGAGCTCAAAGTTTTCATGGATGGCTCTAAGACAAATGAAGGTGTGGGGTCTGGGGCTTTCTCTGAAGACCTTAATATCCACATATGCACACCGCTGGGTACCTACAACACAGTCTTCCAGGCTGAATACATGGGTATCATCCAAGCGGCCATAGCAATAGATGCTAGGAAGGTGAAAGACTTCTCCATCAGAATACTGACTGACAGTATGGCGGTAAGAAGAGGAAAGAGGTAGCGAGATAAGTATAGATGAAATAATGAAAGCAATGAAAAGCATGAAAGCAGGTAAGGCTGCCGGATATGATAGAATTTCACTAGAAATGCTAAGGGCTGGAAAGGAAGTGGTGGTAGGCCTGCTGCACACCTTGTTTAATTTATGCTGGGAACTGAAGCGGGTACCGGGAGACTGGTGCAAAGCCGTGATAGTCCCAGTATATAAAGAAAGAGAGTCGCAGCAGGACTGTAAAAACTACCGTGGCATCAGCCTTCTTAGCATTGTGGGAAAACTGTATGCTAAAGTACTGATTGAAAGGGTCGTGAAAGAAACTGATGGAAAAATTTGGGATGTGCAAGCGGGATTTAGAAAGGGAATGGGATGTACAGATCAAGTCTTTTCCATGCGCATGATCGCGGAGAAGTTTCTGGCCAAAAACCAAAAGGTTTTTTGTGCGTTCGTGGACTTGGAGAAGGCCTATGACAGAGTGGATAGGGATTTGCTATGCCAAACACTAAACTTATTTGGGTTGAGCGCTGGCTTGATACAGGCATTGGAGTCTCTTTATAGGGACTCTAGTGCTTGTGTTAGGATCAACGGGGTCTACTCGAACTGGTTTGACATCCATAAAGGTGTCAGACAGGGCTGTGTGGCTTCCCCGTGGCTGTTCAACCTATTTATGGACAGTTGTTTGCAAAATTTGAAAGTTGAAGAATGCAGATTAAGAATGGGTGAGTTAACCGTCAAATGCCTTTTGTACGCCGATGATCAAGTTATCCTTGCGTCGTCGGCGGCCGAGTTGCAAATGATGGTTACATTAATGAACGGATCATTAAAAGAAAGGGGTATGAAAGTGAACGCAAGTAAGACGAAAGTTATAGTTTTTGAAAGAGAAGAAAGTGAAACGATTTGTGAAATAAGAATAGAAGGGGAGTTGATCGAGCAAGTAGATGAGTTTGTATATTTAGACTGCGTATTTAGCAGGGATGGGAGATATGATAAGGATATAGAACGACGAGTGAATGCGGGAAATAGTGTAAATGGGGCCTTGCACTCTATTGTGAAGAGTCAAAATGTGTCGAAAAAGGCACGTATGGCAATTCACAATGCTGTGTTGGTCCCTACTTTAACGTATGGTAGTGAAAGTTGGGTGTGGCAGAAGAAGCACGAGAGTAGAATAAATGCAGTAGAAATGCGGTCGTTAAGGAGTATGTTAGGGCTGAATCTAAATGACAGGGTAAGAAATTGTGTAATAAGAGAAGAGTGTGGTTTGCAAGATGATGTTGTGACCAGGATTAAGAAAGGAATGCTTCGGTGGTTTGGTCATGTGGAAAGAATGAATGAGGAAAGAGTGACAAAGAAAATTTATGTTGCAGAAGTGAATGGCAGAGTCGGAAAGGGACGTCCTAGGCGAAAATGTATCGACCAAATTGGCGATTTATTGAAAACGGGCCAAATTAGGAGTACCCTTAACCAACGAGCATGCATGCGTAGGTGTATGGATGTGAAGGAGGCAAGAGAGGTGTGTCAGGATCGTGCCAAATGGAAGTCTGTAGTCTCTGCCTACCCCTCTGGGTGACAGGCGTGAGTGTTTATGTATTTTTATGTAGTATGGCGGTACTACAAGCTCTGAGTTGCAATGTGACGAACTCGGGACTGATACACGAGTGCCATCAACGATTGAATGAGGTATGTAAGCACAACAATGTGACTCTGCAATGGATCAAGGGACACAACGATCTAGAGGCAACGATGCAGCAGTTGCACTGGTCAGAAGGGGATCGGCCCTAGCAACTATAGGGCCGGAACCAATAATACCAATCCCTTTTGGCTACGTTCGTTCACTGATACGTAGATACTTCAATAATTTACACGCTCAGCTTTGGAAAAATTTAGTAGACTGTAGACAAGCTAGGGAGGCCCTACCTGAAATAAAAAGTCGTCTAACCAACGTTCTAATGAGACTGAACAAGCCACAGATCAGGATAGTAACAAGTGCTATCACAGGACATGGCTCTTTTAACAAACATTTGTTCACCATAGGTGTTACTGACAGCCCCCTGTGCAGGGCATGCATGGGAGAGGAAGAAACGGCGGCTCACGTGTTGCTGACATGTCCAGAAGTCGCTTCATACAGGGCTAAACATCTCGGCACGCTGGGATCGCTCCCCCGAAGTTGCTTGCAACATCAAGAGATTGCTAAGCTTCCTCGGGGGAGATATCATGGCTCGAATAAGCATATTATTTCTGCCCACACGCAAAATACGCGCTTAGACGTGGAGTTGCGGAAAACAGCACGTCGTAAACTAAACTAAACTAAACTAAGTCCTGCGGCACTCAGAAGAAGCTCAAAGCAAAAGCTATTCAGACGAATATATCAAAAATACCTATCGATAGAATATTGAAATATGATCTTAAAGTAAAGGCCTACAGTGAATGAAAAGTTCATTACCTCAACAATCACCTTGGCAAATTGCGGTACGATCGCTGTTGAATGTTGTTGAAGACACGATGCAAGGAAACCTCTTCACATATGAGAAGCTATATACTGTGGAAGAAAAATTTAACCGACGGAACCAGAAATTTACGCGAGAAGCTTAAAGATGTCCATGCTGCAGCACGTAATGTTTTTCGGACGCATCACCCTGCAAGTGTTATGATTTGGTGGGGTGTTTTTTTATGATGGGGATCACTGCACTGCAATTTTGTGAACAGGGGGGTCAATATTAAGGCACAAAATTATCAAAAAGACACTTTGGAAACGGTAATAAAGCCTAAAGGTAGCTTTTCGATAATAAATCTTGGGTTTTTCAGCAAGATTCGGCGTCGTCATATAAAGCCAAATTAAACACAAAATTGGCTTAGGGAGAATTTATCAGAAAATACCTATGAATACACGAGTATGGTTGAAAATCGTTCCTAAATCGTAACAGCCGTACACGGATGCAAAGTCCATGTGAGCAATGAAAAATTATACGAACTGACAAAACTAAGATAATATAATTTCAAATTTTATTAAAACAGAAGTAATAATGTCTACCACACAGCGTCAACATGACAATAACTGAATGATATGGCCTATGCACACATCTATCGCTGGAGGACAAAGTTGATTGCCTCGTTACCGGTAAAAAGTGTCTCCGTTACTCTTCATACTTCTCTTCACGCTGCTATTCTGTGCGAGTGGTACTTTCTTGGTATAAATAATTAGTGCGTCAAATTATGATTTACCCATTAGCACATATTTTGGTTTTCTGTGTTGGTAGATACGCGAGTAAAAATCTGTAATCTTTAAATATCATTAGGTGTCAATTATAATTCGCATTTACAAAACCGTAAATTCAACAAATGTGACAAATGTCATATTATAAAGAACGCGATATCGTCTGTACGCCTCACCTGTCTGGCGCGTGCTTTGCTCCCGAGTGCACCTGAAACGTAAAAAAAATGTTTTTTATACATTCGTTCATTGCAGCCTGCTAAAAAATTCACAATCGAACATAAGCCTTATCCATAATACTCTTACATAGGGATTACATATAGGGATATACAGAGATTTCCCATAGTTACCAAGCTTGTGTTACGTATTATGAGTTGTTTTCAGGAAGTTGCTGCTACCCATCTCCTGTTTCATTTCCTTTGACAGCTCGATCGCGCAGATGGTGTTGAAAGTGACTGGTGGAATGATGTGGGCGAGTATGCACGTTTTCGTGACACTGCCGATATACGATGAAGATTGAACACCATGAGGTTTTAGTCGGCGAGAAGTAGACGAGAACATTTTAAGAGTCCACTTTGTCCCACCAGTAGGAAAGTTGGTGGGGAAAAATTGGCATAATAATTTCATAGATATGAGAGCGAAGGAAAAAAATACGTGTGGCACTCGGTGACTGCCGCGATAAGCTATTGCATAGCATTTTTTATCAACTTATGCAATTATAATTATTTATTTATTTTCAGTTAAGTCTTTGATATTAAATCAAGTTACACTTTTTGAGCGTGGTGACCGATAAGAAAACATTTTTTTTTCTCTTATTGAATAAATGAGAAGTTAACATTGTTTAAAATATTTTTTATATCTTACAATACATGTAGGTTATTCAGGAATTTTTATCATTGAGTTAGCAGCTAGTGTACACGCATACGTCTAGTCGCACGCACACAAACACCGTGCCGAAGTCTGCCGAGTGCCGAAGTCTGCCGAACTGAAACGACGTTAGACGATGCACGGCTTTCAACGCCACACCTCCGTGCCCGTCGGAGTGGGGAGCGTGAGGTTTTTTTTCGTTACGGAATTTCTGGATTCGGTCCCCGCGCTCAAGGCCTGCGATAGAAGCTATGCAATAGCTTAAAAATATTTAGGAAATGCAAAAGGATATCAGGAGGCAAAACATTATTTCTTCATTTCCTGCATTTTCTTTTAAACTTAATATACTGTGTAATTTCAAACTGTAATTTAAAATATAAAATAACAGAAGTATCCATTCCAAACATTTACAGGATTAGATTGAGACATAAAAACAATATCTCATTCAAATTATTAATTTTCAAAAGCAACATTACCCAAGTAGAATTTAAATTAAATTATTTATGTCAATTGATTGAATCAAATAAGGAGAGTGCTATTTTATGGACTACAAACAATTATTCAGACTGAATGTTTGTCAATATGCAATCTATATATTTAAAACTATATCTAACGATCCTAATGTTGTGTTGACAAAACTTTTTATAGAATAAGGGCGACGAACGAACACACAGCCTATGTGATGGTAAATACTGTGGTCCATAGATATCTATACTCGTTAAAGAATCAAAATGCAGATGCGTTGTCATCCCTGAGGACTAAGATGGAAGGCCTTGTTTTCATAAAAAGAGTTTCCGGTTCTCCACACTCACCATACGAAACACAGCAGCTATAAGCTACTATTTTACGCTGGTACAGTGAGAGTGTGATAGTTCCCCGACCGAGCCGACCCATTCGTGCTACAAGCATAGTATAGCTGCAGGGTGACTCTACCACGTAAAGAACAGTCTGTAATCATATGAGTGGTAGGGAAGTGCGCTTCACTTGCCTTGTCGTTTCTGCGCAGCGAGTCGCGCCAGGTGTCGCCGCGGCTCTCCGGGTACACTATCTTCTCGTATCTATAATTTAACAAATTACCTTGAAATCAAAGACTTAAACCGTGTCACAGCTTAGCTGGCACGGTAAATGTGCCACGCGGTTGTATTTTAATTTACGACAGTTACTGTTTTAGGCAAATATGAAATAGTTACGTACTTATATGTAACAAACTACAAATCTCATTGACAAAGTGTACACATAAAATAATGACAGCTTTTTCTTAGTCACATTAAGCTAAATCAGTATTATGGACGACACACGCGGTAAGTGCAACCTATCATTCCAACCGATCAGTTTAAACTAGGACTGTTGATATTTTTTAAATATCGGATTTTCTATATATCGATAATTATAAATATATCAATATCGAAGTTTTATATATAAGTTTATTGAAATCACAAATTCTACTAACAAATTATCTCATGGGTATCATAATGGGCAACGGCTAGGTATGATACGAGTACAGAGGGGTAGGGGAATCTTTCTAACAGCTCAAAATAATAAAAAACTGCGGTTGCTAAACTACTTGTCACACAAGGCAACTATGGCAAATATGCCAAATATCGATGTGTTCAATTTTATTTATTTTTTAGTGTTTAATTATTTTATTTTAATAGAAATATGCTTCAAAAATAATTACATATGACCTACATTCTTTACTTCATAATAATATATTCCATGTATTTGCACACTGTACAAAGTACTTAAACAATAAATACAAAATGTTTATTTATTCTATACAGCAGAATTTCAACTGACACTTACAATAGGAAAATCTAAGCTGTAACTGTCAGTACTTTTCCAGTGTCACAATATACAAAAAATACAAAATAATACAAATTAAGCTCATGAAAGGGTAAAGTAAAAAGAAAATCTAATTTGACTATTTTAAGGAAAACAAGATATCGCTTTGAGTGTGTGTTTATGTTACTTTTATTGTGTGCGTGCGTGCGTGAGTGACTTTGTGTGTGTAGTATGCGTGTGGATACATCCCCACCCCACCCATATATGGATAATACGTATATCAATTTACGGGTTTAATTTACTTTTATTGTTTACATTAAATGTATTATTTAATTTGTTATACAAAAACAGTCCAAGAAATTGATAAAAATGTTGGCCAGAAAAAGTTTTAGATGCACCAACCGAGTTATATATTTACGTTGTTGACGATTTGACTGTTGACTGTTTACTTCGCTAGTAGTAGTTGCAGTTTCATGTATTTTAGCGTGTTGTTTTAATAATGTGTGTAGTGTAAAAAATTGTCTCACTGTCAAAATTTTACATGATTTGTATAAGTCGGAAGTTGGCTGTCGAAACTTTTTAAGAGTGCTTACTTTGAGTGCTGCCCATTGAGCACGCTCTGTTAAAACGATGCAGCTCTATGCAGCTCCACCCCAAATAGAAATACAGTAGCTAAGTATTAATTGACAAGATAAGTGTAAATAAAATCATTTTCATAACATTAGGTATAGATATGTCTCTCAGGCGTTTGAACACATGTATTAATTATCGAACCTTACTGGACAATAAGATTACGTGAAGATTTAAAATGAGTTTAACATTAAAAGTGATTCCCAGATATTTTAGAGAATATAGGCCCATTTTGTATAATGTTGTCTATATTAGGCGTATGTTCAACAATATGATGTTGACATCATATAATGATGGTGATGATGATAAAACCATCAACCTTTCGACCAAAATAAAATGATGCTAGGTTATAAATATATAAGTAGTATCATATGTAGTCAAAATTAGAACATTGTGGAAACAACGCTAAATATTTACACAATTTAAAAATAGTCCAACAGTTAGGAAACTAATTTACTTTATTTACTGCTACGGCAGCGCCCTGCGGGCCGCGCGACCGTGCGCCAGCACACTCCTAAGTCTGCTGTACAATACATGCGACGTGACCGTGTTTTATACTACTTATTTAACTAATCTTTAGTGCAGTTTTCGAAAAATGTAATATCTATAATGATAAATTACTGTTATAGTTGTATGAGATACTAAATAAACTTAAATTCAAATGACGGCCATGTTTATTTCCCCTTATTTTATTATAAAATTGCTTATCCGATACGAATACAGTACATAATAATATTTAACAATATAAAAGTGAAATCATCTGTAAAAAAAGTGTCATGAAAATATTTGGCAGTGCATCACTTTTAAATGTATTGCTCTCATCGTGGTTAATAAAAAGTGACATTGTTCAATAAATATTATCGACTTGTAAGTATAACATCCGAAATTATTTTATTTCCAATTACGTGATAACCCCTAGGGTATGGTCCGAAACGTTTTCAGTATACTGTCGAATACAAATGACGTCAACAATTGACGCCGTATTGTACTGGCGTGCCGCCGCCATATTGTGAAAACAATTTTTAATTGTGTGTACGCTGAATGAAGAATTTCATGTCAGAATTTGTTTTTATTTATTCTAATACAAAAAAATATAGAATAATTGGTGGTATTTCCATTAGGAGGAAATAATGATTTTTGGAGCACAAAATAACAAAATAATCGCCAACACTTTTCCAATATAGCGCAAATGTATGACGTCATATGCTGTCCTATGTTTTGGGAGGAATCACCAGTATAGCGTCGATTCATGACGTTATTTGCATTTAACAGTACAATGGGTTCTATTTTGGAACATACCTCTAGTATACACGCCACCCGCGTAAATACCCAAACATCAAAGGCGTTTCACAACTGTTAGCTATGTAAATTGTGGTACTTGTTTGCATGGCTTTTTGAAATATTTTTTCGATTAGCGAAGGCAAAGGGATCTTAGAACATCGTGATCAAAATATTTTAATTTAATTTGTTAAATCATTTTGTATAGAAAAAACAAGTGTTCTTAACAGCAACATACACATGATTGTTTCTTTGTGCTCATCTATGGTACAGCGCTGTTTGAAGAGTGTAAGTTTTGATTGTTTTCTCTCAGAGATTTCTATTAAAGTCAAGGCCAGAGCGGGCAAATTGTTCTTAACAGCAACATACACATGATTGTTTCTTTGTGCTCATCTATGGTACAGCGCTGTTTGAAGAGTGTAAGTTTTGATTGTTTTCTCTCAGAGATTTCTATTAAAGTCAAGACCAGAGCGGGCAAATTGTTCTTAACAGCAACATACACATGATTGTTTCTTTGTGCTCATCTATGGTACAGCGCTGTTTGAAGAGTGTAAGTTTTGATTGTTTTCTCTCAGAGATTTCTATTAAAGTCAAGACCAGAGCGGGCAAATTGTTCTTAACGGCAACATAAACATGATTGTTTCTTTGTGCTCATCTATGGTACAGCGCTGTTTGAAGAGTGTAAGTTTTGATTGTTTTCTCTCAGAGATTTCTATTAAAGTCAAGGCCAGAGCGGGCAAATTGTTCTTAACGGCAACATACACATGATTGTTTCTTTGTGCTCATCTATGGTACAGCGCTGTTTGAAGAGTGTAAGTTTTGATTTTTTTCTCTCAGAGATTTCTATTAAAGTCAAGGTCAGAGCGGGCAAATTGTTCTTAACGGCAACATACACATGATTTTTTCTTTGTGCTCATCTATGGTACAGCGTTGTTTGAAGAGTGTAAGTGTGGATTGTTTTCTCTTAGAGATTTCTATTAAAGTCAAGGTCAGAGCGGGCAAATTGTTCTTAACAGCAACATACACATGATTGTTTCTTTGTGCTCATCTATGGTACAGCGCTGTTTGAAGAGTGTAAGTTTTGATTGTTTTCTCTCAGAGATTTCTATTAAAGTCAAGGCCAGAGCGGGCAAATTGTTCTTAACGGCAACATACACATGATTGTTTCTTTGTGCTCATCTATGGTACAGCGCTGTTTGAAGAGTGTAAGTTTTGATTGTTTTCTCTCAGAGATTTCTATTAAAGTCAAGGCCAGAGCGGGCAAATTGTTCTTAACAGCAACATACACATGATTGTTTCTTTGTGCTCATCTATGGTACAGCGCTGTTTGAAGAGTGTAAGTTTTGATTGTTTTCTCTCAGAGATTTCTATTAAAGTCAAGGCCAGAGCGGGCAAATTGTTCTTAACGGCAACATACACATGATTGTTTCTTTGTGCTCATCTATGGTACAGCGCTGTTTGAAGAGTGTAAGTTTTGATTGTTTTCTCTCAGAGATTTCTATTAAAGTCAAGGCCAGAGCGGGCAAATTGTTCTTAACGGCAACATACACATGATTGTTTCTTTGTGCTCATCTATGGTACAGCGCTGTTTGAAGAGTGTAAGTTTTGATTGTTTTCTCTCAGAGATTTCTATTAAAGTCAAGGCCAGAGCGGGCAAATTGTTCTTAACGGCAACATACACATGATTGTTTCTTTGTGCTCATCTATGGTACAGCGCTGTTTGAAGACTGTAAGTTTTGATTGTTTTCTCTCAGAGATTTCTATTAAAGTCAAGGCCAGAGCGGGCAAATTGTTCTTAACGGCAACATACACATGATTGTTTCTTTGTGCTCATCTATGGTACAGCGCTGTTTGAAGAGTGTAAGTTTTGATTGTTTTCTCTCAGAGATTTCTATTAAAGTCAAGGCCAGAGCGGGCAAATTGTTCTTAACGGCAACATACACATGATTGTTTCTTTGTGCTCATCTATGGTACAGCGCTGTTTGAAGAGTGTAAGTTTTGATTGTTTTCTCTCAGAGATTTCTATTAAAGTCAAGGCCAGAGCGGGCAAATTGTTCTTAACGGCAACATACACATGATTGTTTCTTTGTGCTCATCTATGGTACAGCGCTGTTTGAAGAGTGTAAGTTTTGATTGTTTTCTCTCAGAGATTTCTATTAAAGTCAAGGCCAGAGCGGGCAAATTGTTCTTAACAGCAACATACACATGATTGTTTCTTTGTGCTCATCTATGGTACAGCGCTGTTTGAAGAGTGTAAGTTTTGATTGTTTTCTCTCAGAGATTTCTATTAAAGTCAAGGCCAGAGCGGGCAAATTGTTCTTAACGGCAACATACACATGATTGTTTCTTTGTGCTCATCTATGGTACAGCGCTTTTTGAAGAGTGTAAGTTTTGATTGTTTTCTCTCAGAGATTTCTATTAAAGTCAAGGCCAGAGCGGGCAAATTGTTCTTAACAGCAACATACACATGATTGTTTCTTTGTGCTCATCTATGGTACAGCGCTGTTTGAAGAGTGTAAGTGTTGATTGTTTTCTCTCAGAGATTTCTATTAAAGTCAAGGTCAGAGCGGGCAAATTGTTCTTAACAGCAACATACACATTATTGTTTCTTTGTGCTCATCTATGGTACAGCGCTGTTTGAAGAGTGTAAGTTTTGATTGTTTTCTCTCAGAGATTTCTATTAAAGTCAAGGTCAGAGCGGGCAAATTGTTCTTAACAGCAACATACACATGATTTTTTCTTTGTGCTCATCTATGGTACAGCGCTGTTTGAAGAGTGTAAGTGTTGATTGTTTTCTCTTCTCTCAGAGATTTCTATTAAAGTCAAGGTCAGAGCGGGCAAATTGTTCTTAACAGCAACATACACATGATTGTTTCTTTGTGCTCATCTATGGTACAGCGCTGTTTGAAGAGTGTAAGTTTTGATTGTTTTCTCTCAGAGATTTCTATTAAAGTCAAGGTCAGAGCGGGCAAATTGTTCTTAACAGCAACATACACATGATTGTTTCTTTGTGCTCATCTATGGTACAGCGCTGTTTGAAGAGTGTAAGTTTTGATTGTTTTCTCTCAGAGATTTCTATTAAAGTCAAGGCCAGAGCGGGCAAATTGTTCTTAACAGCAACATACACATGATTGTTTCTTTGTGCTCATCTATGGTACAGCGCTGTTTGAAGAGTGTAAGTTTTGATTGTTTTCTCTCAGAGATTTCTATTAAAGTCAAGGTCAGAGCGGGCAAATTGTTCTTAACGGCAAAATACACATGATTGTTTCTTTGTGCTCATCTATGGTACAGCGCTGTTTGAAGAGTGTAAGTTTTGATTGTTTTCTCTCAGAGATTTCTATTAAAGTCAAGGCCAGAGCGGGCAAATTGTTCTTAACGGCAACATACACATGATTGTTTCTTTGTGCTCATCTATGGTACAGCGCTGTTTGAAGAGTGTAAGTTTTGATTGTTTTCTCTCAGAGATTTCTATTAAAGTCAAGGCCAGAGCGGGCAAATTGTTCTTAACGGCAACATACACATGATTGTTTCTTTGTGCTCATCTATGGTACAGCGCTGTTTGAAGAGTGTAAGTTTTGATTGTTTTCTCTCAGAGATTTCTATTAAAGTCAAGGCCAGAGCGGGCAAATTGTTCTTAACGGCAACATACACATGATTGTTTCTTTGTGCTCATCTATGGTACAGCGCTGTTTGAAGAGTGTAAGTTTTGATTGTTTTCTCTCAGAGATTTCTATTAAAGTCAAGGCCAGAGCGGGCAAATTGTTCTTAACAGCAACATACACATGATTGTTTCTTTGTGCTCATCTATGGTACAGCGCTGTTTGAAGAGTGTAAGTTTTGATTGTTTTCTCTCAGAGATTTCTATTAAAGTCAAGGCCAGAGCGGGCAAATTGTTCTTAACGGCAACATACACATGATTGTTTCTTTGTGCTCATCTATGGTACAGCGCTGTTTGAAGAGTGTAAGTTTTGATTGTTTTCTCTCAGAGATTTCTATTAAAGTCAAGGCCAGAGCGGGCAAATTGTTCTTAACAGCAACATACACATGATTGTTTCTTTGTGCTCATCTATGGTACAGCGCTATTTGAAGAGTGTAAGTTTTGATTGTTTTCTCTCAGAGATTTCTATTAAAGTCAAGGCCAGAGCGGGCAAATTGTTCTTAACAGCAACATACACATGATTGTTTCTTTGTGCTCATCTATGGTACAGCGCTGTTTGAAGAGTGTAAGTTTTGATTGTTTTCTCTCAGAGATTTTTATTAAAGTCAAGGCCAGAGCGGGCAAATTGTTCTTAACAGCAACATACACATGATTGTTTCTTTGTGCTCATCTATGGTACAGCGCTGTTTGAAGAGTGTAAGTTTTGATTGTTTTCTCTCAGAGATTTCTATTAAAGTCAAGGCCAGAGCGGGCAAATTGTTCTTAACGGCAACATACACATGATTGTTTCTTTGTGCTCATCTATGGTACAGCGCTGTTTGAAGAGTGTAAGTTTTTGATTGTTTTCTCTCAGAGATTTCTATTAAAGTCAAGGCCAGAGCGGGCAAATTGTTCTTAACGGCAACATACACATGATTGTTTCTTTGTGCTCATCTATGGTACAGCGCTGTTTGAAGAGTGTAAGTTTTGATTGTTTTCTCTCAGAGATTTCTATTAAAGTCAAGGCCAGAGCGGGCAAATTGTTCTTAACGGCAACATACACATGATTGTTTCTTTGTGCTCATCTATGGTACAGCGCTGTTTGAAGAGTGTAAGTTTTGATTGTTTTCTCTCAGAGATTTCTATTAAAGTCAAGGCCAGAGCGGGCAAATTGTTCTTAACGGCAACATACACATGATTGTTTCTTTGTGCTCATCTATGGTACAGCGCTGTTTGAAGAGTGTAAGTTTTGATTGTTTTCTCTCAGAGATTTCTATTAAAGTCAAGGCCAGAGCGGGCAAATTGTTCTTAACGGCAACATACACATGATTGTTTCTTTGTGCTCATCTATGGTACAGCGCTGTTTGAAGAGTGTAAGTTTTGATTGTTTTCTCTCAGAGATTTCTATTAAAGTCAAGGCCAGAGCGGGCAAATTGTTCTTAACAGCAACATACACATGATTGTTTCTTTGTGCTCATCTATGGTACAGCGCTGTTTGAAGAGTGTAAGTTTTGATTGTTTTCTCTCAGAGATTTCTATTAAAGTCAAGGTCAGAGCGGGCAAATTGTTCTTAACAGCAACATACACATTATTTTTTCTTTGTGCTCATCTATGGTACAGCGCTGTTTGAAGAGTGTAAGTGTTGATTGTTTTCTCTTAGAGATTTCTATTAAAGTCAAGGTCAGAGCGGGCAAATTGTTCTTAACGGCAACATACACATGATTGTTTCTTTGTGCTCATCTATGGTACAGCGCTGTTTGAAGAGTGTAAGTTTTGATTGTTTTCTCTCAGAGATTTCTATTAAAGTCAAGGTCAGAGCGGGCAAATTGTTCTTAACGGCAACATACACATGATTGTTTCTTTGTGCTCATCTATGGTACAGCGCTGTTTGAAGAGTGTAAGTTTTGATTGTTTTCTCTCAGAGATTTCTATTAAAGTCAAGGTCAGAGCGGGCAAATTGAGCGCTGACGGTCTGTAGCTAGACGGAGAGACGACCTACAGAAGGCGGTTTATCGCAACTGGTGAAGTCGAAGATAGGTTTTGTGTTGCGACTTGGAATACATCCTATACCTTTAAACGAGCAATTCTTGTATATATATAATCGGGATCTTGGAAACGGCTCTCACGATTTTCATAAAATTTAGTGTCCAGGGAGTTTCGGGGGCAATAAATCGATTTAACTAGGATTTATTTTTAGAAAATGTCTATTTTTTCTATTACGTCAATAAGATCAAAAAATATTATTCATGTAATTTGTATCTAAATGTACCTTAAAAAAAAGCGAGCAAACCGGTCATCCGGGTACTTTTTGTTAAGCTTTGAAGTGGTGTAGTGACTGTGATAATGAAAAGTTACCTGTGAATGAGATCAATGAGGTCGCTTGTAAGTTGTTTCTTAAATAAGTATTGTAAGTTGTTTGTACAATCTGTACTTTATTATAAAATGTTATTTTAAAAAAAGGTTTCGCCGAGTCTCTTTTTGGTTCTTCCCAGAAAAGAGGTTTTTCCGAATCAGTAATAATAGTAAAAAATAACTTTTAATAAAAATAACTTGCAATCCACATTAATATAAATTTTTCATGAATAAAAAGTATTGTATTGTTTTTATTTGACCGACCCGTGTGCGTGTCGCGCCGGTTCGCGCAGCTCGCCGTAGACGACGTCGGGCACGACGCGCTGCAGCTGCGCCTGCAACTGCTGCAGCTCCTGCTGCTCCTGCTGCTCCTGCTGTAACATTTCAACTTTAATTGTACTACTGATTATTCTAAATATATACTGTAATATTATATATTTAGTATATAAATGAATAAATATACAATACCATATGTTTAGTACTTAAGTATATAAATATTTACTGTCGTAGGGGCTCTATACTACACTGCACACAGCTATGTATGTCTTAAACGAGCACACAGTTCATTTGATGGTGAGTAGATGTTGTGACCCATAGACATATTTATTTTGTAGTTATGTGGTCGCATCATTAGTGTTTATATTAGTTGCAGATGACAGAAGTATGTTAATTAAAATGTGAAAATATAAATTTATATTAAACTACAGTAAATGAAATTTTCTCTGAAGTTATTGGCTGGTTAAACAAACACAATTTACAAAAAACATATGATTATATATTGCAGTTGTTGTAGTTGTCACGTTCTATCATTTACAGTAAAATATAACCACTTTAAAATGAATATAGTTAACAGTTACAATTTTTTAGAAATAACCGTTGGCAAAACGTTTAATTGAAAGGTATATATTGTTGTCTTTTGCAATATTAGTATGTTATATATGTATGTATATGTTTACCTCAAAACGCTTGAGGGAAACGATGTTTACAGAGGCCGCGTCAGTTGCTGTAAAAACTAGAAATGTGTCAATTAAAATAGGATTGCGCGCTTGACTAGTTTGTTTTGTAAACGTTCTAATACAGTTTTCATAATTATTTTTATGATTAAATCTAAAATTTTACCCCTTAAAATTTTTACATTTAATTATTACGATTAAAAGCACGTAAAGCTCGTGAAGACATGCTGGGTCTAGGCGCCAATAATGACGGGGACTGTATAGGTTCCGAGAAGGGCGCTGACGTACACGGGGTTACATTCAACACAGTCGGTGGGTCAGTGGCGAAGCTAGGGCTCCAAACTAGGGCAAGCCCAAGATATGGTTTTGTTGTTTTTAGCAGTTTAATAAAAATACACCAATCTTCAGCTGTCTCCACTCTTTAGTTTCATATTCAGTGCTGACAAGGACGTGTTTAACAAAGCACACAGAAAGCATACTACCGCTAGATAGATTGTATGACATAATATGCAATTTGCTTGAGATATTTACAACCAATACAATACATGAACAAAGTACAAACAAACTATGTACAAAGTTAAAAAAGGGACGCCTGGCAGATGTGAAACCTCGAAATTATATTTTAAGTTATATGCATAAAAGAACAGATTACGACAGGAACTAGATAGTTATAATGAGAAGATAAAGCTTTGCTAATTTTTTACCATAAAATAATGACTATTTATTATAATTATTCATTTTCAATTCATAATAAACCGTACAAAATGATATTTTTAAACTCATATATCACTATAAATTAGCCGATAGCGTATTTGTGCCATCTAGCGTAATCTTTAGGTACCATCGTGAGAATCAACCAATTTTCGTTCGATAAAATGACTTTAACTATAGAATTAAGTAGATGGCGCCACTAAAATTTTATATACTGAAAAGTAGACAGAGAAACCTAACTGGAAATAACTAAAGGGAGTACTATTCTTTAAAAACCTCAATACATTCTTCTATATTCTTTTGATTTATTTAATTAAAATTTGGGCTTCACGTTAAAAAAAGATTGTAACACTTATTTCCTCTAAAATTAAACCTAGGTCTCATACTTTATGCTGCTGTTCAAATTGATATTTTTAATTCGTATGGTAATATTGTTGCGCGCCTAAGTTGACGTCATGTTGTGACAGGGACGAGAGCAGGGGGGAACTTTCCAGAAAATGACATCACTAATCTTTCAACCGACAGCGCCATCTAGTGTCGAAAAGAAGAACTAAGCTTCTAGAAGCCGACACTCGAACTTTCGACGCCTTGCGCGTATTTACTTGAATATTCTGGATGTTTCGGTGCTAATGTGTATTTATAGGCGCTGCAAGGTGCGATCGGGGAAGTATTGAATTTGGCGAGACAAGCGAAGCTTCGGAGCGAAATAAAGTGAATCAGTGTGGTTAATTATTAGTGTTTTAAGTTTTAATTGGTGTTCGGGAATAAAAGTGTAAATTTTGGTGATTCAATCGGCAGTTTTTATTGTCACGAACCTCAAGCTCGTAACAATATTAATATTGAGTTATTAAACCTTTAAATACGCCTAACTTAATTAAACTTTAATACTAAAGAGTCCTGTACCTATATTTAAAGTATGAAGAAATGTTTATTGAATATTAAATTTCATTTTTAAAGATTTTTACCTTTTCTTCGCCGATTAGTACTTCAACACACTTATATTCATCACAATGAACACTATTATCCTCCCATTTTCACTGAAAATCTTCGAAAAAGCATAAATTTTTAACAAACACAACAAAAACAAACATAAACATTGAAATGTGAAGTGAACTTGCATACGAGGGGCCCGCAACTACTTCGCTAGTCGCTAACGCACTCCTAAACAACTTCATAGCAAAGCCAGGCTTGTTGGCTCTATAGTAATTGCTATATAAACATTTCGTAGTTATATTTCATTATAGAATATTTTGCCATAGGTTAGAAAGAGAGCGATCGTCTTCTCGAAAGCCCCGTAAAAAGCCCACGCGAGTGAGGGAGACAACTAATCGCTCTATTAAAACTCATTTTATGACAGCAGCAGTATCGCCACAGAGTACCTTTGTACCTAAACGTATCGCTAAGGCAATACGAGGTCATCGGTCGACATGTGTCGAACAGTGGAGTGCGCGGGAAAATTGAAATAATTTGAAACAGTTTAGGAGTTATTTTATTAGTTGATATTAAGGATTGATATGATTGATTGATTCAGTTTTAATAAGGCAAGCCCGGCTTTTCGGCTTTAATGGAAGCTTCGCCACTGTGGTGGGTGTGTCTTTGACGCTGTCGGTCCAAACAACGTAATTTGAAAGATTTCTCATCGTTAATCGCAATTCCGATACACATAAAATATATGTCATATTTTTATCTTCGTGAACCACCCTTTTAGTAACTTTTTTAATTATCACGGCGTTTTCCGCATTGCCATTACCTTGTGGTCTGTAAGGTACCATGCTAACATGTTTGATGCAACTCATATTGCAGTAGTCTCAAAAATCATGCGATTAAAATGTCCATGACGAATTGCGAAGGTAACGAAAATCTGAAAAAGATATCTCTGCAATAGTCAATTGCGCATTTGCACTATTCATAGCAGACCCTTTAATCCATTTACAATGAGCTTACACTATGACTAGATAATTTTTCCCGCGAATTCAGCGAAATACTATGTACACGATCAAGTGTAAACTAGCACGGAAGAACCGCAACACGAAATAACGCGTCGCGGACCACACGACACGACTTGCAATTTTGACATATATCTTATCTAGACTGGGCCAGTAAACAAATATTTTTTGGTAAACTTTTCATTTTATTAATACCTTACTGAACACCGTGAATCTTCTTTAAAACTCATGTACAAAGTACTAGATATATAATAAGTCTATACTTAAACAGTAAGCAACTGAAATTCGTTACAATCTCTCTCTTACGCACGAAATATAGTTTATCTTCTTCGTATCCGCCTCAGACGGCCAACCGAAAATGACCTACCCTAAAATTTTACATAAAATTAACTATTTTTATTTCATAGCAAATTCCTTAAAACCTACGGACATGCACTCCTCTATTATATTTAAATAACGCATCTATCGGAAGATTATTCTTTGAAAGCACAAAGACAACAAAATCATAGGCTGCAAAACGTGACGGCCAGCGCTGTAAGGAGCTCGCGGCTGTCTGTTGTATACCTCCACGTACCCCAAATATATAGATTAGCAACTGGTGACCCGTGCTCAAAACGAACTTTCTACAAGTAGAAATACTAGGTGTGTTCAGTAGTACTATAAAAAACTACTAGCGCTTCTTTATCTAGTTGACTGTAATTACATGCATCTATGTTCAGAGTTCGTAAAACAGCTAAGCGGCCTATCACTATCATCTAGGTAGCGATGCGCGAGCACCGCACCCACCCCGTACCGCCCCTGCCCACCGCCAGCAAGAGCGGACGGCCCTCCTCGTAATAAATAAGCAACCGATAATTCGTTAACACTTATTTATCCCCTATGAAGGTCCACTCACACTTTGAGTTCCATGAAGAGGACAATGGGTTATGAAAAAACTGCATGTATTAATCTTAACTGTTAAACCCATATTACATAACCATTCAATGACCATTTTTAAAATGTAATTATTTATACAGGCCTGTAATGCAGATGTCATTCAAAAATACTACTGTTCCCGGTATACCCCGCAATTTCCTGCATAAGCTTGAAACTTTTCAGGAATATACGCCGAAAGGGGGTACGACGATTTGCGAATATCCCTACATGTGTAGTTATTGGAGTATATGGTCGGGAAATCTTTTTGATATGAATGTTTCAAGTAAATTTTCGAAAATTCTACTCCAACACTTAAGGAAGCAAATAATTTCTCGATCCTTGGTATAGAATAATAGTACTGTCTTAGTTTCGAGTTTATACTTATTGTATAATCCCCATATATCCATATATTCCTACACTCGTTGACAACTGGTACTATCGGAATTCCATACTCGGAATGATCTCGGCGACACACAGTGCCCGGTCGCTCGAGACGCACGAGTTCCAGTGCGAGCCGCGCGCAACGCGAGAGGCACGGGCCTCGCGCGAACATTTACGGGTTCCGTATCCGACAAGTCTAATTCAGTAATTTATTTACAAGTGCCCAGTTTATCAGTAAAACCCTTTGGAAACTCAGTCAATAATTGACCTATAAATGCATCATCAAGAATTTCATGAAAGTTAATTTGTGTTATATTTTATAACGCAAATCGACTTTCGACCTCCTCCGTTTTTGATGACGAATTGTAATATTTTAGTTCGAGTGTCACCCAGTTGAACATCGACATAAATGTAACCAATCGATTCGATACGGGAGCCTGCATGAACTGCTCCAGCGTCACCAGCCCCACCAGCTGTCAGCAGGCAGACGGTAGCACACTACACTGCAGCACGTACCCTGGCCTGCTGGTCGCTGCGCACGCGGTCCCGCTCCAGACCCAGGTGCACGCGGCCGCTGTAGCGCTGGTGCCGCTCCTCCGCCTGGCGCTGCAGCATGAACTGCTCCAGCGTCACCAGCCCCACCAGACTGTCAGGCTTCTGCACCTGACGCTTTGGCACCTGAGAGAAGGATGACATAGCTTTGTTAATTTCGGAGTTGTAGGAACGTAAGGACGGAGATATGAGTGGCATTAGATCATGTTGAAGTCCCCTGGCTATTTATTAATAAACATTTATTTAAATAATAAACATTTAACTCCGCCACATCTTACACAATTACATTTCTTTCACGAATATCTTAAACATTTTTGGTTGTTGTGGGAGACAGGAGCCCAAATTAAGTTACCCTGTGCTATGGGTCTCCTGGCTCCCCCTATTGACTTTATTACAATTCTTATACCTAACGTGGTACCTAAACGTGAAGTGAGCGTTGCATGTGAAGATCGAATATAAAGTTTCTAAAATGTAAATAACAATAAAAGGCACATTGAAAATATATAGCACGCAATATATTTGAAATTAAAGTATATAATTGATAGAATCAGGCGTTACTTTGCGGAAATCCATTATAATAAAGATATTAATAGTTATTTTGCAACCAACCGCTAAATTAAATAAAATGATGTGTCTTCCCTAGCTACCTCCCGCCCTCCCTCAATTACATGCACTAATCTCGTCACCACCAATCCCAGCACCACTACTCCTAACGCCACTACTCCCAACACTATTATTTTAGGAAAGACACCATCCGCTAGCTGTCAGCCGAAATAAAGTCAATATAACCTGGAGATGCCTCGTGTAGAGGGGAAACACGTGTCGTATTATCGTCGATGGTGTGTCTTACCTGGAATAGTGGTGTTGGGAGTAGTGGTGCTGGAATTGGTGGTGACGGGATTAGTGCACGCAATTGAGGGACATCTCAATTCGCAATTGAGGCTCTTCAAACTAGGGAAGACACATCATTTTATTTAATTTAGCGGATGGTCTTTATTAAAGTATATAATCAAAATAATGTTACGACTTAGGGTTCGTGACCATAAAAACTGCCTATTGAATTACCAAAATTGACACTTTAATTACCGAACACCAATTAAAAGTTATAGCATGGTATTTTCTAGAAAGCTCTTCTTGCTCTGCTACCTTCCTGCTGCGACACTAGATGACGCTAGGGGCATTAATTATGGCTTGCAACAATAATATATAAAATCAAACACGTCTGGAAAAAATTAGGGTGACTAATTTTAAATAAACTTTCGGAAAAAAAATAAAAACCAAAATTTTGGAACTAAATAAATCAATTAAAAACTATCGAAATTCAACTAAGACGCACCCAGTTAGTAGTATTTATTGATAGATCAATTTTATAATATGTTTACGTAAAAATATATTTAAAATATCAATACTATAGGCTTCTATTTCGTTCACCTGTTTCCAGAAAGTAAAAAATAGTCCAGAAAGAAAGGAGTTTCGGCAGTCATTTGCATGATGCGAGGCAGTAATGCGGATACGGTATTTTGTAATGCAAAAGGTCATTCTTGAGACAAGATTTGGACAATCAATTTTACTGTTTATCATATCGTACAACAAAGCCTGTCAAGCATAACACGCCTATGGTCCAAAATTAAGAGATCGTTGATTAAAACTTCTTTTACAGATTTTATCGCGTTACGTAAATACAAGAAATCATTAAATAAGAGATCGAGCTCTGTGCAACTATCTACGTAAATATAAGAAATCATTAAATAAGAGATCGAGCTCTGTGCAACTATCTACGTAAATATAAGAAATCATTAAATAAGAGATCGAGCTCTGTGCAACTATCTACGTTAATATAAGAAATCATTAAATAAGAGATCGAGCTCTGTGCAACTATCTACGTAAATATAAGAAATTATTAAATATAAGAAATCATTAAATATAAGAAATCATTAAATATAAGAAATCATTAAATAAGAGATCGAGCTATGTGCAACTATCTACCTAAATATAAGAAATCATTAAATAAGAGATCGAGCTCTGTGCAACTAAGATCGAGCTCTGTGCAACTATCTATGTAAATATAAGAAATCATTAAATATAAGAAATCATTAAATAAGAGATCGAGTTCTGTGCAACTATCTATGTAAATATAAGAAATCATTAAATAAGAGATCGAGCTCTGTGCCACTATTTACGTAAATATAAGAAATCATTAAATAAGAGATCGAGCTCTGTGCAACTATCTACGTAAATATAAGAAATCATTAAATAAGAGATCGAGCTCTGTGCAACTATCTACGTAAATATAAGAAATCATTAAATAAGAGATCGAGCTCTGTGCAACTATCTACGTAAATATAAGAAATCATTAAATAAGAGATCGAGCTCTGTGCAACTATCTACGTAAATATAAGAAATCATTAAATAAGAGATCGAGCTCTGTGCAACTATCTATGTAAATATAAGAAATCATTAAATAAGAGATCGAGCTCTGTGCAACTATCTACGTAAATATAAGAAATCATTAAATAAGAGATCGAGCTCTGTGCAACTATCTATGTAAATATAAGAAATCATTAAATAAGAGATCGAGCTCTGTGCAACTATCTACGTTAATATAAGAAATCATTAAATAAGAGATCGAGCTCTGTGCAACTATCTACGTAAATATAAAGTAAAAAAGTAAAGTTACAGCCTATATACGTCCCACTGCTGGGCTCAGGCCTCCCCTCATTTCTGAGAGGGTTTAGGGCAAGGAAGTGTCCGCCGCGCTGCCCAAATGCGTGTTGACGAACTTCACATGTCTTCGAAATATTTTTTTTCTTATTCTTCAGACATGCAGGTTTCCTCATGATGTTTTCCTTCACCGCCGAGCACGTGGTAAATCAGCACTTAAAATTGCAATTAACAATTTCATTGGTGCCGGCGGGGATCGAACCCGGGTTACTCGCGTTCTGTTATATTTACAGCGAGCGTTAACCACTGAGCTACCACGGCTCTTTACGTAAATATAAGAAATCATTAAATAAGAGATCGAGCTCTGTGCAACTATCTACGTAAATATAAGAAATCATTAAATATAAGAAATCATTAAATAAGAGATCGAGCTCTGTGCAACTATCTACGTAAATATAAGAAATCATTATATATAATATATCATTAAATATAAGAAATCATTAAATAAGAGATCGAGCTCTGTGCAACTATCTACGTAAGTATCGAGTTAATGACGACAGCGAAAGTTAAAGTGATCAACAAATATTTTTTAATTCGCTCAAGGCGCTTTTGTAAACATTGTACAGTGGAAACCATGTTGAACTAGCATATTTCAAAAGGCATTTTAATTGCACTAATATCCGAGAATAGTTTACAGATGTAAAGAACAAACCCAAGATTTTTATAGGCTTTACTGATAATAATATAATCAATGTGCTCGGATAGTATTTTATAATCAAATGTAACTAAATACCTGACACTTGGTTTTCAGCTGATTTCTACTCTATTAAAGTTATATTTATGTAACTTAGTTTTCGTTGTAAGAGTAATATTCTAATAGCATTCGCACTTGCCTGCATTAAAAGATATATTATTTGTCCAATAGTGTTAGTAAACTGTCCAAATTCTTTTTTTATCAATAGGCATTCATCATTTTGTGATATGTGTTAATTTTACAAAAAATTTGCTGGTCGTCCGCATACATAATGATAATTAGAGAGTTCTATGCACGAATATATTGTTTCATATAAGTAGGCATTGTAAAATGCTTGACCTAAATGAGAGCCCTAGCCCAGTCGACTTTTGTACGTTCATATGGCTCGAGCGGTAACCTAAAAATTCAGTTCACCGGAGCAAGTCACCATGAATTCCTAATGTTTGTACCTTGTTGAGCAGGATCACGTCATCTACACGGTCGAAAGCTTTTTCAAAATCAGTGTGAATCACATAAATCTCCCCACCTTGATCCATATTCTGAAGGACATAAGTAAGCCTTAGCAAATAAAATAAGTTAAGGATATGTAGCATGAAAGCGTAGTTACGTTACATATGTACTACTTGTTCAAGAATTTTAGCTACGGTGTTCAAAATAGAAATGCCTCTATAATTCTTTACATCCGTACGTGACCCCTTCTTGTGTACTGGGACTATAGGCGCACACTTTCATTTATGCGGAAAGATTCTTCACGCAGAGAGCAGTTAAATATAAAAGTTAAGTAAAAAAAGTGATTTAGCACATCGTGACCAAGAAACCTATCAGTAACAGCACTTATGTTCGTGTTCAAAGTTTTCAACAGTTTTTCGACTATTGTATTGTTTATCTGTACATTAAAAACTATGTCAGTACACATCGATTGCCTATGCATAATACACTCCGAAAGCATGCGGTGAAACCATTGCATGTGTCTACACCTTAACTCTGTACCTTACTCAGTACCTTCACATTTTCGTAGGATATTTTGACCCACCTTAAATTTGCTTTTACTACAACCAGAACATATTAAGTGACTACAGCAACTTATGTAACAAGGATACGGGTGTATTTTCACACCAGAGTAGTGATCGTAAATCACAACTTAATTTATTATTATCAGACACTATAAGACATTGACAAACCTGTAGTGGTAAACGAAATGCACCACAGCACAATATTGAGTGACGATCTGGTAAGATATGCATGAGATCGATGGTTGCAAGTGGCTCACATTTGTGGTTTGTTCTTGAAGGAGGCCTCTGTTCAGCAGTGTAACTGTATAGGAATGTAACGATGATTCTGGTGCGGACTGTGTTGCCTGTATAGCTGTCTAACGTTAATAAATAAGAGCTATTAATAAACTCCAGCAATCGGATCTCGTTACCTGTATCGCGGGTTTGGTGACAAAGTCGCTCTTCTCAAAGTCGAGTAGGTTAGGGTTGGAGGCGTGGATGTAGTTGATAGGTTTGGGAATCTTTTTGACGGCTGCTGTACTGCGCGGGTGCTCGGCTGGGGCTCGGCTAGGACTGGCCTGCTAGTCATAAATGACACATTTTGTTTTAAATCAATTTTTACGTGGTTCAGCCATGTTGCAGCTATATTACGGTGCTACACGAATAGATCGGTTCGACCGGAGAAAGACCACGCTCTCACAGAATACCAGTGTAAAATAACAGCACAATGTTTCTGCGTTTTGTATGGTGAGCGTAGAGAACCGCAGACCCTTTTTACTGGAAACGAGATATTCCGTGTTAGGTAACAACTGATTTGCATTCTGATTCCTAACCGAGGATAGATTTAAGTGTCTTTGGGCCACAGCATCCACTTACCATACGGTGGACTATGTGCTCATTTGTCACCCTTATTCTAATAACAATATTTGGGTAACTTCCAGTTAAAAGGGTCTCCGGATCTACAATCACGACACGAAACACAACAACATTAACCATCTATTTTACGCTGATATTCTGTGAGAGCGTGATCTTACCCCGGTCGAGCCGACCTACATACTAAAACGATAATATAGCTGTAGCATGACTTTACCACCGATCACATGATAAAACAGCACTCAAAATGCCACTAACAAAAATAATTTAAAGTTCGGACACGATTAACTTTCGTACATGAAGTTTATGGCGATCCCTTAGCACAACAACAGACTGCTACGGGCCGCCAAAGAACTAACGGATTGTAAAAAAAAACAAGTCTTACCTTGTTCGGCTTGGGTTCATCCTTCGTCTTGTTCCTGGAGAAGAAGCGAAGATATTTCCTATCTAAGCTGGTGGACGAGTGGCTTACGTTCTCCTGAGATTCACTTCTCTGCATGCGGTGCGTCAACTTCTTCAAGGAGCCGAACTTGGACTTGTCCTTGTCTTTTTCTTTTTCTTTCTCTTTGTCTCGTTCCCTGGGTTCGCTTGGTTTCTCGGGACTCTCGCAGTCAGATTCAGTTTCAGAGTAATCCGTTTCGGAAAACTGCTTAAAAAGCTCCATCTACGTAATATTTACAGACATTGTAAACGATTTAATATATAATTTAAATATATCTCTCTCATTACATTAAGTGCTACATAGGGCACACTAAAAGTAATAAAATACCACACTCTTAATAGGTCATCCTGCAGTTAAACAGCATCTGCCTAAAATATGGTAAATATTTTCATCATCAGCAACACACAATAAGCGTGATGATTTTAAGCAGGTTTCAATGTCGGCTTTAACTCGGCCTCTATAATCTTGACCTTTTGTTGCCATTTTTTGACAATCTTTACATAATGTCAATGATACTGCTCCATGGCGCAGTGAGTTAATGAGAATCAGCGCTATGGGCCGCGGATTCGATTCCCGCATGGAACAAGCATTTGTGGGGCCTACAAATAATTGTTCCGGGTCTGAATTTTTATCCTAATGAAATTCATGTTTGTAAACTGCCCCATCGATACAGGCGAATATCTTAGTGTAGAAGTAACGTTAATTTAAAAAAATAATAAAAAAATATTATAAGTTGGTCAAATTATAAGCTGCATACGCAGCATTATGAAAATCTATACAAATAAATAAAATTAAAATGTCTGTTTGTAAAGTAAAATAACAGCTTTATACTCAATGCATACGAAAGTATATTCATTGAGTATAACGGTTATTTTGCAATGTATGCCCGAATTCGCAGAGGAGGTTCAGTTAAAAAAGTTAATAAAAAAATACGTGTGGCACTCGGTGACTGCCGCGATAAGCTATTGCATAGCATTTTTTATCAACTTATGCAATTATAATTATTTATTTATTTTATTTATTCAGTTAAGTCTTTGATATTAAATCAAGTTACACTTTTTGAGCGTGGTGACCGATAAGAAAACATTTTTTTTCTCTTATTGAATAAATGAGAAGTTAACATTGTTTAAAATATTTTTAATACCTTACAATACATGTAGGTTATTCAGGAATTTTTATCATTGAGTTAGCAGCTAGTGTACACGCATACGTCTAGTCGCACGCACACAAACACCGTGCCGAAGTCTGCCGAGTGCCGAAGTCTGCCGAACTGAAACGACGTTAGACGATGCACGGCTTTCAACGCCACACCTCCGTGCCCGTCGGAATGGGGAGCGTGAGGTTTTTTTTCGTTACGGAATTTCTGGATTCGGTCCCCGCGCTCAAGGCCCGCGATAGAAGCTATGCAATATGCTTAAAAATCTCAAACATTCTGTCCTTTACATCTTTTTATTCAGAATGCCTAGTAATGCATTATTTTAAGCGATTGTCATTCATAAAAATCTAACGCTTATGTATTTTACTACGAAAACACACATTCGTACCGTTGCTCGGTTACAAAAGATATATCGTCGCGCATCTTCCCGCAGCCCGCACTCTTCCCTCGCCTTCAACGGCTAGCCGACTGGCAGCTGACAGTGTTGATAGTCACCTTAATACGTACGAGTGTGCCATTTTTAAACTATAGTAAGTAGGGTCGCATTGTTATCAACTTATCAATGACGGTACAAAAATATTCGAACTGCGAATACTATGAAACTATATAAGTAATACCGTAAAAACAGGAGGGCGACCATCTGTCCCAAGGAGGTGTCGGATTTATCGTCCACAAGTCTCTCGTCAACAACGTTGTAAAGATTGGGAGTGTGTTGACGAGGGTCGCGTACCTGATACTCAGAATCACCAAACGGTATCCGCTGAAAGTCATACAGGTCTACGCACCAACCTCGGCACATCCCGATGAAGAGGTGGAGGAAATGTATGAGGATATTTCTAGAGCCATGCATTCCTCCAAAACCCACTACACGGTGTTGATGGGAGACTTCAACGCAAAACTAGGCACAAGACAAGGCGGTGAGCTGAACTTAGGAAAATTTGGAGTAGGGCAACGGAACCGTTGGGGCCAGCAGCTGGCTAACTTTATGGAGAATGTACACGTACACGTATGGTTGCGTACTAATTGGAGAGTATCAATAAAACTTCAGGAGCCCGATATACGTGTGTTTATTATGATACACAAATTGATACTGATTAAATATTGATTAAACATCATGTAGGCACAGTACACCCCCCTTTATAAAAAAATAATAGCTATATGCTATAAAATTAAATGTATTTATTTTATCCCCTTTATAAAAAAACAAATGTAGAAAAAAATAGTTACATGAAAAATATTACTATCTATAATGCCGTATGACGCACTATTCTTTTTTTTACTTTTACCACACTATCACTTTATCACTACACTATAACGTGCTGTGGGGGGCGGCTGTCGAAGCCCGGCTCCCCCCGCGCCGCCCGCGCGCAGCTCCAGCCGCGGCAGCTCCATCAGCTCCCGCCGCAGGTACCTGGCGTACCCCGTCTTACAGTAGCGCCACACTACGTACAGTATGGCCAGCAGGATGCATGTAATTATTATGAGGAGGTATGTCTCCTGCCGCACATGCACCGGTAAGTGAGTCTCGCTCTGCGCCGTGGCGGCGCTATTCCCGGCGCCGCTCTGCGCGATGATCACCTCTTCAACTTTTTTGCTCTGCGGTGTACCCATCTTAGCAGCTAATTGACTGTCACACACACGTATTTACACAGCGAAACGAACAACAGGTTTAATTACTCGTCCGAATCTCGACACCTTGCTATTACTGCTTACGTTCGGAGTTCCCTTATTAGGAGCATCTGTGCATTCTTGTGATATGATCGTATACGCTGGCTTTAGCCGATCGATGATTACAACTTTCGGCGTATCCGATTGCATAATTTTAAAATATTTCTCTGTCTTGTTAATTACTTTGAAGGGACCCATGTATGGTTGAGTAAGTGGTTTGGACACCTTGTCAACCCGTACAAATACATGTGTGCAGTCTTTTAAGTCAGGGTGTATGAAAATTTTTCCTTGATGTAACTCTTTTCTTGGAACGGAAGCCAAATGCGATATTTTTCTACGCAGCTCTTGCACAAATAAAATATTGTCGGAGGTTTCTAGCCTTAGCGGCTGAAAAAAATCTCCAGGCAATCGTAGTGCTTCTCCTAATACCATCTCTGCAGCGCTGGTTTGCGTATCGTCTCTCAGACATGCTCTTAATCCCAATAAGACTGTTGGTAACTCCGAAACCCATTGGTCAGTGTTGCCTCTGCACGATGCCATTCGACTGGGGGTGATAAGCCGTTGTTCTAAATTTTCTGATACCCATCCTCTTGGCTAAGTGCCTAAACAATTGCGATAAGAAAGTAGAGCCTTGATCTGTAGTTAAATTTAAAGGACATCCGAATCGTGATATCCACACGATACCCAGAGTACATGATATCCGCTACTGTCTCGGCTGTGATATCCTTGACTGGGTAGGCTTCCGGCCATCCAGTTTTCCTATCCACCATTGTCGCAACATATCGATGGCCTTGACAATATGTAAGTGGTCCAACTATATCCATATGTAGATGATCAAATCGGTCGCCATTTACAAAATGTCCATGGGGTGACATCGTATGTCTTTGTATTTTTGATTTTTGGCAGCCTACACAACCTTTGACCCATTCAGTCACGTCTTTGTTCATGCCATGCCATATATATCTATCTTGCATCATTTTTCTCGTTGCACGCGTGCCCGGGTGACTAATTCCGTGCACCGCGTTGAAAGCTGATACGCGAAATTCCTTAGGCAAATATGGGCGTGCTCGGTTCAAAGACATATCGCAATGAATTGCTTTGTTACAATTTGGTACTAATATTTTCTTAAAAGATAATGACTTTGATTTCATTAGATTATGCAGCTCAAAATCATTATTCTGTGCTTCGGCTAACTTTTCATAATCTAGCGGTGATGGTATGTCAATTTCTGATATTCTTGATAAACAGTCAGCAACAGTATTTTCCAAGCCTGAAATATGCCTTATTTCTGTACAAAATTGCATTATGAAGTCAAGTTGCCGTATTCTGCGTGGTGTGTCATTTTTACTAATTGTGTTTTTACGTAACGAGTAAACTATTGGTTTGTGATCGGTGTATACTATAAGAGGTCTGCCTTCAATAAAAGGTCGAAAATGCTTAATAGCAATATAAATGGCCAACAACTCTCTATCATACGTTGAGTAACGTTGTTGTGTTTCACTCAATTTCGATGAAAAAAATCCTAATGGTTTCCATGCCTCGCCTTCTTTTTGCTGCAACACAGCACCTGCACATGTGCTGGAGCAGTCCGTCATGAGAGCAATCGGTGCATCCGGCGACGGGAACGACAGTGTAACTGCGCTTTTAAGGCTTTGTTTACACTGTTCAAACGCCTCAATACTTTCATCCGTCCATGGAATCGAACTCTTGTCTTTCTTTTTACAATTATGGAGAAATACGTTTAATTTCGCTTGGATTCCGGCGGCCTTCGGTAAATGTCTTCTATAAAAGTTGATCATTCCGAGAAAACGACGAAGTTCTTCCACTGTCTTTGGCCTTGGATATTCAGAAATGACCTTGACTTGATCGTCCAATGGCTTCATGCCTTCCTTTGACATCCGGAATCCCAAAAAATCTATTTCAGTCTTGCCAAATTCGCACTTTGCTAAATTTATTGTAATACCATATTTATCCAATCTCTGTAATACCTCTCTTATGTGTTGCCTATGCTCATTTTTCGTTGATGACGCTATAATAACGTCGTCAATATATATAAATACGAAGTTAAGATTCCGTAACACTTCGTCTTGCATGAAACGTTGAAATGTTTGCGCCGCCGTACGGAACCCGAAACCAAGGCGTAAAAATTCAAACAAACCGAATGGCGTTGTTATAGCCGTCTTCGGAATGTCGTCCTTATGTATAGGAATGTTATGGTAGGCCCGTTGAATATCAATTTTCGTAAACATACTTTTCCCGTGCAATAAATAACTACAATCTTGGATGCGCGGTATCGGATATCGATCCGGCTTGCTGATCGCGTTCAATGCTCGATAATCGCCGCACGGTCTTAGCTCGCCGTTCTTTTTCGTAACGACATGAAGAGGACTCGCCCAGTTGCTCTTAGAGGGTCTACATATTCCCATCTCTTGCATGCGTTGGAACTCAGCTTTAACCTTATAGTATTTATCGGGTGGTAAAGGCCTTGGACGTGCGAATACAGCGGGGCCCGAAGTCTCTATACGATGTACCACCGAGTGACAAGGAAGCTCCTTAAAACACATTGGCTTCGTTACGTTGGGAAATTCGCCTAATATATCGCTATATTCATTCATACAGTCAATTGTTCTCACGGACGGTTCATTTTGCACAGTCACAGACGCAATAGTTTTTAGACTAGTCACTGAGTGATAAGTTTTTTATTGTTCACATCCACTAATAGTTTATAATGGGCTAATAAATCAGCACCGAGTATTGGTTGCTTGACGTCTGCCACCACAAATGACCAACGCAATGGTCGTCGTAACTTAAGGTCTAAGTCCAATGTTTTAACACCAAAAGTCTTAATTTCACTCCCGTTCGCAGCGTACAGTTTATAGTCTTCACATTTTGCACTTGATACGCGATTTTTATTCACCGGCAGCACTGAAATGTTCGCACCAGTGTCCACTAAAAATCGGAGTCCACTGCTATTGTCCGTGATACATAATCGGGGAACAGGAGCTATGGTGCAAATCTCCACCTGCGATTGCACCAGATCTAGTTTTCCTTCTTGTCTGTTTTAGGCCAGGCGCACGGTTCTACACATTTCGTAGCTCTATGGTGATATTTATAATGATAACTACACAGCCAGTCCGGACTATCAGGTGAGCGCCGTGTCGTATTACGAGTACGGCCGCGTGAGTTAGATCGCGATCTGGAGCGATATTGATAATTATTTCTACGATAATCACGATGTCTATCTCTCTCCAAATCGCTGATTTTTAGACTTAATTTGGCAATCTCCGCCAGAATTAACGCAGTCTCTGTGTTCGTACTACTTTGTGTAGCTTGCACTTCTGTCACTTGTAAGGGTCGCGCAGTCTCTACAACCTTGTCCGCGATTGCTGATAAATGCTCCAGGTCTTTTACTTCACACACTGCTAATACACTTCTCACAGACGACGGCAGATGACCTTGCCACATTATCCGAAGTGTTTCGTCGGGTATCTTTTCTCGAGCCAATTCCCTCATCCGCCTAAGGAGTTGAGAGGGTTTTTGATCTCCCAACTCCATCTCACTCAAAAGTTTTTGAAACTGTCTAATCTCGGACTCTTCGTAGACCTTTAACAATCGCTCTTTCAAAGTATCGAATTTCCTTCCCTCGGGCGGCTTGATAAGAATGTCGCTGACTTGCTGGATTACATCCTTCCCCAATTTAATGACTACCATGTTGTATCTCGCTTCATCGCTCATCTTCTGCGGTGCAAGGACAGCTTCGCACTGGATGAACCAGAGCCGCGGCTGATCGGCCCAAAATTCGGGTATTCTCGAGGAAACACTAACAACTGCTACTTCTGCTGACCCGCTAGTACTTGCTTTATTTTGGCCGTCTTGCTGCGAAGTCATTGTGGTTCTTCTTTCCTTTGTCAGGTTAGTGAAACGCACTTTGATTCTCGAACGTGTTCGCGTAACTTGAGATCGGGGTCACCACTGTACACGTACACGTATGGTTGCGTACTAATTGGAGAGTATCAATAAAACTTCAGGAGCCCGATATACGTGTGTTTATTATGATACACAAATTGATACTGATTAAATATTGATTAAACATCATGTAGGCACAAGAAATAGGGTCTCTTTATGATGAACTCTTTCTTCCAGAAGCGGCCCCACAGGAAGTGGACCTGGTCGAGCCCCCACGGTTCGACAAAAAATGAAATTGACTTTATTATGACGACCAGACGCTAACTGTTCAGTGATGTCTCAGTGCTCGCAAGGATGAAAACCGGCAGCGATCACCGAATGGTTAGAGGCACACTGAACCTAAACGTTAAGTTGGAGAGGTCTCGTCTAATGAAGTCAACGCTCCGTCCCCCCTCGTGCTCTAATCCAGAATCCCGAGAACTTTTCAGCTCGAGTTACGCAACCGCTTTCAGTGCCTAGAAGATTGCAATGCAGTGGAAGATATGAATGACAAGCTGTGGAAACTGTCCATGCGGTAGGAGCTAAGTTCTGCAAGACCTGCCGCAGAAGAACACAAAAACTCTCCGATCACACTCTTAATCTCATGGCTGTTAGACGGGAGGTGAGGCTGCAATCGTCAACAGATTTGACAGCATACAGGCAACTGAACAGACAGATCTCCAAATGCATGCAGCGAGACTTACGCAACTTTAATACTGCTCGTATTAAAGAAGCGATCGAGCGGAACCAGGGCTCCAAAGTCTTTGCCAGAGATCTGTCTGCCAGAAAGAGCATACTGTCAAAGCTGAAGACTGAGTGAGGCAGCATCGTTTCCGAGACACCTGAAATTTCGAGTGAGATTGAGAGATTCTATGGGCAGCCGTACACATCATCGTTGGAGCCACATGCAAGTGTGAGTAACGATCCAAGAGCAAGTCTTACCCGACACTATTCCAATGATATCCCGGACGTCAGTCTGAGCGAGATTAGAATGGCTCTCCAGCACCTTAAAAACGGCAAGGCCCCAGGCGAGGATGGAATTACAGCGGAGCTTCTGAAAGCGGGTGGAACACCGGTACTTGAAGTCCTTCAGAAGCTCTTCAATTTCGTCCTCCATGGTGGCACTACTCCGGAGGCGTGGAGCAGAAGTGCGGTGGTCTTGTTCTTTAAGAAAGGCGACAACGCTCTCTTGAAGAACTACAGACCGATTTCACTTCTGAGCCACGTCTACGTGCTGTTTTCGAGAGTCATTACGAATCGTCTCGCACGCAGACTCGACGACTTCCAGCCTACCGAACAAGCCGGTTTCCGAAAAGGCTTCAGTACCATAGACCACATACATACCCTGCGGCAGATTCTACAGAAGACCGAAGAGTACAATCTGCCACTTTGCCTGGCGTATGTGGACTATGAGAAAGCCTTTGATTCCGTCGAAATTTGGGCGGTGCTACAGTCCCTTCAGCGGTGCCAAGTTGACTGTCGGTATATCGAAGTGCTGAAGTGTTTGTACAGTAGGGCTACGATGGCTATCCGAGTACAGAACCAGAGTTCGAAACCTATCCAACTGCAGAGAGGTGTAAGACAGGGTGACGTTATATCCCCGAAACTCTTCACCGCTGCGTTGGAAGACGTTTTCAAGCTACTAGACTGGAAAGGATACGGTATTAACATCAATGGCGAGTACATCACTCACCTTCGATTTGCCGACGATATAGTCCTTATGGCAGAATCGCTGGAGGACCTTAGCACTATGCTCAATGACCTCAATGGTGTCTCCCAACGGATAGGTCTTAAGATGAACGTGGACAAAACAAAGATCATGTTTAATGTCCATGTCACACCTATGCCGGTAGTTGTTGGGAGCACTATACTCGAAGTTGTTGACGAGTACGTTTACCTGGGACAAATAGTCCGACTAGGTAAGTCCAACTTCGACCGAGAGTGACCTATCGACGGATTCAATTCGGCTGGGCAGCGTTCGGGAAATTACGACACATCTTCTCGTCAGGTATACCTCAATCTCTGAAAACTAAAGTGTACAACCATTGCGTGGTGCCAGTGACGACTTACGGATCAGAGACGTGGTCCTTCACTGCTGGCCATATGAGGATGCTCAAGGTCGCTCAGCGAGCTATGGAGAGGGCTATGCTTGGAGTTTCTCTGCGTGATAGACTCAGTAATGAGGATATCCGCAGTAAAACAGAGTGACCGACATAGCCCAACGGATTAGTAAGCTGAAGTGGCAATGGGCCGGCCATATAGCTCGAAGAAGAAGATGGGAAAGAAAGGTTCTCGAGTGGCAGCGTCGTACCGGTAGGCGTAGTGTAGTGTAGGGCGACCTCCCACTAGATGGAGTGACGACCTGGTAAGATATGCAGGAAGTCGATGGATGCAGGTGGTTCAGGACCGTGCTTTGTGGCATTGCTTGGGGGACGCCTATGTTCAGCAGTGGACTTGTGAAGGGCTGTAATGATGATGATGATGTTATATAAGTAGGTAATGAAAGTTTACACGGTGCGCAAAGATTATACGAAAATGAGATTTTACCACACAGTGAAATAAAGAATCGTGTTTAAGTCAAAGAGACTCAAAGTTTGTAGATTGTCGCAGCAAAATTATTGCTGCATTCATAGAAGTCAATAGTGCTCAAACTCAAGTATTAAGTGTAAAAAATAATTTAAGAAAACATGCTCGTCTACGCATGGAAAGAAACTGATTCCATGTTGAATACAAATATTAGTTATTGGGACTACTTGCGTAATTTAGTTGTACATAGTTTATTCATTTTTTTGAAATACACCATAAATATGACAGTCATCGGTTAGTTCGTTGATATGACGATCCTAAGCCCGTTCAAAGTGTGAAGAGAAAAGTGGAATCATAATCCACATAGTGAAGTTATTAACATAAGCATTAGTAGAGTGTGTCCACTACACAAGAAAGTAAAAAGTACGTAGGCAAAAGCTTTGTAAATAGAACTGCACACACAGGAGCGCGCGTACACATAGTTGTTGCCCAGAAATCATATTCAATTGAAAATAATTTAATACAAAATTACCAGCCTTATTAACTCGTAATTTAGAAAACTGCAATAACGCTATATCATTATTTATATATTTGAACTTAAAATTAAATATTGTAATTTGGATTTCTTTAAAAAATAGCCCTGTACGATACTTATAACTTCATTTTTTTGCCTGTTAGTCTATCGGTCTGTCTGTTTGATCCGAACAATCATCGAAATAGCTCATGTTATAAAGAGTATAAGAGTATAGGTAAGTAAAGTTAGGGTACTTTTATTTTTGGAATAAGAATTAGGGTTCAACACAACATATTAAAACCCATGAAATCCATTCGTTATAAATTCCACACAGATGAATTTACAGGGGACTGCTAGTACTGACATAAAAGAGAGTCTGGTGAGACTCACGCTGGCGGGCAGCAGCGAAGGCAACAGTGTGGCGCGGTGGATGAGCTGAATCCAGGCCAGCATGGCGTCGCGGCTGTCCGCCGCGAAGTAGAAGGCGGTGCCCGTGTGGTACACCTTAAATGCGTGCGCGCGCGACTTCACCTCTCCCGCCGCGCTCACCGTGAAGCCCTCCAGGTACACCATGCAGTCCGCACGCGCACACTGCTGGGAACAAAAGCGGTTTTCACTGTGCACACTCACGTGTTCGCGCACGCACGCACGCACACGTGCTCACAAAGTGTTCATGAAAATACACAAAACTAGATACACATGAATATCGGAAACTTAAGTGATAAAGTAATAGCGCGGCGCTGCCACGCATGCGCTGCCACAAGTAGAGCGGCAGGCGCCACGTGACACAATGACACAGCTACACAGTGCAGCGGACGCACGTCGGGCGAACGGTAGGCGTAGAGCAGGCTGTGCGCCAGAGTAGGTGCCGGCGCGCCCAGCGCAGCTGCTGCGCGGCGCTGCCACGCACGCGGCCACACGTAGAGCGGCAGGCGCCACGTGACACAATGACACAGCTACACAGTGCAGCGGACTCACGTCGGGCGAGCGGTAGGCGTAGAGCAGGCTGTGCGCCAGCAGTAGGTGGCGGCGCGCCCAGCGCGGCTGCTGCGCGGCGCTGCCACGCACGCGCTGCCACACGTCGCCGCCCGCTGCACCGCGCGCCGCCGCTGTGCGTGCCGGCACCTCACGCCGCTCTGCACGCACAAGACGCTCCGTAAATTTAGAGCCGAGAGCGGCTCAACTCACATATCGATTCGGTTAGCTCAAATTGCCGGACACGTTTTCGTTCCGGTTTACAGATATTCTAAGGGTTTAATTATTCGACCAGAAATTCAACTGCATTAAGCTTAATAATATTCGTGAATGACATTGCAAAAGCCTTGAATGACCGATAGCAATTGCATGCATTTGACCACCAAAAATTATATTATTGCTGCAATTTCATGTTCATTGTTGCGGTGATGTGAACTATATTTACGAAATAGGCTTCACGATTAGTTGTGATTCGCGGTTATACTTTGAAAAGAAAACTGATATCAACTGGTGTACCGCAAGGCTCATGCTTGGTCTTTTGTTATTCATTGTTTTAATTTTTGTTTACTTGCTTGGAAAGCTCATAACTTATTTACAAAACTAATATAATTATAAAAAATGGGAACCACTTACAAGTTTTATTTCAAAACACACAAAATATAACTAACTAGGAAGAGTATGCCAGAAGATGTAAAAAGATAAATAACACTAAGTTAAAACATCAAAATAAAAAGAAGGTATTAGAAAGTAAACGTATAAAATAGATCAATATCTACATCATATTTATGTGCTGTAGCAATTAAAGTTGTACACGATCGAATTATAAAAGAATTTTTCCTTTGAACTTTCCACGTGTGGTTACAGGTAAAAGTCTAGGTTTACATAAACTAGATGGAGGGGTACGCATTTCAGGTCGATCAAAATTTACGTTCCAAAGTTTCAAGAGGAAAGAGAGATCTACTGCTACTTATTTAAGTTAAAAGTACGGAGGCCTAGGATCCATATTGGGCCCGTTTTTATATCTTGACTCCATTTAAAACTAAAGTTGATCAGAATTTTAGCATATGACAAAAGTGGAAGTAAAAAAAACCAGGCTAAACATATACGCTCCGTTACTGTGCGGTTAAACAGAAACAGGAACTTTTTTTTAACCAATATAGATTATAAATAATAGTTATTGAAAGTCAATCTTTTGTTTGTTTGTTCTATCTTAAGGAGAAATATAACCTCAAATGGCTTAGCGAGATCCTCCGTTATGCCGAAAATATTGCAGCATTAATTTTGAAATAAATATATGGTAAAGTTGAGGATTAATGTTAAGGACTATATTAGACGAAAACACGATTCCGTAAAATTTTCTCGATAGAAAAAAAATCCAAATTTACCTCCAAAATAAACAATAAACCGTTGTTATTCATAAAATACTTTAAATAAGAACATGAAACTTTGCATACTAACTGAACTATAAAGCAGTGCTTATGTTATTTACTTTTTTTAAATACTATTATTTTCACTGTAATAGGAAATTACCTTAACTATCGGCTTCTTGAAGCTTGATTCCTGCCGCCCGGTCAGTTACGCTTCGGCTTTTGAAGGGGGAGGTTGTGTCGCTTACGATCAGAATACACATTACGCAACAGGACGACGTAAAATTAAAATGGGAAATAACCGTAATAAAAATAAGAAGCGACTGGGTTGGCGTTAAGAAACAGGCATAAATATGATAAACCTAATGAAATAAGTATCTAACGACCTACCTACTTACAGTATTAGTGATTACAAACATGTCGGTACATAGCATACGACGCGCGGGGAAGTGGGGGCGAAATTAGGATTTGAGCTGACTTACTATATCCTCTTAACAATCCTCTTTAAAACTTTGCGCCGCCTATTTAAACCATTTATTCTACCAAACACCAACTTTAAAACGAATTTAAAATAAAAGATGTACCTTTTTGTTAAAAATACTTAATTTCATACATAAAATACATTTTCTATGGACGATCATACTTAGGTTTTTATTCGTGCACTATTTTCTCACTTATCTTTATCACTAATCTTTAATAACACAATAATTAGCTCTATAATCATCATCACTCATATTTAAAAAAACTTAAGTCCTTAAAATGCATAATTTGAAGCTCATTTCGTCATTATTTTAATTGTAATTCACAATTACGACGTAGAATAATAAACGCAAGAGCTAAGCATGTCATTATTTCATCGCAAGCAATAAGATAATTGCAGAAAACAAAAGATTAATATGAACACAATTCCTAAAAGTTACTGTTTTGCTATTGCCTTAATTCCAATGCCAACGCAATATCAAACACAATACGCTGCTGTCTACTAACTGTCAAAAGTGCGTCGGGAGTACCGATTTTGGTTGGACAATTTCAATTCTAATCTCAGTTCACACAATCACCACGCAATACTAAACTAATTTAGCGCTAGAGTCGCTTTCAAGAGTATGAAACGTTATAATTTCAATCCCGATCTATCGGAATTGTTTTCAAGAGTAAGGCTGCAGATAGGAGAATTAAATTCGTAGTCGACGGCGCATGTCAGTGAATGAATGAATGAATGCATGTACAGTGAATGCTGGTGTTATGCAAGGCATTGTGCTATCGCCTACCCTATTATTTCTGAATGTAACGTTCATCGTTAAGCAGACTACAGCACTGGAGATGCTTTATACACTGGCCGTGAGAATATTTCTCGATAACACATCGTCGATCGGACGTACGGACTTGTATCTGAAGTCAAGTCTTTATTGAACAAAGTCTTGGATTTGGGGCAGCTGAATGTAGTTGAGTTTAACCACCAAAGAATAGGTGTCCGCTAAAAAGAACCCCTTTGACGTATCTTCTTAATTTCAGGGCCTTTCCCTCGTTATCTCAATCAGCATTGGAATTCTTGGCGTCGACATTTCGAAAGAAGTACAATTCCGCAGTTACTTGGAAGGGCAGGCTAAACTGGCTACAAAAAACTTGGCGTGCTCTGTAGATCGAGACGGTATTTCATGCCGGCCCACCGCTTGCAACTTTACAAAGCGCATGTTTCGCATCATATGGAATACTGTTCTCATCTCTGAGCCAATGCAACCCAATATCAGCTCCTTACACTTGACCGTATTCAACGGAGTGCGGCCTGGAACGTCGGCGATCAAGTTCTTTCCCATCAGCTTGATCCACTGGCCTTGGGAAGAGAAGTTGCATCTGCTACCACATATACCACTCTTTCTTTTCTCCTAGGAGTTCTCAGACTAATTGTTTAGATTAATTCCAACTGCTGAATTCCACCATCGTACACTGTGACAACTCGAAATTCCATCCTCATCATCTCGATGGCTGGCAGTCCACAACTGCGCGTTTTCGGCATCGTACCACCAAACTGTGGAATTTATTGTCGCCAGCGTTTTTTCCGGACCTTCAAGTAAAGAGCCTACTCCATTCTAAAACGCCGGCAAATCAATTCCACTGGTGATGCACATATTCATGGACGACGGTGATCACTTACCATCAGGTTTGCAGCATGTATTCTATTAATTATAAATTAAATGTCGATTATCTCTATACTTGTCACTTTGCTTCGTAATTAAGTAAAAAGAGAGAGAGTAACACAAGCCATTTCCTAAATTGACGTCACTTTTATACCTAGGTGGATTGAAAAGTACTCGGCCTAACACAGATCCATTCAATTCTAAAAATCAAATCTACCCACATTATTTAGTTCAGTTCAGACTAGTTCATTGTGTGAAGTTCGAAACGTGTGCGATAATTAGTTGTGATTTTATAAATTTATTAACAAAGTAATCGGACATAATTTCCGCGAATGGAGCAAATCGAGCAGCGTGCCGTCATTAAGTACCTCCATAAGAAGGGGCTATCATCAAAAGCCATCCATGATGACATGGTCAGTACATTAGGCGATTGTGCTCTGTCATATTCATCCGTCAAAAAATGGATAGCAGAATTTAAGCGTGGTAGAGAGGTGTGAAAGATGAACCCCGCTCTGGAAGGCCTTCGACGTCAACTACTGACGAAAATATTAAAAAAGTACTTGATTTAATAATGGGAGACCGCAGATTAAAAATTAGAGAGATAGCCGAGATTATAGGCATCTCTTACGAACGAACTCAAAACATCATTGTCAACGAGTTGGGTTTCCACAAGGTGTCTGCGAGGTGGGTTCCGCGACTGCTTTCAGTTGAACAAAAAAGGACGCGATTGACTATTTCACGCGACTGTTTGGAGTTATTTGAAGCCGATGCAGATGATTTTTTGAATCGTTTTGTTACTATGGACGAAATATGGGTTCAAAACAACAATCAAAACAGTGGAGAAGACCTGGTTCACCACCCCCTAAAAAGGCTAAGTCGATTTTGTCGGCAAATAAGGTGATGGCTTCAGTATTCTGGGACTCGAAAGGTGTGATTATGATTGATTATCTTGAAAGGGGTCAGACTATAAACTCTGATTACTACTGCACCTTACTACGTCGTTTACGAGAGGAAATAAAAGAAAAACGTCGAGGAATGCTCAGAAGAAAAGTCCTGTTTCATCAAGATAACGCCCGTGTTCACACGTCAGTACAGTCAATGGCTGAAATTCACAACTGTGGCTTTGAACTGTTACCGCATCTGCCGTATTCACCTGATCTGGCACCATCAGACTTCTTTCTGTTCCCTAACCTAAAAAAGCACTTGGGAGGTCAAAGATTTTTGACAAACGACGAGGTCAAAGCAGCTGTATACGCATATTTTGACTCTAAGGAAGAATCATTTTTTTTTCAACGGTCTAAATGCTTGGAATGGGAGGTGCCAAAAGTGTATTGAACTTGATGGTGATTATGTAGAAAAATAAAAATATAACTGATTTAGTATGTGTTTATTTTCTTGGTTAGGCCGAGTACTTTTCAATCCACCCTCGTAAGTATGGTAGTAATTGCATAAAAATGTACTTACTGGCCAGTATGGAGTTCTTCTTCTTGAGGCTGCGCGTCTTGGAGGAAGGGAAGAGTCCCTTGGCGGGGTCGTGTGCGCAGTGCGGCAGGGCGGCGTGCGGTGAAGCGTGCGGCGGAGCGTTCGGCGTGGCGTGCAACGGAACAAGCGCGTTCTCGTCGCCATTGATGGGCGGCAGCGCGCGCCGCTCGCTCGACACCAGCCGGATGTCGTGCTTAGCGATGTGCCGCGCGCTCTGTGCCCAACAGCAAGCAGCGACGGTATAACCAGCAAAAAAGTAAAGTTTATGTATTTACTACGACTGTCAACCCACACGCCAAACATGACAATTAAGACAAATCTTTCCTGTAAGAATCCAAGTCCAGCAGTGAACCTTTACGAACTAATACACAAGACGATAATAATGACCATAGCGACTGTACACACTTGCAGCTTACCTTGAGCTAAACTAGACTACAATGTTACAATTGCATCATCGCCATCGTTACAGTCCTTCACAAGTCCACTGCCTGATATAGGCCTCCCCCAAACACAACAAAGCACGATCTAGAGCTGTCAACTTCCTGCATATATTACTAGGTCGTCACTCCATTTAGTGAGGGGCCACCCTACACTTCGCCTACCGGTACGAGGCTGCCACTCCAAAAACCTTTCTATCGGTTAATATCGGTTATCTTGTTCTTCGAGTTATATGGCCAGTCCATTGCCACTTCTTACTAATCCTTCGGCCTATGTCGGTTACTCTGGTTCTACTACGGAGATCCTCATTTCTAAGTTTACCACGCAGATAAACCCCGAGCATAGCCCTCTGAGCTCTCCATAGCTCGCCGAGCGACCTTGAGCTTTTCATACAGCCAACAGATTGAGAGGTTCTATGGGCAGCTGTACACATCAGCGTTGGAGCCACACGCAAGTATGAGTAACGATCCAAGAGCAAGTCTCACCCGACACTATTCCGATGATATCCCGGATGGCAGTCTGAGCGAGATTAAAGTGGCCCCCCAGCACCTTAAAAACTGAAAGGTCCCAGGCGATGATGTAATTACAGCGGAGCTTCTGAAAGTGGGTGGAACACCGGTACTTAAAGTCCTTCAGAAGCTCTTCAATTCCATCATCCATAGTGGCACTACTCCAGAGGCGTGAAGCAGAAGTGCAGTGGTCTTGTTCTTTAAGAAAGGCGACAACGCTCTCTTGAAGAACTACAGACCGATTTCCCTTCTGAGCCACGTCTAAGTGCTGTTTTCGAGAGTCATTACGAATCGTCCGCACGCAGACTCGACGACTTCCAGCCTCCCGAACAAGTCAGTTACCGAAAAGGTTTTAGTACCATAGACCACATACATACCCTTCGGCAAATTGTACAGAAGATCGAAGAGTACAATCTGCAACTTTGCCGGGCGTATGTGGACTATGAGAAAGCCTTTGATTCCGTCGAAATTTTAGCGGTACTACAATCCCTTCAGCGGTGCCAAGTTGACTGTCAGTATGTCGAAGTGCTAAAGTGTTTGTACAGTAGGGCTACGATGGCTATCCGAGTACAGAACCAGAGTACGAAACCTATCCAACTGCAGAGAGGTGTAAGACAGGTTAATGTTATATCCTCGAAACTCTTCACCGCTGCATTGGAAGACGTTTTCAAGCTACTGGACTGGAAAGGATACGGTATTAACATCAATGGCGAGTACATCACTCATCTTCGATTTGCCGACGATATACCTAGTCCTAATGGCAGAATCGCTAGAGGATCTAAGCACTATGCTCAATGACCCCAATAGTGTCTCTCAACGGATAGGTCTTAATATGAACATGATGTTGGGAGCACTATGCTCGAAGTTGTTGACGAGTACGTTTACCTGGGTCAAATAGTCCGACTAGGTAAGTCCTACTTCGACCGAGAGGTCAATCGACGGATTCAACTCGGCTGGGCAGCGTTCGTGAAATTACCACACATCTTCTCGTCAGGTATACCTCAAAACCTAAAAAATTGTACAACCAGTGCGTGTTGTCAGTGATCACCTACGGAACTGAGACGTGGTCCTTCACTGCTGGCGGTATGAGGACGCTCAAGGTCGCTCAGCGAGCTATGGATAGGGCTATGCTCGGGGTTTTTGTGTGTGATAAACTTAGAAATGAGGATATCCGCAGTAGTACAATAATGACCGACATAGCCCAACGGATTAGTAAGTTGAAGTGGCAATGGGCCGGCTACATAGCTCGAAGAACCGATAACCGATGAAAAAAAGGTTCTCGAGTGGCAACCTCGTACCGGTAGGCGTAGTGTAGGGCGACACCCCACTAGATGGAGTGACGACTTGGTAAGACATGCAGGAAGTCGATGGATGCAGGTGGCTCAGGACCGCGTTTTGTGGCATTCCTTGGGGGAGGTCTGTGTTCAGCAGTGGACTTGTGAAGCGCTGTAATAACAGAGTAACCTTGGCTAACTTTTTATACAGGTATAAAATAATATAGGACTCAGACAACAATCGTACCTTGTAATAGATAATAGTAAAGTTTGAATGATAAGAAGTGTTGAATAAAACTTATTTTAGGAATTTTATCGCGATTAATTTCATCACGGGGAGGAATAACCATGGGTACTGAAAAGCATCCGAACCTTTGGTAATTAAAAATAAGTTAAATTTACACAATTAATTGATTGGTGTAAATATAAGAAATCATCAGTAAAATGTAAGTGAAAATCAACAGTTTAAGTAATATATAAGCTTTATCGCTTTGATGCGCGACTATACTCTTGCATGAGTGTGCGTGCATATGAATGTGTGTGTGCGCGTTACTTACCTGCGGGTCCCGGGAGATACGCGGTATGGAGGTCGGAGTAGGCGCGGAGGGTGAGATCCCACCTGCACAGAAAAGTAAGTCGCTGTTGCAGACAATAGTCGCTAATGTGGTCAAAATAAGATTGTCTTCTTAATGCAATTATTTTATTGGTTTAACTATGTATGAATTTTAATCAATATGTATGAATTGAAAAAGAACAAGACAATTATGCTACAATTTAATGCGAGTGAGAGTGCGTTCAGTGCGGGTCTCATCGTTGTTCTTTTCGTGTCGGCATCCGAGTTGACCTTAATAGAATAGACGTTAACACTCGCATACTGCTGTGTTAACGTCGATTGCAGTCGATGCTGCATTTAGTTTATGTAAACTTTTTTCTACATCAATATAGAATAACCAACCACGAAACAAAACACAAACTTAACTAACAACTAAATGTTAATCCAATAGCGATTTCTTCCTGAAAAGATTTTCGCAAAGAACCGATTTTTAAATAAAAAAGGGTGACAAACGAGCACACACTCTACCTGATAATAAGTGGATGCTGTAGGCCGATTAAGAATCAAAAAATGCAGATACGTTGTCACCCCAGAGAACTAAGATGGAATGCTTCGTTTGCAAGTCAAAAGGGTTTCCAGTTTTCTACACTTACCATACGAAACACGGCAGCATTAAGGTGCTATCTTACGCTGGTTTTCTATGAAATTATTAAGCTGATTTCACGATCAAGTCGAGCTATGCGTGCTACAAGTATAATATAGCAGCAGTTTAGTTCTACCACGATAAAATAATTGAAACGAGGATTCGAATCCTGCGTCAATTAAATTATTTACTACATTTTTTTTCAAGAAAGCTACCCCATATCATCCTGTGGGTGTTGTAATGGGCAACAGAGGGAACCAAACTAGGATATACCTTATATACTCAAATTAATAAAAAACTGCGGTTGGTTACTACGGTAATTGTGTCCTCTATGAGTTAGTTAATCTATGGAGATGTACGTTCAACAGTGGACGTTCGATAGGCAGTAACAGTATTCAATTGTTAGAAAAATGTAAAAGATTAAGTAATATAAAAAAATAGAAGTACGTGACGACGTACCAGAAGCGTAGTGTACGAGCGGCAGGTCCCGCGGCGGGGACACGAAGTGCGAGTCCCTGGGGGGTCGTGCGGGGGGCACTGGGGGTGCGGAGGGCGTGGCGGCGGGGGGCGCGGGAGGCGCCGCTAGAGCGCGCGGCCGCGGCGGTGGCTCGGGGGGCGTCTCACGCTCTCTGCACACACACGCGTGTGCAAACATATCACAACCGAATAATTTCTTATATTTACGCGAGCACTACACATTTCAATAAAACTAGTTTTTACGGATTTTATCGCGTATATTAATTTATTTTATAGTCCCAACGTTTCGAGCATTTTACAGCACTCGTGGCCACGGAGGGCTGAGGTGTTCAACGTCTCAATGTCATAGTTAACCACCGAGCGATAGTGGTCGCCGAGCTCCAACACGTCCAACAAGTTTTGCATGACAACAAACCTCGAGTCCTGCATCTACGTCACAGTGAACAACTGCAGCCGGCCACAGTCGAGCGTGTGCCTGCTGTACTGCCATATGTCATAGGTGTCACTGACAAGATGGGCTACATCTTTAAGCGTGCTTCCATCAAAACATATTTCAAGCTGCCAACGAAGAGTACTTAGTCAGTTTTTACCATCAGTCAAGTGTAACGTCCCTCTGCAAGATGCAAAAGTTTACAAGCTTGATTGTGAATGTGGTCTCTCTTACGAAGGACAAACTAAATATCAATAAAAACCCACGTTAAAGAACACATATCTGATGTAAAGAATGGACGATCCGGGAAATCTGCAGTCTGGAACACGTACAGGATCGCCCCCGTCACTATATCAGATTTGATAGACCACATATCCTCGCTAAAGATTCTTGCTCGATTACTTCCAAGGATGATTCTCGAGGCTATTGCAATCAAAAATAACATCCAAATTTCTATAAAGAAGATGGCTGGTTACTACCATCTGCTTGGGATCCTATAATTAACAAAATTAAATTCCAACCCAAGTATACAACTGCAAGACTTCAAGATACTATAAGTTCGTACTGCGTACATCGAAATAAAAAATTAATAATTTTAATCTGGATGTAACCGTGGTTAACTATGACATTGTGACGTCGAAAACATCAGTACCCCCGGGATTATGGATGCATTAAAGTGCTCGAAAGAGCCGTGTAGTGGTGGTTGAGAATATCCACTACCCCATATCTTCCCGTGGGTGTCGTATGAGGCAACAGAGGGAGACAGGCAGGAGATGGGCAGCAGCATCTTCCTGATAACAGCAACTGTACAACATAAAAAAACTGCGGTTGCCAACCCGCTCGCCAAGCGTGGCAACTATGGCAAATATCCCCCCATGAGCAACGACGCAAATAAAGGGCCCCCAGTCCCCGGCGGCCCCGCTATTCCTGGCTACGGTGGCGACCATGGTAACGGCGGGGCAGGGGGTGCTAAGAATCTCCGGTGGAGGTTCGGTTGCCACCTACGACGACTCGACCTGGCAACGTATAACGCACGGACCCTGAGGACTGACGAGAAGATACAGGAGCTGGAAGAAGAGGTAGACAAGTTGCGCTGGCATATTGTTGGATTATCTGAGGTCCGAAGAGAGGGGGAGGACACGGTAATCCTCGAGTCCGGCAACTTGTTCTATCACCGGGAGGGCGACCATCTGTCCCAAGGAGGTGTCGGATTTATCGTCCACAAATCTCTCGTCAACAACGTTGTAAAGATTGAGAGTGTGTCGACGAGGGTCGCGTACCTGATACCCAGAATCACCAAACGGTATTCGCTGAAGGTCATACAAGTGTACGCACCAACCTCGGCACATCTCGATGAGGAGGTGGAGGAAATGTATGAGGATATTTCTAGAGCCATGCATTCTTCCAAAACCCACTACACGGTGTTGATGGGAGACTTCAACGCAAAACTAGGCACAAGAGAAGGCGGTGATCTGAAGTTAGGGAAATTTGGAGTAGGGCAACGGAACCGTAGGGGCCAGCAGCTAGCTGACTTTATGGAGAAAGAGGGACTCTTTATGATGAACTCTTTCTTCCAGAAGCGGCCCCACAGGAAGTGGACCTGGTCGAGCCCCGACGGTTCGACAAAAAATGAGATTGACTTCATTATGACGACCAGACGCCAACTGTTCAGTGATGTCTCAGTGATCGCAAGGGTGAAAACTGGCAGCGATCACCGAATGGTTAGAGGCACACTGAACCTAAACGTTAAGTTGGAGAGGTCTCGTCTAATGAAGTCAACGCTCCGTCCCCCTCGTGCTCTAATCCAGAATCCCGAAAACTTTCAGCTCGAGTTACACAACCGCTTTCAGTGCCTACAAGATTGCAATGCAGTGGACGATATGAATGACAAGCTCGTGGAAACTGTCCATGCGGTCGGAGCTAAGTTCTGCAAGACCCACCGCAGAAGAACACAAAAACTCTCCGATCACGCTCTTAATCTCATGGCTGTTAGACGGGAGATGAGGCTGCAATCGTCAACAGATTTGACAGCATACAGGCAACTGAAGAGACAGATCTCCAAATGCATGCAGCGAGACTTACGCAACTTTAATACTGCTCGTATTAAAGAAGCGATCGAACGGAACCAGGGCTCCAAAGTCTTTGCCAGATAGATCTGTCTGCCAGAAAGAGCCAACTGTCAAAGCTGAAGACTGAATGTGGCAGCATCGTTTCCGGGACACCTGAGATGTTGAGTGAGATTGAGAGGTTCTATGGGCAGCTGTACACATCATCGTTGGAGCCACACGCAAGTGTGAGTAACGATCCAAGAGCAAGTCTTATCCGACACTATTCCGATGATATCCCGGACGTCAGTCTAAGCGAGATTAGAATGGCTCTCCAGCACCTTAAAAACGGCAGGGCCCCAGGCGAGGATGGAATTACAGCGGAGCTTCTGAAAGCGGGTGGAACACCGGTACTGGAAGTCCTTCAGAAGCTCTTCAATTCCGTCCTCCATGGTGGCACTACTCCAGAGGCGTGGAGCAGAAGTGCGGTGGTCTTGTTCTTTAAGAAAGGCGACAACGCTCTCTTGAAGAACTACAGACCGATTTCCCTTCTGAGCCGCGTCTACGTGCTGTTTTCGAGAGTCATTACGAATCGTCTCGCACGCAGACTCGACGACTTCCAGCCTCCCGAACAAGCCGGTTTCCGAAAAGGCTTCAGTACCATAGACCACATACATACCCTGCGGCAGATTGTACAGAAGACTGAAGAGTACAATTTGTCACTTTGCCTGGCGTATGTGGACTATGAGAAAGCCTTTGATTCCGTCGAAATTTGGGCGGTGCTGCAGTCCCTTAAGCGGTGCCAAGTTGACTGTCGGTATATCGAAGTGCTGAAGTGTTTGTACAGTAGGGCTACGATGGCTATCCGAGTACAGAACCAGAGCTCGAAACCTATCCAACTGCAGAGAGGTGTAAGACAGGGTGACGTTATATCCCCGAAACTCTTCACCGCTGCTTTGGAAGACGTTTTCAAGCTACTGGACTGGAAAGGATACGGTATTAACATCAATGGCGAGTACATCACTCACCTTCGATTTGCCGACGATATAGTCCTTATGGCAGAATCGCTGGAGGACTTAAGCACTATGCTCAATGACCTCAATAGTGTCTCCCAACGGATAGGTCTTAAGATGAACATGGACAAAACAAAGATCATGTTTAATGTCCGTGTCACACCTATGCCGGTAGTTGTTGGGAGCACTATGCTCGAAGTTGTTGACGAGTATGTTTACCTGGGACAAATAGTCCGACTAGGTAAGTCCAACTTCGACCGAGAGGTCAATCGACGGATTCAACTCGGCTGGGCAGCGTTCGGGAAATTACGACATATCTTCTCGTCAGGTATACCTCAATCTCTAAAAACTAAATTGTACAACCAGTGCGTGTGCCAGTGATGACTTACGGATCTGAGACGTGGTCCTTCACTGCTGGCCGTATGAGGACGCTCAAGGTCGCTCAGCGAGCTATGGAGAGGGCTATGCTCGGAGTTTCTCTGCGTGATAGACTCAGAAATGAGGATATCCGCAGTAAAACCAGAGTGACCGACATAGCCCAACGGATTAGTAAGCTGAAGTGGCAATGGGCCGGCCATATAGCTCGAAGAACCGATAACCGATGGGGAAGAAAGGTTCTCGAGTGGCAGCCTCGTACCGGTAGGCGTAGTGTAGGGCGACCCCCACTAGATGGAGTGACGACCTGGTAAGATATGCAGGAAGTCGATGGATGCAGGTGGCTCAGGACCGTGCTTTGTGGCATTACTTGGGGGAGGCCTATGTTCAGCAGTGGACTTGTGAAGGGCTGTAATGATGATGATGATGATGAGGTATTATATATATGGTAGGTACATAATTATTTGATCACGTTCAGCTATGTCCTACCCTGTGGGCATACGAAGTATAATATTTTTAGAAATCAATTAAAAGTACCTAAAAAAATAACTGTATGAAATGCGAATGCAATATAAACAAAACATTACTGGATACAGAATTTGAAAAAAAAAAGTTAAGCATGTCGGAAATCTAATTATGTCATAAATGTATTAAATAATGACCATGCAATATTTCAAACACAAATAAATATTGACACATTTAATTGTTTTTTTATTTATATAATATTATGAAATAGAATGAATAAAATATAATATTTACGTTATCATATGTATAGTAAAAGATAAATTATTTATTTAATCAGTTAAGTAAAGGCTCCATACATGAGGATGCCCATTTACAAATTTGTACAACCCTTAAAAGAGGTAATATTTAGAAGGGACGCCTCAGAACCAAAGAGTATATAATCACTACCTTAGAACTATAGATGAGTGCTCAGAATAATTCTTTTCAAATGTAATTTATAAGAAGTCTACAAATAAAATTTTATTAGAATTAGTTTCGTTACTAAATTATGCGTCTCTAAATTAAGAGAATTTACTTCAAATGACGAGTTTCCTCCTTTACTTGCGCATCGCGTTTACTTCATACCGGGCGAGGCGGGCGTTTGAGAAACGCTCCCGAAAACGAACACAGCCAATAGTACTAACGATATCTTTGATGATAGATCAGCGGCTAGCATGGGCAGGAGACAGAATGTTCATGCCCCGATTATATCTCCACTGCCGAGAGCTACTTACCCCGCGCACAGATAATATACCGTAGTATAAAGCTATACAGGGCACGTACAAGGAAGCAAAGCGGAACGCCACGAAACTGTGACGCTCCCGTAGTTAAAAATTCGAAAAGTGAGTAAATAGTGTCTAGTGGTTTAGTTTTTTAGCCGCAAACAATATATAGTTTTTTTTTAAAGTGATAAACCGTTTTTATCACTATTAGCAAAACAGTAAATCGCTTGCGGCGCTCGATTAGTCGCCACAGCCTGCTATTTTTTAGTATTTTGTGCGCCACCTGGGGACACATCATCCTCCAAAAATTTGGATAAAGGACACCTGAGTTATTAGCGGAAAAACGAAAACCACGTGGTAGATGATTTCGGGAACCAGGTGTCTGCGGCTGAAATTGAAGGTGTCGCTTGGAAATATATGCATCATCAGCTAGAATAGTATATCCTCAGAATAACCGCACTTTTGCAGCTGGTGTCCCACATCTTGTAAGTTTGGACTCTAATAACTTTTATATTTGTGTGATTTATGAGGGGGGGGATCTCCTTCATTTTTTTTTTTGTATATAAAAGACAAACCTATGCTCTTACTGTGGGTAAAATTTCAAATTTTTTTAGATAAGCAGTTATTAATAGTGATTTTTTTTTTTGTAAAAATACGCGTATTTCGCGTCCGCGCGAATATTGAACCACGGCAACCGATTTTAAGTATTTTAAGTTCTACGCTGCATTTATGTTTAAGTGTTTTCATATTTTTTTAATGAAATTATCGTTTCATTTAGCTGTTCTAGCATGGTGGAGCGTTAATAAATCTAATAAAACTTCGCTTTACCAACCTTGACATCTGCAACTTTAGCCTGGTTTGCTTTAGAAATGTTTTAAAGACATTCTCAAGGACATCCCCTTCGATTGATATTCATTACAGTTGTAGTTCTTGACTTGTTGGATTTGTGAGCCTGTTAGTTTAAGCAATTTTATTTAAAATGTTTGTGTCTCGATCTTGGCATGGCATGATAGCATATATAAGGATTATGTCTTGTATCACACCATTATTATTGTAAGTTATAGCTTTAAGTCATTATGTAATCTGTTGTGTTGTCCTATAAAAAAAAAATAAACGTTGATCGATTTTCTTTCTGTCCCGTCATCAAAGTTATAGTTAGTACTACCATCTGTCTTGGTTTTTTGAAGCGTTTCACAAATACCCGGTATATTTCAATATATTTCTTTCGCCGCGTAAGAGTAAGAGGCAAATAGAAATTTTAAAAAATTAAGTGGGTACAAAAGAAAGCTTTTTTGTTAGTTTTTTTATATTAAAGGTAAGTAACAGCACTGTTTCCAAAAGTTATTTAATTATATTCTGTCTCGTAGCAATTTTATACACTTTATAAAAATTTTACTTCAATTACAGAAGTCGTCAAAAGTAACTGAAAATGAAATATAACGTGTCAGTCATCACTTAGCACTATAAATCATGTAAAAACACACAAATTTTCATACTCCACAAGGTTCAATGTACAAAAATTACGTCTCGTGTTATAATTTCTATATATATTAAATGTTACGTTGAAGTTGTTTTCAACAAAAATGGCGCTGGTTACAGATAGCGTAATAGAGTATATACCTATGATTCACAATACTTAAGCTATTGCATAGCTTCTATCGCGGGCCTTGAGCGCGGGGACCGAATCCAGAAATTCCGTAACGAAAAAAACCTCACGCTCCCCACTCCGACGGGCACGGAGGTGTGGCGTTGAAAGCCGTGCATCGTTTTTTTTTTGCGCCCGAAGCAAATATGTGCAACCCTCCGGAAAGCGGGGGAGGGAGGTTGGGAATGCTCATAGCATACCACGCAGCCGGCTGCGTGGTTATGTGGTGACTTTTACCCACTAAACCCAACCTTTTAGGAACTGGCTTAACGATCTGACTAGAGATCTCTAAGCCGTATACGAACGCGACCCTCCTTGGCAGAAAGGAGGGCGCAAACCGTGCATCGTCTAACGTCGTTTCCGTTCGGCAGACTTCGGCACGGTGTTTGTGTGCGTGCGACTAGACGTATGCGTGTACACTAGCTGCTAACTCAATGATAAAAATTCCTGAATAACCTACATGTAATGTAAGATATTAAAAATATTTTAAACAATATTAACTTCTCATTTATTCAATAAGAGAAAAAAAATGTTTTCTTATCGGTCACCACGCTCAAAAAGTGTAACTTGATTTAATATCAAAGACTTAAATGCATAAATAAAATAAATAAATAATTATAATTGCATAAGTTGATAAAAAATGCTATGCAATAGCTTTACCGCGGCAGTCACCGAGTGCCACACGTATTTTTTTAATTTTTTAGAGGATCCTACTGAGTATAAATACATAATTATGTATGTATAAATATATATATATATACATATTTTTTTCTTTATGTCATTGATATTTATATATCATTCCATAAATTCTAAATAGTATACTAATTAAAAAATATTTACCTCGAAGTAATCATCCCTCGATTGTTCACCGGACTACTGTCGTCTACTATAGATTCATCCATTTTAACATTTATCAGTAGTTTCAGACTTTCGTTAGCACCCATTTGTTTCACCAGCTCCTCATTCCTCCCGGCTACAACCACCGAATTAACAGTGTCAACTAGATCGAGTTTCGGGTCGTCGTCGAGGTCCTCCTCCAGCTTGTCCTCCTTGTCGTCAGCCGTCAGCCTTCTGGTGCGCTGCTGGAGGATGGCCTCGCCGATTTGGCAGCTAGATTTCTTGAAGTCGAGGATTTGTCCGGCCTTCCCGACGTCGGCGAGGGCTGCGGGGAGCGCGGGTAGTGCTGGAGGGACGCGAGGTGAGTCCGTCGGCGAGCCGGGGGACTCGGGGATGGCTTGCGAGGCCAGCCCCCGCTCCTCCGCACCCGGCAAGAAGTCGTACGCGGGTGTCGAGTGGCTCTTGTCGAGCCGACCGCGGCCTGGAGGTGCGGGAGTCACCGTCATAGCGGCAGGGGTTGCGGCGAGTGGCGCGGGGGGCGATACAGGGGGCGCGACCGGCGCCACGCCTAGGCACGTGCGCGGCCGCGGCGACAGCTCCAGCCCCGTGCTGCAAGACACCGCCTGCACGACATAACGTTTTGCAATACGCCTCATGTTAAACCATAAACAATGCTAGATCGTGGCATAACTTTGACTCATTAATTATATATATATATATAATTTATTACATTATATTTTTTTTTTTTTTTTTATATTTTAAATTGTTTACTTTTCTTTTGTTTCTACTGTAATAATGAAAACATGCATAATTGTCTTAGTATTACCTGTATTACAACTCTGGGAGAGGCCGCTGATTCCTAACATACAGACTCGTCTAGTTTGGGAGTCAGAGACTTCAAAAAACTTTTGTGATATATTTTTCTTGATAATAAAGGATTATTATTATTATTATGGGGTATCTATATAGTTTTCTCATCTGGTTGGGTTCTATAAATATATAATTATAAATGAAAATGAAAAAATAAATATACATAAATATCAATAACATAAAATAAATATAAAAGTACATAAATGAATAAAAGCCCAACCAGATGGAGGCCCCTCGGCAGGGGAGACCAAACGGCCGAGGGTTAGGGGGAAAGGAAAGAAACCGGCGGACGATGCGGGCGGTATCGAGGAGCACCGCCTTCTGCATTTGAACCTGGAGCGGTCCGCCACGTAGTCCCAGCCGCCTCAGATGACCCGAGAGGCTGACTGGGATTAGCCCGTTTGCAGAGACGACTACAGGAATAATTTCGGTCGGCAGACCACCCCACATGTCGGTCACCTCGTGAGCCAGGTCCAGATATTTTGTTTGCTTGTCTGTTTCGGCTTTCACGAGGTTCTCGTCATACGGAATGGTAATGTCGACCAAAAATATCCTTGACTGTGCCCGGTCCATCAGCACAATATCAGGCTTATTCGCAAGAATAGTCCTGTCTGTGATGATGGCCCGGTCCCAATAGAGCCTGGCGCGATCATTTTCGAGCACGGCTTCCGGCAAGTACTTGTAGTACGGCAATTTCCGGTCCACGAGACCGTATTTCAGAGCGAGCTCCTGGTGTAGAATTCTGGCTACTAGGTTGTGCCTGTGCAAGTACTCAGAGTTAGAAAGCGCCGAACAACCGGAGATAACATGCCTAAGTGACTCACCGGGATGGCGACAAGCTCGACAGATGTCGACGGTGCCATCCTTTAGGATGTATCTCCGATAGTTGTTGGTCTTAATAACCTGATCCTGTATTGCACAGACAAAACCCTCGGTTTCCCCGAAGAGATCACCAAAGCGTCGCCAGTGGAGGGAGGCTACTGTGTCTACGAAAGGCTCATGTAGAGCCTTGTAGAACCTCCCGTGGAGCTCCTTCTCCTTCCATACGGTCTCTCGGTCGGAAATGCTCTGCACTGCCGGGTCTTGCCATTGCTCGTTGGCTAAGGATAGAGGGGTAAGTCCTTTATCACAAGAAATGACGTCCATATAGAATGGATCATCCGATCTCGCCAGGAGTAATCACGGAGGCTGCACACTTCGCGATTATGCATGGTGAGCGCGCTCAAGAAGCCACGACCACCATGCTTCCGCGACAAGTACAACCTCATTACCGACGATCTCGGATGATGCATCCTATGGGACGTCATGGTAGTGCGGACTTTTCTATCCAGGGCGTTAAGTTCAGTCCGAGTCCACCTGAGTATGCCAAAGGTATACATGAGGACAGGCATGACCCAGCCGTTATATGCGTGTGCCTTATTCACACCGGACAAAAGGCTGTTAAGCACTTTGGTCAAGCGTGCATAAAACACGTCGCAAACTGACTGTTTCATACCAGTCTCATCGATACCGATGTTTTGTGACATACCCAGGTATCGGTATGTTTCAGCCTCGGAAAGGGTCCTTAAGTTGACGGGCATAGATAAGTCTACGCCCTCAGAGTTAGCAACCCTTCCCCTTTCAACATGGAGGACCGCACACTTATCCGTCCCAAGCTCCATTCCAATGGAATTGCTAAATTCACAAGTGATGTTTAGCAATTCCATAAGATGGGAGCGACTGGAGGCGAATAACTTGAGGTCATCCATATAGAAAAGGTGGGTCACTTTTGTCCCTCCTCTCCGTAGCTGAAATCCCCTCCCGGAGCCCTCCAGTAAGGTACTGAGAGGGTTCAGAGAGAGGCAGAACCAGATTGGACTCAGACAATCGCCCTGGAAGATACCCCTTCTTATCCTTATGTGGTTCTCCGCAGCCATCATCCGCTCGCCCAGATGACAAAGGATCGTACTCCACTGCCCCATACACTGCTCAAGGAAGTCTCTAACTGTACAGTCTATCTTGTACAGCTCGAGGACTCTCTTTAGCCATGTATGGGGCACCGAGTCGAATGCCTTTCTGTAGTCTATCCAGGCGGCGGAGAAGTTCCGACGGTTGGGTTTCACCACTTTGCCAATGACCGCGTCAATGAGGAGTGGTTCCTTGGTTCCACGACCACCGCCCCGACATCCATTTTGAGCGCGCGACATCACCTGATTTGAGGCCAGGTGACAAGTGATTCTCGCGCTCAAAATGGATGTTAGTGTCTTGTATATGGTCGGTAGACACGTGATGGGGCGGTATTTGCTCGGGTTTGTGGTACCCTGGTCTTTAGGAACCAAATGAGTGATCCCAGTAGTGAAGAGGCTTGGGAGCGACTTCTGGTTGAGAGCCTCTTGAAACTGTCGGGCAAGCACAGAGTGACACACCATGAACCCCTTCAGCCAGTAGTGATGCATCCCGTCAAGCCCCGGACTTTTCCAGTTCGGGGCCCTACGGACCGCCTCAGCTACGTCATCCGGCGTTATGATGACGGGGTCCATGGGCGTAATACCCGCACACTGACTCGCCACAACTTCCGTCCACGGGCCCTCGCTGTGGTTTACGGGCTCTGACCACAGGCCGCGCCAGAATGCTACAGTGTCGGCCTGATTCGGTGCTGGACCCGTTCCACTTACCATTGGTCGCTCCAATGATTCATAGAGCCTCTTCTGATCACTCTGGAAGAGACGATTCTGGTTGAACCGTGTCGACCTCTCAGTATATCGCCGAATCCGCTTTCCCCAGCAGCGATTCTCTGCTTCAGATCATCTATGCGCTCCGTCAGTTTTTGCGTTATATCCGGCTGGGACAAACTGACATTTGTCCCAGCAAACGCCATCCTGACGGTGCGCACAATTCTTGGCCTGTTGTTGCCTGATCTGAAGCATATCAGTCTGCCGATGAGAGCTCTAGCCTTTGCGATACGTTCCTCAATTCTTCTTCTCCATGCTGGGATAGCGCTACTATGGCCAGTAGCGCGTCCAGCCGTGGAAACCTTGGCGCCTATGATACGGCAGACTGCCAGCGCGGCGCCAAAAAGAATTGAGTTATTATTATTATTATTATGAATTTAGATGACTTTAGTAGAACGCGAACAATCTGCTTTCGAAAGCCGCTACTACCCCTTACGGGCTTGTCGATTAACAAAAACGTACTAAAGGAACCTGCATGTCTAAGAAATTAAAACCTTTCATGGATATCACACATCCGCCGACACTCGCTGTAGTAGCTCAGCCTCTCTCAAAAACTCCCAAACATTTACAATGAAACGTATACCGACTTAACCTTTACTCACTTTACTTTTACGTCACAAACAAGTATCTCCGTTGTGAAATTTTTACTTTTTGTGATGACCTTTTTACTTTTCATGAGACGATGTTTAAGCGGCTTTCACTAGGTTTATGTATAATAATAATATTATACTCGTATTTATATATAGTTTTCAAGTATAACAAAATGCTCACAAAACGCTAAACACGTCAGTAGAAACCAATTAATCATCCGCAGAGTAAGCGTGCCTGTATCGTAGGGACGGGTAAGTATTTGGCCACAAAATAGATAAGAGATGGGACGGGAATAGAATAGGGCGGAATGTTGCGACTTTTAATTGAGCTCTTTGAGCGCGTTCCAATAGTAGCAGTGTAGTTTTAGCTGCTCCTCCCCTACTGAGGTTATACAGTAGATGAGAATTGACTGACATAATGCGAAATATACTTGCTTTATTACCTTAATATCAGCAAAAGAACGAATCTTTTTAAAAACAAACATTCGTTTACGGATTCTATTGCATAGGTGGTTTCTGTGGTTTTTAAATGTAAACGTAGAATATATTATTCCAAGCTACTTAATAGTTTTTGTATTAAAAAGAACTAGGCAGTTACATTTAGATTGCGCCTGAGCAACATTGGTGTGCGTAAATTTCTGAAATGGTTATATGCTGGGTTGAGATGCGCATAGAAAAATAAACATATTTGGTTTTGTCCGTATTCAGTGTTTGTATTTTGTTGGAGCCATTTATTAACCCTATCAAAACTTGCTGTGCATATAAATAAACCTTGTCTACTGTATTTGCGGAAAAAAGTAGCATGGTGTCATCTGCATAAGATATTATTTTAACGGAGTTTAGTTCGAGATTGCAAAGGTCATTTATATAAATCAAAAATAGGGTTGGCCTTAATACACTTCCTTGCGGCACACCAAAATGAGTATTTTTTTGTTCAGAGCTAACAACCTTATCAGTTTTTATGGATTGATATCGATTTTCGAAATATTTCGCAAAGAGTTGCAGCTGCTTACATCGTATACCTATGCTCTCTATCTTATTTAATTGGATGGGAATAGAAACCGTATCAAATGCTTTTGCAAGGTCAAGGAAAATGCCAATTGATTGGTTGCCTTTACCTAGCTCTTGAGAGACGCAATCGGTCATTTCCTGTACAGTATCAGCAGTGGACAGGTTAGGCCTGAAACCATATTACATAATTGATAATATGGATTTACTTTGTTAATAATTCATTAATCAGTTGTTAATTATTTTTTCTAATATTTTAGACGTGGATGAGAGTATTGAAATAGGCCGATAATTGGAAACGTTTTTTTTGTCGCCTGATTTGAATACTGGATCTACAATTGCTTTTTTTAAACAATCTGGGAAAATTCCTTCAGAGAGGCAAATTCGGAAAATATGGGTAAATGGTGAAACTAGAATTTGTCCAATTTTTTTTATACACTAATAGATATGCCGTCCCAAGCAACCGCGCTTGTTTCTTTCAGTCCCATTATAGTCCTTTCTACTTTATTAGTGTCCTTATCTAATAATGTGAATGAGCTTAATTGGCAGTTTCTTTGAGTTCAGAAAGTGGCCCTGTATTCATGATTATTGTTAGAATTGTTTATTATCTGCTCAGCAATATATATACCAACGTTCACAAAGTAGTTATTTGCTGTATTTGCTGATACAAGCGGCGAGGAATCATTTTGTAATAATTCTGACGAAGATTTATGCTGTTTGGATAAAAAAGCAAGCGAGAAAGAAAGGTTTTCTAGTAACAGCTACATGCCGGTAAGCACAGTGAAGGGCGGCTGCTCACTATATGGAGTGACGACCTAGTATGAGATGTAGGAAGTCGATGGACGCAGGTGGCTCAGCACCGTGCTTTGACTCATTCCTTTGAGGAGGCCTCCGTTCAGCAGTGAATTTTTGAAAGGCTGTTATGATGATTCGTATATTAAATTGTAATATACTACTAGGTACTTATATTTATATATCTTAGTAATATTTGGCTAAAGTTTTGTATGTAATTTGAATTTCGTTATGTACATAATTTAAGTTAAAAACAAAGTTGACTGACCTTGTCGCGGCGGTAAAGCGCGGCATCGCAATCCTCGTGAGCGCCGCGGGTCCAGCGCTGATGCTGCAGCTGCTGCCAGAACTGCATCGAGATCAAATGCCACACGTTAACATTCCCTTTTATTTATTACAGACGCACAAACACTTTTATATAAAATACTTAGACAGGCACAACGATACTAATACATTGCGCACTACAGATTACAGCCTATTAAAGTCCACTGCTGAACATAGACCTCCCCTTTTTGTCTTATAAGTGGGATATTTGCCACAGTTGCCACGCTTGGCAGGCGGGTTGGCGAACGCAGTTTGTTTTTTTCCAGTTGTTATTAGGACGACGTTGCTGCCTATCTCCCTGTTCATTTCCCTGCTGTTCATTGCCTCTCACGTCACCCACGAGACGGCATATGATAGTAGTTAATCTTATACCCCACTACACGGTGAACATACATTAGACAGATATATAGATAAGGAAACGTCATTATTTATGTGCGTATCTTGTCAACGTGATCTGATATTTATTTTCAGATAAGTATGTAACTTTATTTCGTATTTGGCTAAAAACAGTAACTGTCTTTAACCTTAACAACCCATGCCCGCGCGTTCCACAGCTGTGACACAGTTTTTGATCTGAATTGCCGATACAATAGAATACATAGATGTCTTTAGAGCTTTATCGTAGTTTTATCTCTGCTTTATCACCCCGTAAAAGTACACTGCTAGATGTGGGGTTCTCTCGTTGAAAGGATTGACTTAATTGTCACGTTTTGCGGACGGATTAACTTTAAAAAACCTTCAATGCGGCTCCGTTTTGTTGCGGCGGCGGGTTTTTTATGTATTTACATCAGGCGTAAACTATATCATATGTCCTTTATAGCATATCCCGTAGTCACCTCTTACGACAGCCTTGGGACATTTTAATCGATTAAGAGGAGCATTACAAAAAAAACAACGCAAAATTACAAGGTTTTCTCGTTGAAATTATATGTTTTCCGTTCGTTGCTTGAAATAACAAATACTTGGTAAAAATAGTTCGTTTTCTCTATTACAATAAGCTTAAGGCAAATTTTAGATAACTTATTTCTTTATTTAGTAATAATCATTCCCCCGATGCACGTTTAGGCCAAAACTCTGAGACATGATTTGGGAGCTCTAATTTATACATTCTATTGAATATCGACCATCGAAAAAAATATTTTTATCTCACAAATATCCTATACTTTAAAATTATTAAATAAATTTTCGTTATATGCCTTTCACATAAGGGAAAAAAATCGACATAATTCAATTATCTACCGAAAAAGCTTCGATACAAGCGCCAATATCTCCAAAGTTCTATGTCATTTTGCCGTTAAATTTATACCAAAATATTAAGTTAGATAGATAGTTAGATTATCAACATTTGCTTAAACTCTACTATGATTTTTACTTTTTAAATCGTTACTGTTATTTTTAATAACCTAATTAAATGTACAATATATTTCACTGCGCCGGCCCTCTGCGTTCAATACAGCGCGAGCGCTCCTCTGGGTCGGACCTGTATCAATTTACTCGCGCGCTCCGTCTCGTTTCGATATTATCGTACAGTCCTCGCGGCGTAAGCTGAGCTTTGCATTTGTGTAAGTGATCGCCAAAAATACAGTTATTAAAAAATCAATGTTTTATTAAAAGTTAATGCTGATATTTTGATTATCCTAAATTATAGTAATAAACTGCATAACAATATTATAACTCTTCTTCTCCGCTCATTGCATCTTCATCTTCACTCTCGTCTGATGACTCATCAGAGCCTGTGTTAATAATGAATCGCTCCGATAAACTGTCGATAGCGGCGTCTCAACCATCAAATGCTTTTTCTTCTTTAACTACATGGTCACAAACATTTTTCCACTCTTGTACAGTGATCGCGTCAACTTTTTCCTTTGTTAATCTCATTATAGTGTCCATATTCATTGCCACGTTTTTTAGCTACGTATCCTTTTACCATTGCCCATATATTTTCAATAGGATTAAAATCAGGGTGGTAGGGTGGTAGACGTAGAACGCTGTGACCATGTTCTCGGAGCAAATTATCAATTTTATATTCAACAAATATTGCTTTGTTTTGTAGTATCAACTGATAAAGTTGTGGTTTAAGCATCGATCTAGAGTGATCGATATTTCGATATTTGAGCCAATCAATCATAGCTTGTTTACGATGGTTTTAATTGGGCGCGGGATTTTGATACGAATTGTGGTATGATGCATTGTCAACCACCACAACACTATTCGGTTTTAAATTTGGAATTAGCTGCGTTTGCAACCAATTTGTGTTATTCTCGGTGTTCATATTATAATGATAGTCACCACTTTTTTGGTTTGCCTTGAACATGAGTAGGGCATTGGGTATGAAACCGTCCTCTCCGCCGGCATGAACTATTATTAACCGATTTCCCTTAGAAATTGGTTTCTTTAAACCAGAGGTGCTTCCATCTGAATAAGATTTCGACGAAGTGTGAGACGTGTCTATATATGTTTTGTCAGTATAAAAGATTGGGAGGCCCTGAGCGCGATATTCGGCAATTTTAATGAGAAACATTATTCGAAGATATCGTATTTCATGTTTCTCCATAAGGATTCTGCGATTATCTTCTGTCCTTTTCCACTTGAATCCTAATAGAGATACTTCTTTTCTTAATTGCACCTGGATAATTTATTTCTGCCTTTAACTTTTCGTGTAATATTTTCATAGTGGGAACCTGTTTGTCGGTGATGTGAAAGTTATGAAGTATTCTCCGAATTACCGCTTTATCAAAATCATCGATCACAATGATATTTTTCCTGCATCTTGTTTTTTTCGGAGATTTAAATTTGCTTCCATTTTCCAAAGCACATTTACTTTCTAATAAAACCTTTTTTACAGTTGACAGCGGAATTCCCGTCGATGTCGCTACCAATTGGGCCGACGTAACGACACTTGACATATCCTTGTCGTTTAAATCTTTGAAATACGTATTCATGATGTATAAATTTCTTTTGTTTGGCTGCTTAATGGTCGTTTAGTCAATTTACTTACAGTAGGAGCCATTTCACAAAAAATTCGAACACAACCACAAAAAATTGCACGTCTATCTGCTAGCGGTACCAGAGGTGAAGTGGGGAATGTGCGCGACAAGGAAGCAACGCGTGGAGGATGCGCCGCGCCTCAGGCCGCGTTTTAAAAACCAGTATAAGCTGGTTTAAACCATGCGCGGGACGCGCTGCGCCTCAAGCCGTATCCCACTGTACACTATCTGTGTGCACTCACACAAATGCAAAGCTCAGCTCACGCCGCGAGGACTGTAGTGTGCGTCGATGGCCGTGGCTAGCGTTGCAAGGCGTCCGGATAAAGCCGGACACAGTAAGGCTGTTTGGTTGCGTGTCCGGCCAAATTAGAAAGTGTCCGGCCCGTCTCACTTTTTTTAGGCTTTTTAAAGGGGACAATCGTTTTCGGGCCAACTAGTTATTTTAACGTAACTAACTCATAAAAAAAGATACCAATTTACAACAGTAAATTGGCTAAAGATTTTATGAAAATCTAACTGGTATGATGATAAATAATACAATTAAGAATCAATACCTACATATAAATCACCGCAGTCTGTGTATTCGTGAACTGTTTTCTCCCTCCCTCGGCGTGAACCCACCTAGTATTTAATATTTTGAAGAAACTACATTTTTTATACTATTTATTATTAACACTGCACTATTATAACATAGAATATCGATAAAAAACTACTAGACAGTCGCACATATATATGTTTTAGGTTATAATGAGACTGCCGTTTGATTGTTAATTTCTCAGTATTCCCGTTAGTTGCGGTAAAACTAATATCACTCGTGTAATCTAGAGATATAAGTAATAAACCGACACGCATTTCATTAAGTTACGCCACAATTTGCGGTGAGCCCATTCTGCATACAAAAAGAAATTGTCTTTTCACGTATACATAATAAGTATAAGAGCCGTGGTAGCCAGGTGGTCAGGTGGTTAACGCTCGCTGTAAATATAACAGAACGCGAGTAATCCGGGTTCAATCCCCGCCGGCACCAATGAAATCGTTAATTGCAATTTTAAGTGCTGATTTACCACGTGCTCGGCGGTGAAGGAAAACATCGTGAGGAAACCTGCATGTCTGAGGAATAAGAAAAAATATATATATTTCGAAGACATGTGAAGTTTGCCAACACGCATTGGGGCAGCGCGGCGGACACTTCCTTGCCCTAAAACCTCCTCAGAAACGAGGGGAGGCCTGTGCCCAGCAGTGGGACGTATATAGGCTGTAACTTTACTTTACTTTACGTATATACTTTATTGATATATACTTTATTGAATATTGAATGATTAATTGATTAATATTATAGAAGACTGATTTATTCAATTTTATTGTTATTTCATTAGAATTTTAGAATATTTTATGGTAAATAATAAAAATCATTGTTTTAAAATTAAAAAAATGGTATTAAAACTGAAAAATTAAGGGTGTCCGGCCTTTTTACCAAAATGTCCAGCTAAACTCGTTGGTCTGTCCGGCTTTTCGGTCTTAAGACCTGGCCACCCTAGCCGCGGCGCTGCTATTTTGTGCTAGAACATCTTCAACTACGCCCGAAAATTTTAATCGTTGGAAATATTTACTTTAGTACAGTAAATTTTAATTAGGATAAAGTTCGCACATTATAATTATACCAGATAGTTAACTCATTATAGTTATTTTGATTGTATCTGAGCTTTCTTACCAGTCCGAATGGGGAAAAATAAATACAAGTATCAATGTGTCACTTAACGTAAAAAAAGAAATGTCCTATCTCTGGAGAAAAAATAATGGAGAATAAAAATGTCTGCATGCTTGCCATATGGACCGGCCCAGATTATGTAGTAAAAGTACTAAAAATCTACAAAATGACAAATTTTGGATTTTGAATATGTTAGCCAAGTTACAAGCGTTTTATAAAAAGTGTGTACTGCCTGAAATTATTGACTCGAGATAAGCTTGGTCAATGCTTTTGCAGCTAATATTTTTATAATAATAAATATGGTACTTGACTGTAAGTACCGGTTAAAAAAATTAAGTTACAGTTTGTTATTTTATTTATTAAAACAGGTTACAACCGTACTATTATTTTATTTATACCACCATATGCTACCGTTAGTAGATATCCAAGAAACCATTAAAATATTTATTTATGTGTGAAATATTTATTTTAAAACTAAGGTTCATAAATAATGAAAAATATATCAAATAGATTATAATAAATTAATTAGATAACATAAAAATGACACACCAAAAATTTTCCATCCACTGAACTCCATCCTAAGAAAACATATATAATGAAAGATCAAGATCGTTTAGTCGCTATACTCACAGTACCGCAGTGCGGACGATTGAAAAGATATGAAATAAAGTGTCGCTCACGTAGGTTATTTATTCTGTGGCGTAGTTCATCGCCCGCTCGGAGAGTCAAATACCTAAATTTGCGTAACGCCGAAATGTAAGAGGGCTCTTAAGAAAATGACTCGTTAGTAGTAAAAAGGTTCTTCAATTGTTGTTATTCACCATGAGAAAAACAGCAGTAGTATGTTACTATTCCACGATAGTTATTCCGTGTAAATGTAGCTTCACCCCAGTCGGGCAAACTCATTCGTTAAAGATAAGTCTAGCATAACTCTAATACGTATATATTATATTTGGTGTAAAAAGTACATTTTGTACATGTTTGATAGTCAATAGTGAGAGAAAAAAAATAGTCTAAAGTGTGTAATTTTTTCGTTAAAGTTACCTTCTTGTTATTGTAACGCAGTGTATGCGTGTGCCTGTACGTATACGTGAACGAGTGATTGTACATATACGTATACGTGCATACGCGCGTATGTGTTTGTACATGTTCGTGTAGCTGTGCGTGTGTGCGGTACCTGGTCGAGCGGCAGGTGGTGTGATTGTGCGCGCGGGCTGCCGCCGCACATTGGTGGTATGTGTTGTGTGTGTATGCGTTTGCGTGTAGCTGTGCGTGTGTGCGGTACCTGGTCGAGCGGCAGGTGGTGTGATTGTGCGCGCGGGCTGCCGCCGCACATTGTGTATGTGTATGTGTGTGTGTGCGTTTGTGTGTAGCTGTGCGTGTGTGCGGTACCTGGTCGAGCGGCAGGTGGTGTGATTGTGCGCGCGGGCTGCCGCCGCACATTGTGTATGTGTATGTGTGTGTGTGCGTTTGTGTGTAGCTGTGCGTGTGTGCGGTACCTGGTCGAGCGGCAGGTGGTGTGATTGTGCGCGCGGGCTGCCGCCGCACATTGTGTATGTGTATGTGTGTGTGTGCGTTTGTGTGTAGCTGTGCGTGTGTGCGGTACCTGGTCGAGCGGCAGGTGGTGTGATTGTGCGCGCGGGCTGCCGCCGCACATTGTGTATGTGTATGGGTGTGTGTGCGTTTGTGTGTAGCTGTGCGTGTGTGCGGTACCTGGTCGAGCGGCAGGTGGTGTGATTGTGCGCGCGGGCTGCCGCCGCACATTGTGTATGTGTATGTGTGCGTGTGCGTTTGTGTGTAGCTGTGCGTGTGTGTGGTACCTAGTCAAGCGGCAGGTGGTGTCGTAGTGCGCGCGGGATGCCGCCGCACAGTATATGTGTATGTGTACGTGTGCGTGTGCGTGTGCGTGTAGCAGTGCACGTGTGTGGTACCTGGACGAGCGGCAGGTGGTTTTTATTGTGCACGCGGGCTGTCACCGCACACTGTACATTTATATGTGTACACATGCGTGTGAGTGTAGCAGTGCGTGTGTGCGATATCTGATCGAACGGCAGGTGGTGTAATAGTGCGCGCGGGATGCCACCGCACACTGTACATTTATATGTGTACATATGCGTGTGCGTATAGCAGTGCGTGCGTGCGATACCTGGTCAAGCGGCAGGTGGTGCCGCTGGGCGCGCGGGCTGCCGCCGCACACGCTGTGCCGCCGCGCTCCGCGCACCCCACTCCCGATGCCGCCACCGCGGCCCGCACGCACAGGAAACAATCTGCCGAAAAGTCATAACACACAATACAATAAAACTACATTTTGCCACGAACTTTACCACAAGCGAATTGTTACTCCATATAACTATTAAATTAATAATACTACTTATAATCAATAAGTAACTTTAATCCCGGTCAGCTCAGATATCTGAAATGACATAATAGCCCGGCCACGGGACATTCGCCGTAGCGACAATTCGCGCGGCGCGAAAGGCGAGGATATATATATATATATCGGAGGATATATATATATATATATATATATATATATCATATATATATATATATATATATATATATATATATGAAATAAAATATGTATAGAAATGCACGGATCAAGCCACGCGTAGCGGCGAGTAAGTCGGCGTTTACAAATGTATGAATCAGTACGGTGCAAGCCACGGAGTCAGGCGGCAGACGCGGCGAATAGTATAGGGAACAAAATATTTTAGTTGTTTTTGCCGCGAAAAATGCCGGACCGACAAAAACAACTTAAAATTCTATCCGCATTGGCTTTTATCTCCAATTCTGGTCGAATATAATCGGAGGTTTCGACACTCTATCTGGTATTTACTCGAAATTTTTTTCTAGATGCATTCTATTTGTTGTGGAATTCTCCATCTATAACCCGATTCCTATTCAAATCATGTACTCTACAATCTCTTCCAAATATGATGTCTTGAATCAATAAACAATTACCTTCTAAGCAATACCTCGATAACCTTGAAAAATACATTTCACTCTCGGCCTATCTGGTCGCGGCGGCAAACGTGACTTCCCGTGGTCCACAAATCGCGTCGCGCGAATTGTCGCCACGCCTGTCGGTTCGCCGTTCGCGCCGCCGATTCCCGTGGCCAGGCCGTAAAAGGGTCAATTTGAGGCGATTGGGACGTGGCGGGCCGCTTCGGATTCATGCAACCAAATCAATTAATGCAAAAGGCGGGCTCCTGGGCACCGGCTGCATCTTCCGCTGTCCATTTTGATTTATTTATGTACTTTTATTTATTTTACTAAATTATGATAATTTTTGTGTGTTAATTTATCGCTTTCTCTTATATATTTATGCAGCCCAACCATTATATATTATACCAATCAATAACTTAATTAACAACTGCCCCGTTCGCAAAAAAACAATAGTTACACCATTGAAATGTTCATATAAACAGAGTTATTTTGCAATATACGGCCAAATTCGCAGAGAAGGTTTATAATTTGTAATATAGGAGAATGTTGAAGAAAAATTAATTTAAAAAATCTCAAAAAATGTTTTTTTTTGTCTATGAAATTCAGAATGCGTGATAATGCATTCATTATTTTACCTTATTTTCATTCATAAATTTACAACTCCTACTATTTTACTACGCACGCACACATTCGTATAGGTCACTTGATTACAAAATTTAAGTACCTTGTCGCGCGTGTTCCCGCGCCCTCCCCTTCCGTTACACCGCTAGGCACCTACGTCCACCGTATGGTGCGGAATCACATTTTAAGCAGTGGAAGTTGACGCAAAGATTATACGAGAGTCTTTACCGCATCAAGAAATTAAAATACATGTACCTACTAATCGAAGAACAATTGACAGCTAATCAAACTATTCAAGTGCAGTGAGCGATAATTTAAATGAATATAAAAATAGTCGCCGGATCTTTCCCCGCTTGAGCTTTTATTTGTGGAAGTGAAATAAAGAGTCGCGTTTACGTCAAAGAGGCCCAAAGTTATGAAGACCAACACGGTAACATTATTGTTGCGTTCTAAGAAGTTGAAAGTGCTTGAGCACAAGTAATAAATGTAATAATGATTTCTTATATTTATGCGAACACTACACATTGAAATAATACTAGTTTTTACGGAATCTATCGCATATATTTAACTTTTTAAATACCCGACGTTTCGAACGCTTTACAGCACTCATGGTCACGGGCGGGACTGAGATGTTCAACGTCCATATGTCATAGTTAACCGCGGTTACCATAGATTAAAATTTAACTTTTGTTCCGATCTAAATAGTATGAACTTATGGTATCTTGAAGTCTTGCAGTTGTATGCTTGGGTTGGGATTTAATTTTATTTATTGTAGGATCCCAAGCAGATGGTAGCACCCAGCCATCTTCTCTATTGAAATTAGGATGTTTTTTCCGATACTATTCAACCTTGACATTCATGATACCCTCACTCAATTTATTACCAAACTTAAGCATGTTCACGTACACTTTTTATTGCTTTGTCTTTTTTAATTATGAACAGAATTTTCTCAAAGTTCAACTTTTTATAACACAACGCATGCTGTGATTGTTTATAACTATAAAAGCAGTCATGTAAAATTTATAAGACTGTAATATAACCAAACATTCGTTGTCCTTTCTTATGTTGGCAATCCAAATAAATAAAAAGGACCAAAAATAAAAGTCCTTGACGAAGATTCAGGCCTTTGTATAAAACATCATTCAAACATACGTTGTTCGATGTTTTTCCGGATGCATTAAATACTACTCTTAGCGACGTAGTTAAAGAGTCAAAAGTTAAAGAACGTTTAACTGTGTGATGCAACATGTAATACATTCGATTGATGTATACATTCGCAAATTGCTAGTAATTATTGGCTAGTTTTTAATTATTTTCAAACTTCTTTCGAGTTGATGAAACTGTGTGCAAACTTTATGTTCAGACAATGCTAACTTCTCCTCCGCGTCAGGGTGCAGTGGAGGGCGCGCTACATGTCTCCTATCAGGTTGGCGAAAAGTAGTCTCTTGGTACTTTTGAAGGCATTGACCTTTCGAGTCTTCGGATGACAACTCCTCATTGTCATTGATCTCTTCGTTCGGCCATTTATGTATGATGTCAATATCTACAATAATCACGTTACAGTTGTACTATTTAACGTTTCCGCATAAAATCCAGCCAAATTTCGTTTGCTGCGCAATAGGCACGATGTCATTTTTTAAATGATTCTTCCCACGAGTAAGCGTAACAGATATCCCAGTAACAAATCTATTGTTCTGCTACGACGGAATTCAGGGTCCGCTAAATGGATGTTTTCAATAAATGCCAATGACGGTTTTCCGAATGATTTGTTTGGTAGGTTGTTTACTGCGATTTACATTATAAAGACGTCAAGATTTATAATAAACGTGTTATATTAAGATGAAAAAGTGATGTTCATAACGCCCTTACAGCTGTTCTCCTCCGCGCCTATTCCTAATATCACTTCTTTGCAATGCTTGCGAAGTAGTCCTAATTTTTGAGCGCCATTTTCGGTAATAATCGATGTTTGGGATCCTTGGTCGATAAGTGCTCTCATGCAGCGAAGGGTACCTATCAACAGCTTGAACGTTGATTAGAGCAGTTGCCAATAAAATCTCTTGAGAGTCCTTCAGCGACAAGTGTGAGTTTGACACCATGCGGTCGGTCGTTCAACTCAGCTTTGCAGCGTTTGCTGATACGGCAAAGGCTTCGTCAATCACTGCATGATGATTACTTTGGCTCTTGCGACTTTAGGCCTGTAAATTTCAGATTCCAAAAGTGTAGTAATTCTTTTAAAGTCGGCAAATCTCTTGCGTGTTTCAGTGACTGAATGTAGTCGTTATGGGCGTCATCGTCTAATTTCTGAGTAATTAATTAAACAACAAGGGTCCTGGTTCTGTATGTTGACTCCCAGATTTTTGGTGGCGTTTAAGCATTCGTTGGTGGTATGGACTGAGATGTAATGATTCGTTTGTAGTAAAAAGGGTCTCCGGTACATTACTCTCACCATACGAAACATAACAGCACTAAGCTGCTATTTTACGCTGGTGTTGTTTGAGAGCGTGTCTTACCCCGGTCGAGCAGACTCATTCGTGCTACAATCATAATACAGCTGCAGCTCTACCACGTATTAAAGATGCATGCATGCAGACCTGACGCTGTCGAGGTGCAGGTGCGTGGGCGAGGCGGGCGGCGACAGTGGCTCGCTGTCGTCTGAAGAGGACGCGCTCGCTTCCGCTTCCGCCTCCGCTTCCGCTTGTGCACTGACTGCCGCCGCCGCGCCCGCCTCCGCTTCCACCTGCAGCTCCTTCTCCTTCTCGCTCCTATCGTCTATCACCATGCGCGGCACGTTCACCTCGTATCTGTGACCAATTAGAAATGGAAACTTTTTTATTCAATATAAGTTATAAATAATACTTATTGAAATTCACTCTTATGGTTTGTTATCATTGGTCAGGAAAATACCTCTGTCGTAGGAAGAACCAGCAAGAAACGGAGAGAATTTTTTTTGAAAAAGAATTTTACAATTAATTAAGTTACACAGTAATAAATACAAAACCAAATTAGAAATAGCTTGTTAGCAATCACCTCGTCCCCAAGGGTTATTGTCTATTGTACTTAGTCGGGTCATAAGTTCTGTCAAAACCTTACTATTTAAAATGTTTGTCTTCCATTTTTTGTCATTTTGACCGGCCCATTGCTACTTCGTTTACTGATCAGATATATTGTTTAGTCTAACACACAGAAAAACTGAGTATAGCCCTCTTCACAGCTCACTGAGCGACCTTAAGCTTCCCCATACGGCCAGCATTAAAGGACCACGTTTCGGATCCATATGTCACCACTGACAAGACGCACTAGTTATACATTCTTAATTTAATGCACGCACCCTGAGGACTGACGAGAAGATCCTGGAGCTGGAAGAAGAGATAGACAAGTTGTGCTGGAATATTATGGGATTATCCGAGGTCCGAACAGAGGGGGAGGACACGGTGATTCTCGAATTCGGCAACTTGTTCTATCACCGGGAGGGCGACGATTTGTCCCAAGGAGGTGTTGGATTTATCGTCCACAAGTCTCTCGTTAACAACGTTTTAAAGATTGGGAGTGTATCGACGAGAGTCGCGTACTTGATACTCAGAATCATCAAACGGTATTCGCTGAAGATTATACAGGTTGACGCGCCAACGTCGGAACATCCCGATGAGGAGGTGGAGGAAATGTATGAGGATATTTCTAGAGCCATAAATTCCTCCAAAACTCACTATACGGTGTTAATGGGAGACTTCAACGCAAAACTGGGCAAAAGAAAAAACGGTGAGCTGAAGGTAGTGAAATTTGGGATAGGGCAACGAAACGCAAGGGGCCAGCAGCTGGCTGACTTCATGAAGAAAGAGGGACTTTTTATGATGAACTCTTTCTTCCAGAAGCGGCCCCACAGAAAGTGGACCTGGTCAAGCCCGACGGTTTGACAAAAAATGAGATTGACTTCATTATGACGACCAGACGCCAACTGTTCAGTGTGAGAGTTTATACGTGGTAAAGCCATACTGCAGTTATATTAGTCGTATAGTTGTAGCACGAATGGGTCGGCTCGACGGGTGAAGGACTACGCTCTCACAGAATACCAGCGTAAAATAGTAACTTAACGCTGCTGTGTTTCGTATGGTGAGTGTAGAGAACCGGAGACCCTTTTACTGGAAACGAGACATTCCATCTTAGTCCTCACGGGTGACAGCGCATCTGCATTTTGATTCTTAATCGAGGATGGATGTAGATGTTTATTGGCCACAGCAACCACTTACCATCAGTTGGACTGTGTGCTCGTTTCTCACCCTATCCTATAAAAAAATGTCTCAGTGATCGCAAAGGTGAATACTGGCAGCGATCACCGAATGTTTAGAGGCACACTGAACCTAAACGTTAAGTTGGAGAGGTCTCATCTAATGAAGTCAACGCTCCGTCCCCCTCGTGCTCTAATCCAGAATCCCGAAAACTTTCAGCTCGAGTTACGTAACCGCTTTCAGTGCCTACAAGATTGCAATGCAGTGGACGATATGAATGACAAGCTCGTGGAAACTGTCCATGCGGTCGGAGCTAAGTTCTGCAAGACCCGCCGCAGAAGAGCACAAAAACTCTCCGATCACACTCTTAATCTCATGGCTGTTAGATGGGAGATGAGGCTGCAATCGTCAACAGATTTGACAGCATACAGGCAACTGAACAGGCAGGTCTCCAAATGCATGCGGCGAGACTTTTTCTATAATTTTAATTTTAATACTAGAAATATGTATCATCATCATCATCTTCATTACAGCCCTTCACAAGTCCACTGCTGAACATAGGCCTCCCCCAAGTAACGCCACAAAGCACGGTCCTGAGCCACCTGCAGAAATATATATATAAAGGCAATTTTAATACTGCTCTGGAGCTTCTGAAAGCGGGTGGAACACCGGTACTTGAAGTCCTTCAGAAGCTCTTCAATTCCGTCCTCCATGGTGGCACTACTCCAGAGGCGTGGAGCAGAAGTGCGGTGGTCTTGTTCTTTAAGAAAGGCGACAGCGCTCTCTTGAAGAACTACAGACCGATTTCCCTTCTGAGCCGCGTCTACGTGCTGTTTTCGAGAGTCATTACGAATCGTCTCGCACGCAGACTCGGCGACTTCCAGCCTCCCGAACAAGCCGGTTTCCGAAAAGGCTTCAGTACCATAGACCACATACATACCCTGCGGCAGATTGTACAGAAGACTGAAGAGTACAATTTGTCACTTTGCCTGGCGTATGTGGACTATGAGAAAGCTTTTGATTCCGTCGAAATTTGGGCGGTGCTGCAGTCCCTTCAGCGGTGTCAAGTTGACTGTCGGTATATCGAAGTGCTGAAGTGTTTGTACAGTAGGGCTACGATGGCTACCCGAGTACAGAACCAGAGCTCGAAACCTATCCAACTGCAGAGAGGTGTAAGACAGGGTGACGTTATATCCCCGAAACTCTTCACCGCTGCTTTGGAAGACGTTTTCAAGCTACTGGACTGGAAAGGATACGGTATTAACATCAATGACGAGTACATCACTCACCTTCGATTTGCCGACGATATAGTCCTTATGGCAGAATCGCTGGAGGACTTAAGCACTATGCTCAATGACCTCAATAGTGCCTCCCAACGGATAGGTCTTAAGATGAACATGGACAAAACAAAGATCATGTTTAATGTCCATGTCACACCTATGCCGGTAGTTGTTGGGAGCACTATGTTCGAAGTTGTTGACGAGTACGTTTACCTGGGACAAATAGTCCGACTAGGTAAGTCCAACTTCGACCGAGAGGTCAATCGACGGATTCAACTCGGCTGGGCAGCGTTCGGGAAATTACGATACATCTTCTCGTCAGGTATACCTCAATCTCTGAAAACTAAAGTGTACAACCAGTGCGTGTTGCCAGTGATGACTTACGGATCAGAGACGTGGTCCTTCACTGCTGGCCGTATGAGGACGCTCAAGATCGCTCAGCGAGCTATGGAGAGGGCTATGCTCGGAGTTTCTCTGCGTGATAGACTCAGAAATGAGGATATCCGCAGTAAAACCAGAGTGACCGACATAGCCCAACGGATTAGTAAGCTGAAGTGGCAATGGGCCGGCCATATAGCTCGAAGAACCGATAACCGATGGGGAAGAAAGGTTCTCGAGTGGCAGCCTCGTACCGGTAGGCGTAGTGTAGGGCGACCCCCCACTAGATGGAGTGACGACCTGGTAAGATATGCAGGAAGTCGATGGATGCAGGTGGCTCAGAACCGTGCTTTGTGGCATTACTTGGGGGAGGCCTATGTTCAGCAGTGGACTTGTGAAGGGCTGTGATGATGATGATGATGATGATGATAATACTGCTCGTATTAAAGAAACGATCGAGCGGAACCAGGGCTTCAAATTCTTTGCCTGAGATCTGTCTGCCAGAAAGTGCCAACTGTCAATGCTGAAGACTAAGTGTGGCAGCATCGTTTCCGGAACACCTGAGATTTTGAGTGAGATTGAGAGGTTCTATGTGCAGCTGTACACATCATCGTTATAGCCACACGCAAGTGTGAGCAACGATCCAATAGCAAGTCTTATCCGACACTACTCCGATGATATCCCGGATGTCAGTCTGAGCGAGATTAGAATGGCTCTCCAGCACCTTAAAAACGGCAGGCGAGGATGGAATTACAGCGGAGCTTCTGAAAGCGGGTGGGACACCGGTACTTAAAGTCCTTCAGAAGATCTTCAATTCCGTCCTCCATGGTGACACTACTCCGGAGGCGTGGAGCAGAAGTGCGGTGGTCTTGTTCTTTAAGAAAGGCGACAACGCTCTCTTGAAGAACTACAGACCGATTTCCCTTCTGAGCCGCGTCCAAGTGCTGTTTTCGAGAGTCATTACGAATCGTCTCGCACGCAGACTCGACGACTTCCAGCCTCCCGAACAAACCGGTTTTCGAAAAAGCTTCAGTACCATAGACCATATACATACCCTGCGGCAGGTTGTAAAAAAGACCGAAGAGTACAATCTGCCACTTTGCCTGGCGTATGTGGACTATGAGAAAGCCTTTGATTCCGTCGAAATTTGGGCGGTGCTACAGTCCCTTCAGCGGTGCCAAGTTGACTGTCGGTACATCGAAGTGCTGAAGTAGGGCTACGATGGCTATCCGAGTATAGAACCAGAGTTCGAAACCTATCAAACTGCAGAGAGGTGAAAGACAGGGTGACGTTATGTCGCCGAAACTCTTCACCGCTGCATTGGAAGACGTTTTCAAACTACTGGACTGGAAAGGAGACGGTATTAACATCAATGGCGAGTACTTCACTCACCTTCGATTTGCCGACGATATAGTCCTTATAGTAGAATCTTAGCACTTATACTTAGCACTATGCTCAATGACCTCAATGGTGTCTCCCAACGGATAGGTCTTAAGATGAATATGGACAAAACAAAGATCATGTTTGATGTCCATGTCACACCTATGTTGTTGGAGGATGTTGTTGGGAGCACTATGCTCGAAGATGTTGACGAGTACGTTTACCTGGGATAAGTAGTCCGACTTCGACCGAGAGGTCAATCGACGGATTCAACTCGGCTGAGCAGCGTTCGGGAAATTACCACACATCTTCTTGTCAGGTATACCTCAAACTCTGAAAACTAGATTGTGCAACCAGTGGTTGTTGCCAGTGATGACTTACGGGTCTGAGACGTAGTCCTTCACTGCCGGCCGTATGAGGACCCTCAAGGTCGCTCAGCGAGCTATGGAGAGGGTGATGCTCGGAGTTTCTCTGCGTGATAGACTCAGAAATGAGGATATCCGCAGTAAACCAGAGTGACCGACATAGCCCAACGGATTAGTAAGCTAAAGTGGCAATGGGCCGGCCATATAGCTCGAAGAACCGATAACCGATGGGGAAGAAAGATTCTCGAGTGGCAGCCTCGTACCGGTAGGCGTAGTGTAGGCGACCCCCACTAAATAGAGTGACGACCTGGTAAGACATGCAGGAAGTCGATGGATGCAGGTGGCTCAGGACCGTGCTTTGTGGCATTACTTGGGGGAGGCCTATGTTCAGCAGTGGACTTGTGAAGGGCTGTAATGATGATGATGATGATATATGATGACAAGTGGATCCTATACGACAATTTTAAGCGTTCGAGCACTGTATGCTTTGATCCAGTTGCCCAAGCCAAAAGCCCGAAACGAACGATTAGCCTGATAAAGCTGATGATGAGTTTGGTAGTCTACTGTTCATCATCGGCCTGCCATCTTACGCGAGGATTAACTGCTGACTGGATGGTGGAGAAGCTGGCACTTAAACAACCTACATTGGTGAACTGCTCTTCGCCATTGCTTCTTCATGACAATGCCCGGCCATATACTGCGCAACAGACCTTGAACAAAGCACCAAAACTAGAGAGGCGGGACCAAAACTAGAGACCCTTTCTCATTCACCATATTTTCCAGAACTTTTCCAAACAAACTTACGCTAATTTCGAAAATTAGATACGTTTTACATAGGCAAAATTTTAATTCTGAAGAGGTAGTAAAAACGCCTTTAAAGAGTTCATCCATTCTCGTGCATCTAATGGTCGTGCAAATAATGACGCTGAGCTGTCAACAGTAATTTCAAGAAGTGATATTCAAAAGATTCAACTCCAGTAATTTAACTCGTTATTTTACCGATATGTAGATATTGAATCTATATGCGATTTGTATCGTCCACTTGTGATTTTGTTTATAGGAGTTAAAATGAAAATAAAAGTGCAGTGTACGAGGGTGACACTGAAAGTTCTTAGAAAATCAAAAACTGAACAAACTAGCAAGTTACTTATTAGTTTTGTTATATATTTTCAAAATAGTGTCCATTTACATCAAAATATCGTTGCATTCGATGGAACCACTGAGAAAATCACTTTGCTCACTCTTCGACGGCATTTCGAAAAGCAGCCACTGCTTCCTCGGCGTCCATAAAACGTTTTCATCGAAGTTTTTATTTTATTTTCGGAAATAAATAAAAATCCAAAGTGCGAGGTCGGGGATATAGGAGGGGTGAACCAGTAATTCCACGTGTGATGTCGCCAAGTAGTCGATTGTTTGCTTGGCGGTGTGCGACGAGGCGTTGTCGTGGTAAAGGATGATCCCACTGCGAGGTCGTTTCTCCCGAACTTTTTCCAAGACAAGTGGCAAACAACTCTACAGTAACCGTGTTTCGATCCTCTAAAACAATTGTTGCGTAATGACTAATGACCTGTCCTTCCGAAGAACGCGGCCACAATCTTTTTCTCCCACGCTTCGACCTCTCTACACTTAGTTTGCAACTCCGCGGAAGGAAACAAACACCAACGCGGAAGGAGACAGCAGACTGTCTCTTAGTTTCAGGATCATAACAATAAATCCAGCTTTATTCACCCGTAAATATGTCGAACACAGCATTTGAGTCACCTCCGTTAAATCTTTGAACCATTTTTGAGTTTTTAGGCCTCTGTCAAATTATGAAGTCTTCGCCGGGCACAAAGCTTCCTGACTCCTCTTCATGAAGGATTTTGTGCACTTGACTCATACCGATGACTTAGCTTGTCCGAATTCGTTGATAAGTTACTCTCTTGTCAGTCTCTATCATACGTCGCACAACACTGATGTTATCTTCTGTCGTCGCCGTAGAAGGCCGTCCCTCACGCAGATCATCGGTGAGATTAGTGCGATCACGTTTAAACTCATTAAACCAGTTGTAAACAGTGGCATGACATGGGGCTCCATCGTCAAAGGCCAATCGAAGTCAATAATAACTTTCTTGTTGACTTAAATGACCTCGAAAGTTATAAAAATCATTGCATGGTACGAAAATTTTCTAGCGTTAAATTTATGTTGACATGACACAGACAATTTTCCGCCAAATCGTAAACAAACGACAAATTAATAAAATACATGTAGGAAGGTAGTTAAATAGAATTAATTTACAATCACAAAATACTCGGATCACATGTACCAACTATAAATTGTACTGAGACTAATTTAATAGCTGATAATGCGGCAGCACACGCAATACTGTAGCTATGTAGACGCAGGTCGGCGGCAAGGTGCGGCGCGCGCAGTACTGTACCTGTGCAGGCGCAGGTCAGCGGCCAGTGGCGGCGCGCGGCGAGCCGCAGCACGAGCACGCGCAGGCGCGTGCAAGGGCGGGGTGCGCGCGGGCCGCAGCGCAGCGCCGCGCCGGCGCAGGCGCAGCGTTAGCTCGCCGCTGGGCGCCGCGGCCGCTACGCGCGCGCACAGCCGCTCCACAGCCTCGCCTCCCCACCCGATCACGCACTGCCCGCCCACCTGCCCGCCAATAATTTAACATTTATGTAGTTCACACGCAGTAGAAGTGAATTCTTCAAATGAAATACACTTAATATAAAATATTCGCCGCCGAAACGGATGTGCGCGCAGAACGCAGAACTACAGCACCTCGAATTCTGAGTGAGAGAGAGAGTGAACCTGAACAATCTCGTCCGCATCGTGAACCGCTCCTGAAGCATGCGCAGGCGAGCCGAAGCGGATGTGTGCGAGCTGGTGGTGTCCGCAGAACGACGGCAGCACCTCGAAGCCCAGCGGCCGCGAGCCCTGGCGCAATGTCACCGTATCCAGGGACGCGGGCTGCAGGATCGTGGGGTCCGACACATCCTGCCCACGACATGGATAACGATGTTTGCATAAATATCATGAAATATGTAATTAAGATAATTAAAATAATAACAATAATAATTTTTCATAAATATAATATATAAATTTAATTTCATATATTTAAATAGACGTTTATTCACATAACATTGAAATATACACAATATTAAAAAACTTTAAGAAGAAAACTAAAACTGAAAGCCTAAATTAAGATTAAGGGTGCAGGTCTGTTTGTAACATAAACCAAAATTAAATTGTAAACTATTTTATTTTTATTCTATCTTTTTTAGTATTTTATATAGAACAAGGGTGACAAACGAGCGCACAGTCCGCCTGATGGTAAGTGGATGCTGTAACAGAAACGGAAACTTTTTATTCAATAAGATTATATAAATAATGATTATTGAACGTTACTTTTTAACTTCCCGCTAAGAAAATTGAAAATTTTCGAAAATAGGAAAGTTATTGATTTGAAAATAGGAAGTTTTTATCAGATCTCGACGTTTTAAGATCCCAGGAAGCCATTCCAATTTCACGTGGACATCCGTACGGATGTATGTATGTATGTGTGCGTGTCTGTAAGCATGTAAACCTTTAATAACTTTTGAAGGTCTTGATCGATTGAGATACGGTTACGGAGCGGAGACGGCGTTCTAAATATCTTAATATGGAATAGATTTAGTGACTGATTGATGAAAAATAAAAATTATGAAAAACCATTTTTTTTGTAATAGCTTTTAAAGGGCTTTACCGATCGATTTTAAAAACTAATCAGCTCTTAACTTCAAAAAATGACTTCGAATGCCGTTTGGAAAATAAAAATCGGTTTATACGTTCGTGAGATATCGAAGGAGAAAGAATTTGAAAAAAAAGTTTTTTTTAACATAACTTCGAGATTTTACAACCGAGCAAGTTTATGCGTCCTACATTATTTGTAGAACTTAAAAAACTGCGTCGGATGCCGTTTTGAACATGAAAATCGATTTATCCGATCATGAGATACCCAAGAAATTTTTGAAAAATAACGTTTTTTTTTTAACATACTTCCAGCCAAGTTTAAACGTTTTGAGTTCGAAAAGCTCAAAACGCCTGCTCTGAAAAGCTCAAAGTGGTGAAAACCACTGGTGCCGAAAAAACCTCTGCCCTGGGAAGAACTAACAAGACTCAAGCGGGATTTTTTTTAAAACATAACAACTTACAATCATGTATGTTATACAATTAACAACACAAAATAAATTAGAAATAGCTTCGTAGCGATCACCTTTCCCAGGGGTTATTTTTAATCGTAAATTCCTTAATATTATAATAACCCTTTTTATACAAACCTGTTCGGGGTTTCTCTGCATGATAAACTTAGAAATGAGGATATCCGCAGTAGAACCAGAGTAACCGACATATCCCAACGGATTAGCAAGCTGAAGTGGCAATGAGCCGGCCATATAGCTCGAAGAACCGACAACTGTTGGACAAAAAAGGTTCCGAGTGGCAGCCTCGTACCGGTAGGCGAAGTGTAGGGCGACCCCCCTCTAGATGGAGTGACAGGTGCAGGAAGTCGATGAATGCAGGTGGCTCAGGACCGTGCTTTGTAGCATACCTTGGGGGAGGCCTATGTTTAGCAAGGAACTTATCAAGGGCTGTAATGATGATGATTATGATACAAACATTTTCACCGAGAGTCACCGAGAAAAGTCCACACTACTGATGGACATATCATTTAACTGACTATTATCATCAGTGGGTATCCATTCAACGATTTGTATTGCGAAGAAATCCATACCAATCGAACCTTGTCAAACACCCAGCAAATGCAATTTCTAAAAATAAACTTAGAGAAAACAAAAAGAAAATGGTACAAGGCCTGCATATCAGTTTGGAGAACTATCAAGTTTTTTGGAATTTGTTGAATCATCGATACAATAATAAAAAACATATTTTGTGTAGGTATATGTATAAACAAATTAGATGCTGAAACTCGCAAAGATTACATCGAATCCCTAAAGAATTCTAAGTATAGCCGACTAACAGATTTTTTAAATACTGTGGTAAAAAAAATTACGTCACTCGAATCATCTCGACGCAACAAGACTCCACAGCAAAGTCGCCTGAAACATTTCATCAAAAGGAGCCTCAATTTTTTAATTCATTCACCAGCAAGAAATCAAGTCGCTAATTATGCACCGAAAACACACAAACAGGACATTTAAAAAAAACAACAAAAAACACAGCATATTTCACTGCAGAAACTTTCTCAAATTACAACCAACAAAAAGGCAAAATACTATTGCAAAATTGAAATACTGCGTCCTTACGATCACTACGGAAAAAAGTTGCCGTGAGTGCCATAGCCGACACAACACGCTCATACACGAGGCATACGTGAATCTTTTGACCTCAGGAACAAAACAACGTAAAAACGCTACCAACGTATCACAAAACAATATAAATAAAACCGCTAATAGCAACGGCATTATTAAAAGTACAGCGTGTTGATGGCACTTATATCAACAATCCAGCGCTGAATTATCAGACTTTCCAGACCTCCCTGATTACTGAGAAGGCAGCTCAGATGTTACAACTTCCTCGACAGAGGTGCAAAGGTGTCATTTTCGGAGAAGGAGCAAAGGGACAGATCACCGTAAAGTTGTTATTAACATAACTTGCTCATCTGCTTACAGCGACAATTTTACAACACACGTATTTATCATGAAACACTTTATGAACAATCTGCCCAACAAGACATTCAACAAATCAGGCGGGTCATATCTAGAAAACATTCAACTCCCAGTAGACTTGCTGCTGGGGGACGTCTTCCATCATAGTAGGCGGTATCATTTCATCAAAACAATCTGCACCTGTGGCACAGCAAACACATCTCGAGTGAATTTTATATGGTAATGTAAAATCCTATCAACGCAACGTTATTATCAACAATATAGATGAGATTCAACGTTTTTGGGACAAAGAAAACATACCTGACGAACTCACAATGACCAAAAAAGACGCCCAATGCCTGGAGTATTTAAAAAACACTACAACAAGATAAGAAGACGGTAAATACATAATGCGATTGCTATTTATATCAGAAACAGATCAAAAATTTGAAGAATCAAAATCATGAGCAATATCACGGTTTATACAGTTAGGAAAATCTATTTAATATCTTTGTTATAATGAATTTCGTAACGCCTGATTCTATCAATTAGTTAGAAAAAGATTTACTTACCGAAAGGATAATAAACAAGAACATAAATAATTTATCCACAAGTACTAGGAATTAGGTCATATTATGAAACTGTCGCCATGCACCACGGCGCCTGTCTTCAGTCTGTATTTACCTCATCATTGCGTTCAACGACTTGAGTCAACAACAACTTCGCTTTGACTAGTTTTTAACGGGGCGTCATGCCCCGTTAAAAACTAGTCAAATAATATGCCTGCACCGCATGTCATGTCATGTCAGCACATCAAAAAATATTTCATTCTTGAAGAAGAGACATTAGAGAGAATGATATGGAAAGGCGGACATTTTATGGTGGTTGAAAAAAGATGAGTTATAAGTATCAGGAGAGCCCAGCAGCGAAGGTCCTGCAATAACATACTTATATGGACTGCAGTGGGAACCATAACCTCGCTTCAGCTTAAAAGCTACAATCAGACTTAAAAAACTTATTAAAAGCAGTTGGATTTAATTTAAGAAAAATGGTCATACATATACAATACGAACGAGCAAACATATGACCTCAAAACTGAAGTATCTACAAAAACTTTAGGCTTCCGATGACTTACGCAATTAGATCAGCCTAATTTTATTGTAAGCGATTTATTTAGGTGAACATCATTTGCGCCATTTACTTTATTTTTTTAAGCAGCTACATTTTCATTACGAACGCGGCGAACGCATTCTATATTATTATCAATTTTGTATCAATATCATTATAAGTTTAAATAATTTTTTTCTAATATCATATATCATTTAAATGTGTTCTGTACATATTGAGAGGCCAAAGACTAAAAAAATTGTCAGCGATTCTAGTAGTTGTTGGGAGCACTATACTCGAAGTTGTTGACGAGTACGTTTACCTGGGACAAGTAGTCCGACTAGGTAAGTCCAACTTCGACCGAGAGGTCAATCGACGAATTCAACTCGGCTGGGCAGCGTTCGGGAAATTACGACACATCTTCTCGTCAGGTATGCCTCAAACCTGAAAACTAAAGTGTACAACCGGTGCGTGTTGCCACTGATGACCTATAGAACTGAGACGTGGTCCTTCATTGCTGGCCGTATGAGGATGCTCAAGGTCGCTCAGCAAGTTATGCAGAGGGCTATGCTCAGAGTTTCTCTGCGTGATAACCTAAGTAATGAGGATATCCGCAGTAAAACCAGAGTGACCGACATAGCACAACGGATTAGTAAGCTGAAGTGGCAATGGGCCGGCCGTACAGCTCGAAGAACCGACAACCGTTGGGGAAAAAGGTTCTCGAGTGGCAGCCTCGTACCGGTAGGCGTAGTGTAGGGCAAACCCCCCCCCCCCCCCCACTAGAAGGAGTGATGACCTGGTAAGAAGTGTTTTTTTACATGCACATTATAAAGGTCCTCCAATTAATGGTAGAAAAATTACTAGATAAGACTTACTATTTTTTTTTAATTCCCTCACTAATTTTTCAGTTTACTCACTGTTTCGTTTATTTTTGTTTATGGTTGTTAAGTCATAAAATCTTTACAATTAAATTCAGTTTTTTATTTTTTTAAGATTAGATAATATACTATACGATGTTGAGCTGTTGAGCACTTTATAATGTATATGTATGTACATTTAAATGTGTATGATGTACATACGTATGTATTGATGTATAGATATACATTATGTGATATGCAAGTGTACAGTTCACTTATACATTATTTATTACTTCCAAATAATACCTCGTTTATGCTGATTCCTTCCCTACTCACTTCTCTAAATGGTTGTTTTAATTTTTAGCTTTAAATAATGTAAGATCGTCCGTGAAGTGAATCTTGGGCTCTATTTGAAAATCAGCGCTGCTGTCATTTAGTTCAGCAGCAGTAAGCTGAAATAGGGACCTGATTTGACTTGTAATTTTTCGAGTTATGTTTTATTTCTTCAAAATCACAAATTTCAAATAAAGTTTTTCTTTCTTCCTTTTTTTAAGACATGCAAGAAGTCGATGGATAATGAAGCAAGCTGGCTGGCAGGATGCAGGATGGCTCAGGACCGTGCTTTGTGGCGGATCTTGGGGGAAGCTTATGTTCAGCAGTGGACTTGTGAAGGGCTGTAATGATGATGAGGACAAAAAACAGAAAAGGGCCGAGAATTGAGCCCTGAGACTAGCTCATTTGTACCATCGACCCAGAAGAACTCTTATGGACGCCACACACGGTCAATTCAACTGATCATTCCAACGGATCAGTTCAAACTAAAACTGTTGATTTTTTTAATATTGAATTTTCGATATATTTATCATTATAAATATATCAATATCGGAGTTTTATATATAAGTTTATTTATCAATATATCGAAAATCCAATATTTAAAAAAATATCAACAGTTTTAGTTTTTTTTATAGGATATGGTGACAAAAGAGCACACAGTCCACCTGATGGTAAGTGGTTGCTGTGGCCCATAGACGTCTGCATCTATCCTCGATTACGAATCAAAAATCAGTTGGAATGATCAGTTAAACTGACCGTGTGTGGCGACCATTATTATTAATGACAACTCTTTGCGTTTTGTTTCTTAAATATGAAATAATTAATTTAAGAGCATCACTTCTTTCACCGTAGTGTTAAAGTCTCCTGATTAATGTTTCATGGTGAACACAATCGAAAGCCTTGGATAGGTCACAAGATACCCTAAGCACCCAGTGAATTCTCCTATTCATTAAAGACATATTTAATCCGCTCTACACCAGCATCAGTTTCCGGGCGACTCCTTGTGAAACCAATTGTTATTATATGTTTTCATTAAAAAACTTAATATTTGATCGACAAATATTTTATTAAGTGTTGTGTTAGTTGTTACAATAATAGATCTAAAATTGGCCGGATCCAATGTGCTACCAGATTTAAATAAAGGTATATAACTTTACTATGCTTCTTTAAATCAGGAAATAGGAAACTCACTGATACCAGTATGTATTAATAATAGAATATATATATATATATATTGGGAGGTTTGGATGGGGGGCAGGGGTATGGGGGGATCTAGTGTATATATATATATATATATATATATATATATAGTTTGATTTTGTTATCCGACGCGTGTCCGGACGTACTAATGTAGCCCAGGGTAACATCATATTATAAATTTTGGCCTAAATATTTTTGGGCTTAACTAGTTTGGCCTTGGAAAAATTGATTGACTCATTGCATAATCTAATGTAACCTAACCTAACCTACTATTGACCCAAAATTACTTCTGCAACAGCTTCTTTGCTGCAGGAAGTGCAGTCCTTTCGCCCTTGCGCAGTAAATCTCAGGCAACTCAGTGGCGAAGCCCCCATAGAAGCCGAAAAGCCGGGCTTGCCTTATCAAACTGAATCAATCAATAATATCAACTAATAAAATAACTCGTAAACTGTTTCAAACTCTTTCAAATTTCCCGCGCACTCCACTATTCGACACAGGTCGACCGATGACCTCGTATTGCCTTAGTGATACTGCTGCTGTCATAAAAAAATGAGTTTTAATAGAGTAATTAGTCTCTCTCGCTCGCGTGGGCTTTTTACGGGGCTTTCAAGAAGACGATCGCTCTCTTTCTAACCTATGGCAAAACATTCTATAATGAAATATAACTACGATTGTATATATAACAATTAGTATAGAGAGTTAAAGCCAGGCTTTAGGAATGGCGGGCGTTTTTTTTTTCTTTTTTTTATTTTTTTTTTTTTTTGTTGTTTTTTATTATTGTTTTTTTTTAGTAAAAATGGAGGATAATAGTGTTCCTTGTGATATTTTGATGTGATAATAGTGTTTATTGATGAATTGAAGTGTGTTAAAGTGCTAATCGGAGAGGAAAAGGTAAAATCTTTAAACTTTGTGGAGATAATACACAACTTCAAGAGTTTATTTCAGACTTATCAATTATCGCAATTAAAAAAACAGTTATTGGTACAATTAAAACGTTCACCAACATTTTACGTTGATTTCATTAAATCTTTCTTTAAGAAAGACAGACGATTCCATTTAGAATGTAATTTTTTTTTTAATTTTGTACATTGTTTGTACTTTGTTCATGTATTGTATTGTATGTAAATATCTTTTTCTTTCGCTCAAACAAACCCAAACGGCTTTCTTCAAAGCCACCGAAGCTATGCAATTGCTGATATGTAATACAATCTATCTAGCAGTAGTATGCCTTCTGTGTGCTTTGTTAAACACGTCCTTGACAGCACTGAATATTAAACTGAAGAGTGGAGACAGATCAAGATTAGTGTATTTTTATAAAACTGCTAAAAAAAACCAATCTATATTTTTATTAATTTATATCTTGGGCATGCCCTAGTTTGGAGTTCTAGCTTCGCCACTAAGGCAACCAGGCTCACCTTCGCAGTTTTGGCTAACCGCTGCGGCTCGCACAAGTGCCTGCGGTTTGCTACGACAGGCGGGGGCTACTCTCCTACGGCTTTATAGAAACACACGTAGAGTCGGGGCGTGCTCGTTCGGTTTAAGAGCAGATTCGACCGATCATATAAAAAAAACATATATTCCTAGGCCAAAATAATTAATCCAAAATATTTAGGCCAAACTAGATTGTTTTGGGCTAAGCTAGTATGTCTGACACGCGTTAGATAAACCGATTTGGCCTAAGACAAACTAGTTTGGCTTGAAATCGGGTTTGACCGGTAACATATATACGCAATAAGTTTCACTGAAATCCCCCACAGATCTGCGGTTATCTTAATATCAATAGTTTTAAAATATTTGACAATATCTTTTGATGATACTTCATGAAATTTAAAATTCTTTGTACACGCATTTACATTTTGTTTAAGTAACGATTCGGCGACGTCAGGAGAAGAATTCATTGACTTAGTGTTACCCAGTAAAACATGTAACGAAAATCATTGCACCACCTTGATCTGATTTAGTTAATTTGTTGTTAAAACTTAACAGGTAGTTGGAACTGCGAGAGTTGACCTTACCAGTTTCACTATTTTATACTCCATGTGCTCCATAGAATTCTACATTTATCTTTGATTAAGAATTAAAATGCAGATGCGTTGTCATTCCTGAGTACTACGATCGAATACCTCGTTTCCAGTAAAAAGGATCTCCGAATCTCTACATTCACCATACGAAACATTAAGCTGCTATTTTACGCCGGTATTCTGTGACAGCGTGGTCCTTCCCCGGTCGAGCCGACCCATTCGTGCTACAACCATAATATAGCTGCAGTGTGGCTCTACCACGAAATACTTTAAGTTATTTACAATCAATTGTTATTAAATATCTATGTAGAAATTAATCATTATAAAGATTATAAATTAATAGGGTAGAGCTGAATACTTAAAAAGTTTCCGATATAGCCAGGTTACAATTATCTCTAACTTAACCAAATTAGAATGAGTATCACTATGATTTACAAAACACTTGGTTGCATATTGAATTCAAAAGTAAATGCGATACTAAAGAACTGTCAAATATTTCTGTAGACATTTGATCTCTATCCGGTCGTGTTGGTTTGCCGTCCCATCGGACTATGAGAGATGAGGGAATAGAGAAAGGAAATATTCGGTCTGTAGGACATGTAATGATAATAGAAGTGTGCGATGTTCTTGTGTTTAACGGCAGTAGTTTAGTAGCGTATGATATAAGACGGCCGCTCCTACGGTGCAACACTAGTTTTTTAACGCAGCGCGTATAACGCAGCACGCAACACGTAACATGCAGCGCGCAGCACACAACACGGATCACACATCACATATCACAAGGCACGCATCACGCAGCACACATCACGCAGCACGGAGCACGCAACACATCACACAGCACGCAACACGTATCACACAGCAGCACGGAGTGCGCAACAGATATTACACAGCACGCAGCACACATCAGGTATTATGCAGCACTGAGCATGCAACACATGTCACACAACACGTATCATACAGCACGCAGCACCCTTTACGCATCACGGAGCACGCAACACACACAGCACATATCACGCAGCGCGCACCTGTATGATGTAGTCGGCGAGCTGCGCGGCGGCGGCGGCGGCGGCGGCTACGGCGCGCGCCGGCTGCTCGGCGAAGCGATCGCGCTGCGCGCACGTGGCCGCCTCCAGCGCCAGCTGCAGAAGCGCCGCGCGCCGCGGGCCCAGCGCCGCGCCCGCACACGCCCACCTACGCACGCACGCACGTTAGATGTGCACACACGGCACACGATACACGGCAGTAAGCAGCAAAGCACTCGCCTGTCGAGCCAGCAGACGAGCGGCTTGACGGCGCGCACGGTGGCGGCCACGTCTGCCAGCGAGTGCGTCTCGAGGCGCGCGTCGGCGTGGTTGCGTAGCGCCCGTGCCAGCGACGTAGCCGCACCCGACACGCGCAGCGCCAGCTGCTGCACGCACTCGCGCGACAACTCGTATTGCTGCCGGGGTCACAAACACAATTTTCTGTACATAACTGTAATATATGTGTATTTTAGGGTAGTTAAAAACCTACATGATTGCTATGTTGCTCGCTCTCTCGGATTAAACCGCTAAGCTGAACAGACGTGTGTTATGTGTGGTGGTCGGATCTCCGGTCGACACTACAATTACTTTATTACAATAACACTTCTGTAGAGATAACATTTTTACTTGTGGTTAAACCCTGCTGCAACTATATTATGGTTTTAGCGTGAATAGATCGGTTCGATTAAAGAAGGACCACATTATCATCATCATTACAGCCCTTCACAATAACACTGCTAAGCATAGAAACCCCCTCCCTCCCCTAAGAATACTACAAAGCACGGTCCTGAGTCAACTGCATCTATTGACTTCATGGATGTCTTAGCAATTTGTCACTCCATCTAGTGGGAAGCCACCCAACACTGCTTACCAGTACAAGGCTGCCACTCGCGAACCTTTCTTCTCCATCAGTTGTCAGCTCTTACTATATGGCCCGCCAATTACCATTTCAGCTTACTAACCCATTGGGCTATATTTAGGACCAAAAATGTAATAAAAAATATTAATTTAAATAAAACAAAATATTTAAAAAAAATTCAGCTTACCAATCCATTGGGCTATGTCAGTTTTCCTATATTATAACAATAACAATTATTTATTCATAAGAATTAACTTGGATAATGATTTCTCATATTTACACTAATATTGAAGGAAACTAGTTTCGAAACTATTAATTTTTGTTTGCATCTATGTAGAACCAAAAGTTTATCAAAAATATTAATTTAAATAAAATAAAATATTAAAATTTTTATTAAAATTATAATATAAATAAAATTTTAATATTTGGTCCTGCAAAGGTGCAAACAAAAATTATAATTTCAAACTGAAAGTCGCCGTGGTTAACTATGACACTTCTACAGTGGGGGGGGGGGGGGTAAAGCCCTAATGGTCAGACTTGTTGCCATAATGAGAACATGTCTGGCTCTTAAATGTCTGGTTCCTAGGGGATGGAGGGAAGTGAAAGTCACGTTCATACCCAAACCAGATAAGAACGACTATACAGAATCTAAATCCTACAGACCCATTAGCCTCACATCCTTTCTCCTAAAGACGATGGAGAGGATGTGCTTAACGTCAGCGGTCGTCGCGTGCGTCACGTCGGTGCTTCACGTCAGCTATATAGCTACATAGCTGACGTGAAGCACCGACGCTCCGGGAAGTCTGCAGTCTGTGAACATGTTCAAAATTGTCCCCACCATTACATCAGATTTGATAAACCACAAGTCCTCGCAAAAGAACACCGATTCCTACCAAGGATGATACGCGAGGCTATTGAAATTAAAAAACATCCTAATTTCAATAGAGAAGATGGTTGGGTGCTGCCATCTGCTTGGGATCCTATAATTAACAATATTAAACCCAAACCCAAGCATACCACTGCAAGACTTCAAGATACTGTAAGTTCGTTTTGCGTAAATCGGACCAAAAATTAATATTCAAAAACTGAAGGTAGCCGGGCTAACAATGACATTGGGACGTCAAACATCTCAGTCCCCCCCCGTGACCATGGTTGCTGTAAAGCACCCGAAACGTCGGGAATTAAAAATAAGTAAAAGTAGTGAAATAAACGCGATAAAATCCGTAAATTTAGTTTTATTCAATATGCAGATGATCTTACAATACTGGTCTCTGGAAAGACAGTAAGATGGTGCAGGGAATATGACCTACACTTAATCCAAACAAAACGGTTCTAGTAATGTTCACACAAAAACGAATGCAGAATAACTATCATCTCCCAAGTTTTTTCAGCACAAAACTCCAGCTATCCTACGAGGTAAAATACTTAGGTATTAGCTTGGACAGTAAACTTAACTGGAATAAACACACAGAAAACAAAATCAACAACAGCTAGTTTAACTTTCTGGCAATGCAGAAACATGATTGGCAAACGATGGAGTTTAACACCAAAAATTATACTGTGGCTGTATAAAACTGTAATTCAGCCCATGATCACATACGGCTCTCTGGTATGGTGGACCAAAACTAACGAAGCCACCACCACATGAAAGATTGGCTTGTATGGCTGCCATGGGCTGCATAAGAACTACACCAACAGCAGCTTTAGAGGCTATACTGGAGCTAACACCGCTTCATCTACATATAGAACTATTCATACAGTGTTAGCTGCCATTAGACTTAAGACCCTAAATTTTTTAAGTAAGAATAGAGTTCTCCATAATTGATAGAATTTACTCAAAAAATCCTATCTTACAAGCCAAATATGACAGGATCCCAAAACAATTTGTATTCGTTAAGAAGAACAGGATACAATTGAAGGAAACTGACCATCTGGAAAGATTGGGACCAAAAGAGCTCAGAGTTTTCAAAGATGGTTCTAAGACAAATGAAGGTGTGGGGTCTGGGGCTTTCTCTGAAGACCTTAATATCCACACATACACACTGCTGGGTACCCATAACACAGTCTTCCAGGTTGAATGCATGGGTACCATCCATGCGGCCATAGCAATAGATGCTAGGAAGGTGAAAGACTTCTCCATCAGAATACTGACCGACATGGCGGTACTACAAGCTCTGAGTTGTAATGTGGCGAACTCAGGACTGATATATGAGTGCCACCAATGATTGAATAAGGTATGTAATCAGAACAATGTGACTCTGCAATGGATCAAAGGACACAGTGGATCTAGAGGCAATGTTGCGACAGATAAACTGGCCAGAAGGGGATCGGCTCTGGCCACTATATGGCCGGAACCTATAATACCAATCCCCTTTGGCTATGTTTGTTCACTGGTATATAGATACTTCTATAATTTACATGCTCAGCTTTGGAAAAATTTAGTAGACTACAGACAAGCTAGGGCGGCCCTGCCTGAAATAAACAGTTGTCTAACCAAGGTTCTAATGAGACTGAACAAGCCACAGATCAGGATAGTAACAAGTGCTATCACAGGACATGGCTCTTTTTACAAACATTTGTTCACCATTGGTGTTACTGACAGCCCCCTGTGCAGGGCATGCATGGGAGAGGAAGAAATAGCGGCTCACGTGTTGCTGACATGTCCAAAAGTTGCTTCATACAGGGCTAAACATCTTGGCACGTCGGGATCGCTCCCCGAAGTTGCTTGCAACATCAAGGGACTGCTGAGCTTCTTGGGGGAGATATCATGGCTCGAATAATCACATTAATCCAGCCCATAGACAAAACACACGCTTAGACGTGGAGTTACGGAAAACAGCCCATTGTAAACTAAACTATGACATTGGTCATAAAATACAACAAATAAATTACTTTAAAAGCAATCAATTCTTTATGGAACATTGCATTAAATAACTTCTGACTTCGGATTTTTTAGTTTTCTAATATTATGATTTTCTTACCTAGTCTATTTCTTATTTGTTTTCTTGCCTTATCTTTTAAGCTATTGCATAGCTTCTATCGCGGGCCTTGAGCGCGGGGACCGAATCCAGAAATTCCGTAACGAAAAAAAACCTCACGCTCCCCACTCCGACAGGCACGGAAGTGTGGCGTTGAAAGCATCGTGCATCGTCTAACGTCGTTTCAGTTCGGCAGACTTCGGCACTCGACAGAGTTCGGCACGGTGTTTGCATGTGTGCAACTAGACGTATGCGTGTACACTAGCTGTTAACTCAATGATAAAAATTCCTGAATAACCTACATGTATTGTAAGATATTAAAAGTATTTTAAACAATATTAACTTCTCATTTATTCAATAAGAGAAAACAAATTGTTTTCTTATCGGTCACCATGCTCAAAAAGTGTAACTTGATTTAATATCAAAGACTTAACTGCATAAATAAAATAAATAAATAATTATAATTGCATAAGTTGATAAAAAATGCTATGCAATAGCTTTACCGCAGCAGTCACCGAGTGCCACACATACTTTTTTAAATAAGAGCCTTTATGGATTTAGTAGAAAGTATTATGTTTTAAGACAAAACTTATTATTAAGAATTTGAATTGTCCACTGTGCCTTTACCCAAAAATCTACCTGCTTAATAACCTAAATGTTAATCTATATCGAAGACACATAAAAAGAGACATAAAAAGATCAAGGATTTATTGTAATAATGATAAATGATCCATCGAACCTATCCATTCTATCTGAATGAACATGTAAATTTTGTGTAGTTTCATCATAAAAAACTCAGATCCAGCCATCTTGAAAAAGGTCAGGCTTATCCACTCAAAGGCCAGCAGTGGGCTATTACTGCGCTGATATTGTGCAAATACAGATATTTATAAATTTGACAAGAGCTAATTCACTGCCAACCTTCTCAGTATTTACCATTCATGTCAATCTATACTTTTAATTAGTTACACAACTTTCACTGAACAAAGACCAAGTTTTATAATTACATCTGATATAAAATGTACCCTAACCATTTACTTGAAGTTTTTTCAAACATTTAAAATGGCAAAAAACAAAATTTATATTGCTGGTACATACTTTGGTCAGAACATTGTACATTCAAATAATTACATAAGCATTAAGTTTATGTAAGCTGTAGTTTTACATAAGTAAACCCAATCGCCAAAATTAAATTTTTGTGATTTAAAACTGCTAAATATAGGATTCACCCATAGGTAGCATCATATGGGGATTTTGCTATAGTTGCTATGGTTGGTAGTTTTTTTTAGTAATTTCCCTCTATCACTTTTTATGACACCCACAGGATGATAGGGGAAGAAAAATACCAAAAATATTTTATACTTAATACCTTTTATAGAACATAATCTTCATACAAACATACGGATGTTTGATACAGACCAAAATTTCTAAATTGTTATCATCATATTCTTAGCGATCAGCTTATAAAAGTCTAGTGCTGTACATTAACCTCGTCAATTGCAGGGCATACTTGACTTGTCACACATGACGGGTGGTTAAATGTTTGCCATACTAAATGTTTCACATCTATAACACTACTGCCCATCAACAGACTGTGATTTTAATATTGCACCACCATCCTAGGAAGTTTTAATGTCTACACGTCAATCACTATTGGTTGCAAAGATAAAATTACATAATACATATTCAATAAGCATCAAATAACTATTTCCCCTCATAACATAAAGTGAATGTGTCCAGTTGTTCAACTGAATCGAAAGTTACGTACAAAGTTTCGCAAATGTTCGACTGCTTCCAGTAGCAGTTCCTGATGACCAATGATATGGATTCCGAGGTACTCGAGATCATCACAGCGGAGCGTAAGTAATTTCGAACCGTTCAGGCCGCGTTGCCGCAGCGCCGGCACATAGCCAGCCACCGTCGGGCCCAATCCTGTACAGATACTCTGTGACTCACCGCACAAAAACAATTGAATCAAATCACAATACCATTTACCAACCCGACAACCACTCAGCCACCTGGTCCGGAGACCACTCAGCAATGTTTAAACTTCCCATTAAGACTATGTTAACTGTTTACTAATAAATCTATCACAGTTCATTTTATAAAAACACAAATTGTCTAACAAAATATTATCAGCCGACAGAGAAGAGCTGATGTTTATTGTCAGACTCAGACGTCAGTCAGACATTGTCACTTGTCAGAAGGGAATAGTGTTGCCAAGTCTGAAATCTAGCGGACGGTAGAATTCTTCTAAAAATACGGTAGAATTTTCGAAATTATGTTGTAATATATATTTGAAATACGGTAGAATTACCTTGTTTATTTAGTAGCATGTTATGGGTCAGAGTTAAAAAAAAAAAACATATTTTTAATCAGAATCGGACAGTATAATTGTTTCAATATTTTTATACATATCATTGTTATGTTTTGCGATCATAGCGTGAGTGGGATTAAAATCAACACAGTTTTTTCCGTGACGCTGTATGGCTTGCTGCGATAAGAGATTTCCCTTGATGGATTTCGTTAGGAGTTTATTCCGTTTTTTTGTTTTTATATCGTTAACTCTGCTGAAGACTCTTTCGCACTCAGCATTCGAGTGTGGCAGAGACAAAATGGCCAACATAAATTTTGGCAAGTGTTGGAAATAGGTATTCCCTTCTCGATGTTGGTCACGCAGTTCTGCGACCTGAAAAAAAAAATGATTAGGCTGCTATAACAATAGAAACCAATATGAATTCACGTTGCTTCGAGTTTACATGGAAACTTACCTGGTGCCAAAATACGTCAGGGGGTTGACTTAAATCCAAATCTTTGTAGTATAACGGCAACTTCCGCCACTCATCATCTAGTTCTTGTTGATGTTGGATTGAAGTTGGGGCAATTCTGGGCAGTAATGGAAATAACGACGAAACTGACTCTTCCCTGTCATCAGAAATTACTTTCTCTAGATCAAATTTTGCTATTTCTGTCATAATTTTGTCATTAAAACAGTATCGTTTACAAAGGCCCACACAAGCTCTAATAATAAAATTTTTACACATCTTTCTGAGAGTTAACTTTCTTTCTTCATTTTCAACAGAATCTAGTTCTTTCTGGACACCTAAACCTAGATATATGTCTTTTAGGTCCTTGTGATTTATTTCTGTCATTGGATCTATAGTTTCAATAGGAGCGGAATTTACATAATTTCTGTGTAAAACCAATAGTAACAGTTCTTTATAAAAAGCTGTCATTTTCCCATGTAGTTTCGTAATTAAAATAGATTCACTCTGAAAACAGCTATTTAATGTTGTAAATTTTGGCAACATCCAAGCCAAAAAATAGTAATAAGCCTTGATTATGGGATCATTCAGGCATGCATGAATATCGTGGCACTCCGATTCTTCCAGCCATTTGCTATTGAAATAAAGACGTAATACATCCCATTGTTCCAGAATCCTTTGCACTACTGCATTTAAAGACAACCATCTAGTCTGGGCTGGTCTTAGAATTTTGTGCACATCCGCCTCAGCAAAATACTGGAACTCTTTCAACTCACTCTGCCTTTTACTACTGGATTTAAAATAATTATAAATATTTCGCGCCATTTTTTCACAATTTAGTGGAAGCTCTTTACATGCGTCACTAGCGCAAAGATGCAGAGAATGGCAAATGCATTTGATCACAATTATGCCTGGACAACGTTGACGAAATCGACTTGAAACTGAATTGTTACATCCCATCATTGTGTTGCATCCATCAGAGCTGAAACCTATGATGTTTTCCGTAGGAATCTCATACTTTTGAAATGAACCTATAACAGTATTAAAAAAGTTTTTCGGCATTTGCAACATGATCGGTGGTTTTCTCATCAAATAATTGAATCAAATTCCAAAACCGAGTGATAACTTTACCAATCATTGGATCAAAATACCTGACCACTACAGCTACTGTTTTTACTACAGCAATATCTGTGCTTTCGTCTATCAAAATTGAAAACATTTGTGATTTCAAGTCACTGATCAAGTTTTCTTTTTCAGTTTCCCCAATACAGTTATTTATCACAGCTTGAACTTTAGTTCTTTTTAATCTAATATCTTTGGCTATCTGAGAATCTGGGAACAACTTTGGTAACAAATCTGCTAAGTGATTCATGACATTATGAGATACCTTATGCTCAGCAACAAAAGCAGTTAATTTTATTTCTGAAGTCTTTACCAATTGCTATTCATTAGTTGGCATGGATTTAAAAACGCTTACTATAGACTGTTGTTTTTTGGACGTTGAAGCACTACACCTCTTTAAATTATTCACGTGTTTAGTTCCTTCTTTGTGGCGTTTTATTACACTTATTTCGGCACTGAAAGATGTATTGCAAACATTGCAGACCGCCTTCGATAAGTCCCTATTATCCTTTCTTAGCCAGTCACTATATTCTTTATTCAGCAACCATTCTTCCCGAAACTTCTGCTTATAACGCTTTCTCTTAGCCGGTACTCGTGTTAAGCTATCTTCTCGATCAGTAGCGCTGTCGCCATCACTCTCCATATTTTTAAACACTCAGATCACACACAACACAACACAACACAACAAACTCTTACGTAATTTTAAGTATTAATGAAATGTTAGTCGTATCTCGTTTATGATACAAATAAACTAGGAAAATTAAAAAGCTCTAAGTATTCATTGAAATTCAAATACATACAGCACCCCCGAATTCGTTCGCATAATATCTCCAAGCTGGTACCACGCTATTGGGGGATTTCCCGACGCATAAAACAGTGTTGTCGGTAGAATAAAAGGAAAATACTGTAACGTAAAGAAAGTAAACAATCAAACTCGCTAAAATTATTTTAGTTTATAGATAATCATATTTAGATACGATCTTCATTGGGTATTACGGTGTATTTTGCTACCGTAATTATAATCCTACGGTAGGTGGTAGATCTATGCTGATTACGGTGTTTTTACCGTAATTACGGTGCAGTTGGCAACACTGGAAGGGAACTCTGTTGCCACTAAAATTAACTTATTTTATACCACTTAGTTCCTGAAATTATACAAAACACTTAGAGTATTAAATCGGCGGGTAAAACGGCATAGCAAGTCATACCCCTCTGACAAAGGTACGAGAGTCCAACTCATACTCGTTATATAAAACTAGTTGTTCCGTGTCGTGCGTCGTGCGCTATTATATATAGGTATAAGTGTTTTTAAAAAATATAATTTACAACACAAATTAAATATATTAACGAAATTTCATTTCTTATCAACTAAGTCAGTTTGTGATATATACTAATCATTACATTAAGATGTGTAGTGGAATTTGTCAAATGATTTAAATATTCAGATCAATCTCAACACGATTCTGAATTTATTATAATATAATATAATCGATATCTAGTGTTTATCAAAATATTATACAAAATAAAGGCCAAGTCGAATCGACACTTGCCACATCGAATCGTAGCAAAATTATGCAATTTTTATAAAATAAACTGGTATTACTGCATTGAAGTAATATGTACTTACGTACTAGAACAGCTATCTCAAACAAAAAATGTGCGCTACTCTGTGTTCGCGTGGTTGTTTTTTTATCATAGAATAAACATAGATAGAATGGCCCATAGGTAATAGTAGATTGTATTGTTAAATTGGTAAATTTTATCGAGAACAATATTTAAATTTTGTCATTTATTTTGTATATTATATTTGCTTATTTAATATAATATTACATAATATATTATCACAATTTTATTTCAATGATATTTTTATGTGAATATTTTAAAATGTCAAATATAAAAAACATACTGATTGTATGTTTAACAAAACTTATTAACATAACATTTAAATTACAAATTTATTTATTTAAATTAGAATAAAAGTCGTTCATTAAATGCTGGGCACACGAGAGTAAAAAATGGACGAATTTATTCCACTTTGACTTTGATGTGGAAACCTAAAAATTAAATAAAAGAATAATAACCAGATTTAAACATGAAAAATTTTGCCTAATTATAATATGTATATGTTTGTATGTATATATGTTTCTATGTGTATATGTTTCTACAAAAAAATGTGTATGATAAATTATTCGTCCTATAGTTAAGTACCTACAGAAATGTCGCATCTGAACACAATTTCATAATCTATATTCCATGACACGAGATGGCGTCTTAGGAATAATTTGTTTTATTATTAATTCTTAATATTTTTTTTATTGATTAAGTATCTTATTAACCGATAAAAAGTAATTCCTTGGTTTTTACTGACATTTCTTGAATTATTTGTACAATATCTAAGTACACACAACGGCATATTTTTATCAAGAGATTTTTTTTAAATCAACACAACACGTAACAACTCTACAAGCGCCTAGCGAGTGACTGATTAAAGTGCGGTGTATGCACCGCAGTTGAGTGGAACAGAGTAGCTGAATGCAGTGTCGCCTCTAGTACGTAGTACATAATAGCTCAATGTATCACTGCAAGCGAACGTGCTGCAATGTAGTGATGTACGCCAAAACTTTAGCTATCGATAAGTTAGTTAGCTCTTCGGGTTAACTGCCGAACTGGTTTTTATTTTTTGTTTAAATTTTATAATATTGTTTTATTTATGTATTTAACTTCATATACACAGATGTATATAGGCGGACTTAATGCTTGAGGCATTATCTACCGGTCTACCTTAGAGTAGTGCAGAGATAAAAGAGGTAGGTGTAATAAGTGTGTAAAATATATATAAACTCATACATATATAAGCGTATAAATATATACATATATAAACATAATGTTAGTATATATACATAAAATTACATACATTATATATATATATATATATATATATATATATATATATATATATATATATATATATATATAAAGGGACGTCAGGGTGGTCTGCTATTTCCTCTAGATCCATATTCGACTTTAATTAGACGTGGGTAATCGGGCAAGGAGAATTAAACGACGTAATTCACACTAAATATAATTAGGGTATTACAACAAAAGTTATTAGAGACACTGATTCGTTAAACACTCCACCAAGAACGTAATGCTTATTTGCGATGTGAACCGATTGCCGTCTCGAAGCGAACTGCCGCGTCGTCGCTGCTTCTACTTACACTAGCCCTTGGTGTTGCGTCAGAGTGAACGACAACCGATTACTTCGACAGATGGCGTTTTGTATATCCAGTTGGCGTTCACTCCTAAATAATCTTCGAAATAATCAAACGTGCCGTCACGGCCGGACTGACGTTAGCACGTCCTCGTGCTGCTTTTGGTGTAGAGTTATTCTGTAACAATAGGAAAATAAAACCCGCTGGGATTATCACTTTCATTCGCTCGACCTATCCTGACATGAATAGGTAGACTGTCCCTATCTTTGGACATTTAGGAACCCACACACATACACGCAAGACAATTACGTTTGGCCTCATGCAAACTAACACTGGCTAAGGCGTCCTTTCGACCAACCATCGTCTTCTATGATGACTTGGACCGGACAACCTAGCCCATGTCTAGCTAGCTCACAGAGCGTCAGCGTCCCTTCGACCAGTCATCATCTCATATGACAACGTGGACCGGACAACTGGCTCTTTATCCGTCATCTCATATGACAACACCTAACTCAGAGTGACAGCGTCCCTTCGACCAGTCATCATCTCATATGACAACATGGACCGGACAACTGGCTCTCTATCCGTCATCTCATATGACAACACCTAACTCAGAGTGACAGCGTCCCTTCGACCAGTCATCATCTCATATGACAACATGAACCGGACAACTGGCTCTTTGCGCGTCATCTCATATGACCACGCCTCAGATAGTTTAATAGTATTGATTAATTCTCGTAACTGACATTAAACTTACGTTAAAGTTCCTCGCGTTCTGATGCTGATAGGGTTACTGAACTTGCAGTTTCAGTATGACCGCTGGATACCGATATTGTGTCACTATCATCATCTGATGCCCATCTGCCCCGCCGTCACGAGCTCCTCCTCATCATTATTATTAATTAACGAGGTAGCTATCTCTAATAGACCGTCATAGCCCCCGGGTACTAAAATACAATACAATACAATATATTTATTTGCATTCCATAATGTAGAAATTAATAATATTCAATTTTGGCCTGTCGGGTATAGGAGGGAGACGCAAATGTTTTATTATTTTTTTTTTTTAATCCTTTTTTTTATTTTTTTCATTTAGTTAGGTATTCATATAAAGTATAATAACATTTATGATGAAATTTTTTTCTAACGAAGATTTTCGTGAGATATTTGTAAGTCCTATTAGACCCATAAATGTTTTTCAGCTCATACCTATCATTTTCTAATACCTTAGTAATTAAGAATGGGCCTTTGAATTTTTTGTGAAGTTTTGTCTGATTGCGCTCGTTGTTTCTTATAAAAACATACTCGCCTATTGGGAAAGGCTTCACGGTTGCCTTGCCTCGATTGAACCGTTCTACTTCTGCTGAAGCTGCTTTTTCAATGTTGTCAGCAGCGTTACGTCTGATGTTGTCTAAGTCTGATCGGGGTTCGGGTTCGGAACTTAATACAATTTTTGACATACCTAATGATTGAGCTTTTATACCAAACATTAGCTCTGTGGGCGAATATCCAGTTACCCTAGACCGTGTACTATTTAGAGCTAACTGCACATCTAGAAGTTCATCTCGCCAAGTTTTGTTTGGGTCGTTCTCAACTATGGTGAGAATGCTTTTCAGGGTGCGCATTACGTGCTCTACCTGGCCGTTCGCTCTACTAGATCCTGTTGCGATAAGATGAAGGTCTATGAAATGGTCCCTACAAAATTCTCCTCGGACTTTTCTCCCTTGGTCAGCTATAACGCGTTTAGGTGTTCCAAAAAGGCAAACCGCTTTTTTTAGAGCTTTAATACTTGCTGAATCTAACGAGGGGGGTATATTCAAGAAGGATGTATTTGGTGAAGGAATCGATAATAATCGACGAATATTCTTTGCGATCGCTTTTTCCACTGAGTTTGCCCGTGATATCGATGTGTATGGTATGCCAAGGAGTGGAAACTTTTGGAATCGGATGAAGTCTTATCTGGGTAGCGCCTGACGGGCCCTTCGAGGCTTTGCATACTATACAAGAATCTACAAATTTGTGCACTAGCTTTGACATT